GATAAAAAATATCCGACCTTGATATAATGCGTAGTGTAAACAATATGGAGTTGGCAAGCGGTCTCCATGTGGTATGCTAACGAGATTGGACCATTCGCTAATATCGATGCTCATTCGTGCGTCTAATACGAGCTATTTGCTGCTGTAATTAAATAGCGAAAGTACATAAAATTAATTATCGAAAAATCTAAATAGTTATACACACGTAAGGCCAGCAATGCTTAGTTGCGACCGAGGCCTGTACATTACTTTTGTCAAATAATGCGCGAAAATTAAAACTAAGTACTAAAATTCAGAACTTTAAACCAATGACGTAGTTGACGAACAACTAAAAACTATAGTTTATTATGTGCCAGTTAGAAATTTAAATGAAACCTTTCTTATATTACCTCTTTCGTCGCAATGTTGCGGAGCAGAAGATCGTTCCATTTTTAAATTACACGACAAATATGATTCTACTTAGTAATTTATTTGGCTGCTAAACACGGCAGATACAGATTTTCATACCACTAATGCCGACCGGCCAAGGTTGTCAAAATAATGCTCAAATTTCTAAGCATGTTTGAGAAGAATCATTTATTCACGTAGGTAACTAGGTACGTTTATGAATGTCTTACTCATGAAATTTACTACAAGTTATCAAATCCAAGTCAAAGTCCAAGTCATCAAGTATAATTAACACATCAATACCGTAAATGAAAAATGTATATCGTGTCAATACGACAAAAACTCCGCTAATATTATTGAACTAATTCTTCTGAAGAACAGATTTAGTCATCTAAGACTTTATGAGGTTTTCCTCATTGTTGGCCATTGTTAGGTAATAAAGTTTAACAAAAATATACAATCGCGGTAGTGTAAACACTAAACACGGTGAGGGCGCCGATGAAAGGTTAATGTGCTATAATATACACTGCCTTTGTGCCAATTTTATTTTCTCCGCGATATTTTCCAAGTCCCGATAACAGGCTGATGTAATAATTGTTTTTACTAATTTACGAGACAAACAGATATTTGATAAGATTACTTATTAGTGACTTATGCTTTTTACAAGAGAAATTAGGTTTTCACTGATCGATTTGGAAGGTAAGTAAGTGATCGGACGTATGTGAATTATAAATGAATTTTAGGTTGACACAAAGCTACTCAACTTTTTATCCTGAAACATTTGTATTAATAGAAATTATAAAGCGTTAACACACTGGAAAATAGTGCTTAATTCCTGCGTTATATATACTTCATTCCTTCCTTTGTTCGGTAAATCTTTAACTAAAGGTTTACGTAACGTTAAAATTGGTGTTGACGACACGGGCAGGGATTTGAACCCGGTATCCGTGTTACCGTGACACGGATACCGGTTCAAGTCTTGTCCGTGTCACATTTCTTTTTCAATGTTCAATTCAATGATTTTTAGTTTATAAGAATATTAAAGTTTTCTGACTCATGTGTACCCTGCCTAACCGAAACAATCTATTATTTCCCTGGGATTCGAACTAAGCACCGCTCAAGCTTAACGCAATGCTAGGCAACACTAATCATTTAGGTACAGAGGCGGTCATATTACAAAAGCGAAGGGTCGTCGTTACTCCAGGTCACCTGTTACCTGCCTGTTGCCAGTGGCGCACCCTATGCCTGTGTGGGCAGCCCAAAGCTCCCCTTTGTTCTAGCCGTACGATCAATACCTATCCGTTCTCACTGTTTTACTAACAAAGTCACCTGTATGATTTATTACTTAGGTAGTGTCCTAATTTATTGGACTGCCGATAAATATATCGGCATATATGCATTGTAGTGACACATTTTATCACCGACGAGACTAACCATAAGTCGGTACGGTTAGTCTAATCATCAATATACATAGTCCGACATCAACATTCTAAATTAAAATTATTTACGAATTAAATATCGTTTTTTTCATAATGTTTAACATAAATTAGGTTAAAAATTCGTTATTTACGTATCTATTAATAAGATTATAGATTTTGGGTCCGGAAAATTGTTGTAAAAGTAAATTGTTTAGAGAAGTGTAGTTTTGCCGACCTTTAATAAATCTATCTAGTAAACAGACACAAAACTGTGTCCTTGGTCAATATGGGAGACATGAGACTACACTACCAACTAAAAGTAAGTGAAGCTTACGGTAATATCAAGATACGATCGCCACTAGAAATATCCTTTTCCACCACAGACAATCGAATCGATATCTTCGACACAAGGTGTAGACTAGCTGTGTCATTCAGCAATACTGTGAGGGTATAATGAAATGGATCAATATTAGGTCTCTGGGTTACCCAGATCTAACCCCAATCAAACATTGCATACATCGCTTTTACTTCCTTATTTAGAAGCTAATTTTTATTTAGTATAGTTTATATACGACTAAGTCGCTATAAATACGATACCATTTCGACATTGCTTGTTACTATACATATGTTTATCAAAGTGTACATAAGAATAGCTTGTCCACAGTGGGAAAGAAGAGAAAAGACCAGAACGGAGTAAAAGCGTATATTATAATGTTGAAGTAAATAAGATTTAAATAAAACACTTTAACGGTTTAAAACGAAAAATATTTTAACTACGCGTTGTAAACCGTTAAAGTGTTTTATTTAAATGTGCACCACTCGCGTAAACTACAGACAGTATAGAAGTAAGATTTTTTATTAATTTATATTTCGTAGTTTCGTATTTTTTTAAACTGTTTCAATTTAAAAACAACTTAAGGGATAAATCATTAAGAATTATTGTTTCAATTTCTAGCAACTTAACTCTTAAGCTCATCAGTGTTTTGAAACTTTACTGCCACTTAATACGATATCAAACTTCGTCTAAGTATCTCTTACAAAAGCGTCGCTTCACGACGACAAAGAAAGCTTTCATCCCAACATGCATGAGCACCACTAAACTGCATAATCTTCACGCTTCACTTATTTTTTCTTTTCTTTTTAGACCCCCAAAAGAATTCAAAAAATATCAATATGAAATATTAAACATACATTTATTTACTTACGTATATAAATATGTGCGGAATAATATGCAGGTTTTTTTTTTAATATTAGCAATTGAGACAGTGAAAAGAGACTAGGTTTCAGTTACAGACTGAAATTGTAAATAAAATTAAACTGAAATTGTTCAAAAGAATGTAACGACTTGCGAAGTATTTCACGATTATTTTCGTTGTTCACTTATACTTTTAAAATAAATGTGAAATAAGAGAAACTCACTATACCTATTGCCAAACCCCGAGTTTTGAGCTCTTACGAAAATAGGTCAGTAACTGTCATGCACTTACCCAAATCGATGCAGATTGTACCTATCAAACGTTCGTTTCTTTATAAGGCTATTTTAGATTCCCTTCAGATTAGATCTAGATTATTAACTAACATGTTTTCTTTACGCTATTATATGAATAAGGTTTAGTGTAACTTAAAAATACACAAAATAAGGATAAACTTGATGTGAGAATGAAAATCGTCTTGGTACCTCGATGTTTGACCTTGAAGAAACGCTGACTAGGGTCCTATTGATTTGGGAACCACGTGTACTTCCTCTATTATTCTGAAGTCCAGAACCACCAGAGATCTTTCGAAGTATCACTTGTAGAGCACTAGCACTCCAATTAACTATTGGAACTCCAATAAACTGGTATTATGAGGAGCTTGGGGGTTCGGAATGGAAACGCCTCGTTCAGTCTATGTTATTGTTCGATCGCGATGTTTAAAGAGTGGAGGAGCCCGAAAGATGTAAAAGCACGGGCGTAGAGTGGCAGAGAGCTTGCCGACTGCGATGCTGTCGCTATTTGCGCCCGCTGCCCTTCGGCCGTTTGCCGCCCGCCCCGCGTTCTACCGCCCAACCGCCCAGAGCTTTCGCTGCGCGGCGCAAAGACACAGAAATCCTTTAAACGTAAACTGCTCTCAAAAGTAATAATTTTAATCACTTAAGTGACCTACCCACATAAAATTATTGTAAGCTCAGTATATTAAATTTACTTATCTAAGTTCTCTTAAAAATAACTTTATTACACTTTAAAGATAGCTGTATAGTTATTTTATTAAATGTAATGGATATCTTTAACATAAACGAATATATAGTATATATTCGTTTATGTTAAAGATACGGTAAAATATTTACATATACCTTTTGTAAATATTTTACCTTGTACAAAATCTAAATTGAACTAACAACATACTAAAACCTAAATTAAAATTAACGTCGAAGGCCTTGTAACATTAAAAAACTGTATTTAATCTAAATACTGTCTATAGTTTACGCGAGTAGTACACATTTAAATAAAACACTTTAACGGTTTAAAACGCGATATATTAGTTAAACTTATAATTATATAACATAAAATACTTAATGTAATTTGTTTTTAATTTAACTTATTACGACGACCAATCAGCTCTTATCCTGGGCTTATCATCTCTTACCTAATTAGTAAACAAAGGAGTCCAAAAATAAGATGAAAAATAAGACAATTGACATAAGGGATGATACACGTTGGTGTGCAGAATATAAAGATTTATAAATAAACGGAGAAAGCGACGGTCATTTACTTTAGTATGCATTATAAATTAATATAACTTTCTCCCATTAATCTTTTATTTAAGTATTGATTTTTCAATGGTATCGATATTCGTTTATATTGGTTATACACTTTACTAAATAGGCGGTACACAGTATATAACAAGACAACAGAACTGTCTTGCTGTCATTTTTATGTTGACATATTTGGACATGATGTTTTATTGACAGTGATGTAAAATTCCGGTTGCACAAATTACTTATTGTAAAATATTTAAAATTACATATTTTAATATTGCTATACAAACTGATATTAATCACTAATAAATAATTAATACTTGTTAAACAATTAGAAATCTAGATGGAATACAGTACTGTCATCCTAAAAACTCAAATATAAACAAAAAACATCGAAACGAAATCGACTTCTTAAAATATATGTATTGGAGTGGATATTGTTATTTATTAAGTTGAAAATGGATGATTGGATATTGCGCCGGCATAAGTTTGGATGTGAGGAATATAAACTACCTTACGGTAAAGATGTAACTATAGGTAGAGGAACAAATAATATTATTGCAATTGTAAGCATAGTAATATCAAGAAACCATTGTGTTATTAAAGTAAAGGAAAATGAAATTACAATAACAGACTTGCAGGTTAGTCCTTTATTTTCTATAATAAGTTATGTATATATTATTTTATAAATACATTATGTTTATTTCAATGATAACAACCTCATTGCGGTTCAGTTGTAAAACACATTAAATCAGGGTGAGAAGAAATTAATTAATCTATTAATGTTTACATTGTATTGTAAACAATTCAAAAACATTGTGTGTGTTTTAACTAAGTGACCAATTCTGTTACTTTTAGTGTTATTGAAGGAACCTTCTTTTCTAACATTTAACCAATCTTTAATTGATGCTACATTGACAAAACTTACTTTCAGAGTTCTAACGGGGTCTATATAGGTTTAAAACGCATACCACCAAATGTTCCACACAGTATCACTGCTAATGATATTATTGGCATTGGTTGGGCAGAAGGTGCCCAATTAGGGTATATTAAGGACAGTGAGAAACATGTTTTCAAGTTGCTTAGAGTAAACAATAAACCCATTATAAATAGACTTCAGTTTCAAAGTGAAGATGAAAGTGACATTGAAAAACTCTTATTAAAAAGGAACATAAGTCCTCTTATAGACATTGTTAAATGTGAAAATGTATCTAATGATGGTCTAAATGCTGAAGAACCTGATAGTGTTGTTTGTATATCAGACAGTGATACTGATGAAAGAACATGTGATGATTTGATTATAAAACAAAAATTGGATATTGTAAAACAGGAAATTCTGGTTGAAGATGAGATTGATGAAGCATTTGCTATAAAACAGGAATACTTAGATGCAATAGATGAACCTATACTAGTAGACAGTGACAGTGATAGTGAGTCCGAGCATTGGTATAAAAGACTTTCCCAATGTTCACCAGGAAAGCCCCTAATTAAGGGCTCTAATATACCAAGTAAACAAAAGAATTTAAGTCCAAAAGATGTGTCTAATTCATATAGTCAATTAGACAATTTAGACGATGATGCAGATATACATTTTGAGGACTTAATCAGTTTGGTTCCACCACCTTATTTAGAACAAGGTTCTGAATTAAATCACCAACAGCTGGATAATACGAAAATTAATAAGGCACTTGATAAGACTTATGGAGCTGACAACTTACCATGCAAGGCATCAGTACCAATTGAAATTGATGATGCTGATACAAATGTAACCCACAACTCATCAATTAGGGAACCAGAACTTATTGAGATTGATGACATCGATAATAATGTAGTTAGCAACTTACCACCAACGGCACATCCAGTAATCATTGAGGTTGATGACACCGATAGTAGTACTAAGAAAAATGATGACATCATCAAATTGCCTACAAGCAATGTGCCAAACAAAATTGTAATAATTGAACCTCTGCCCAAACCAACAAAATTGAAGTCACAATCTTTAGGTAATCATTTTCTGCAGTATATATTCATATAAGTAAATTTGTTCTAAGGTCAATCATTTTTATTATTTGTTTAGGCTGAGGCTTGCAAATTTAAAAAAAATGTGGATATTATACTTTTCAAATTATGTTTAAAGAATTGGGCTATCTGATTTTAAAATATTTACATGTATTATTAAAACCTACTAAGTTTGTAATTCAACAATATTTTACCATTATTTTAGCTAACAGAAAATCTAAAAAAGGTAGTCATTGCAGTCCAACAAAAGAAACTTCAAAGAAACATAGGAGCAATAAACATAGAGAAGAGCGTAAAAAGCAGCTTAAAGAAATTGCAAATAAAAATAAAGAAATTATAACTACTAGTGATTCTACTTCCAATGCCAAAAGTGTACCAAACGTTAAAGTTACTAATAAGAATCGTGGAGAATTTTTAAGTAATTCAGTTGAAACTACTGTAAAACCAACTACGAGTTTTGATAAAAGAAAGAAAGATGAAAATAAATTGTCAAGTAATGTTAACCAAAAGAGCAATAAAGGAACGAATAATAACGAGAACAAGAGAAGCAGCGTAGCGGAGGAAAAGAACCCAACGAGAAAAAGTAATAAAGATAGAAAACGAAAATCAGAATCTTCAAAAGATAATTTTAAAATATCTTTTGATCATACTGCTAAAAAAGTAAAATTGGCAGAAATAAGTAATGACAATTCTATTAAGTCTATAATGATAAACACAGTGGCACAAGCTGCAGTACCAATAAAAGCTATTAGGCCTTTAATGGATATAGATTTACGTTTTGGTGGCAAACCAGTATCTACAGTAGGACCACTGCGACAAAAGAAATCTGTAAGATTTTCTTCTGCTCCACCAGAAGTTCGTATATTTGAGATTGAACCAGGAAATAGGTTGCAAGAAACAAAATTAGTTGAAGCGACTTTGTTGGATTCACGAAGGATGCCTAAATTTTCATTAGAAAGAGCTTCCTTAATGAAAATTTTAAGGTGGAATCCACATTGGCTTAATGAGCAAAATACTAATGCTGAACCACCACCAATATTGGGTCACAATAATGTGCCCTTAGCGAAATTTCAATCTTACAATAAGCATACACAATATGTACAGTAAGTTTACTTAACAATACTATTTACTCATATAACTAATCATAAATCACGATTTTAAACAGGAGGAAGGACTGTTAACCGTTTTTTAAAATTGTTTTATTATTTTTAGATTAATTGGTGATCTCCTTCTCATGGAAATATGGGAGTATATAACAAAAGGATACGCAAATGCACAAATCAATCCTAAGATATTACAAATGAGGGTAGAAAACCTACCTCCCGTGCCGCAATCAGAACAATGCTATCAACTATTTAATCTTAGTGTTAACTGTAACTACTTTAATTTTTATTTTATTAAATCTTTATTTCTAAAGTAACATATTTATATATTATTATATTAAATAATGAAAAGTCCATAAATGAAGAACAAAAATGTTGATAATCATTTATTTTTCTTTATTTTCATTAATATAAAAAATTTAAGTCACTTTTTAGCATGGGTCTAAATTTTCTGTTTGACTTTATTAATGTTTTTGACCTATTTGAGGCTGAAATGACCACTTTCTTAAAAAGTATTTTATTTCAGTGTCAATGCCGACTAAGGAGATTAAATGTGCCCCCCGAATAGGAGATATGTTATTAATTGAATTTGGATCAGAACATCCGAAAAGTTGTAGATTCTTTTATGTTTATAATATCACAACTCTTCCATCTCCAGCGAGTAAGTCAAAGTTGTTATAGATTGCAACGATAATATAATTTGTATTTATAACAAGCATTATTTGTTGGTTTCCAGACAATAGAAATACATTTTTCAGTATTTCATTGTGTACAACGCTCACTGAAAAAGTTAGGTATTTAAAAACGGGTGAATTAATGATCGGACAAAAAGTGGCATATTTGCGTACTGTGCTGATGTTGTTCGAAGCTATCGAGTATCTGTCGGTTTCACCCCTTAGAGATGCTATCCTTAAACCTGAGCCGAAACATTTTCTTGGATACGAGAACGATCCTGTTATTAAAATGGATTGTAAGGTTAGTTCAGTTCAGGCTATATTATTTTATTTGACATTTTATCACAATTACAGTAGCTTAAACTTAAAATATGCAAAAAACAAAACAAAATTGTGTAAAACACTTATAGACAGACACAACATGCAAAGGAAAGACAAAGTGAGGACTAAGTTGTACAAGAAGGAATACATTGAAAAGGTTATAACTAAGATATACGACTATTATATACTAAATTAAACTAAATTAAACTGAGAGGGCTGAAGACAACAAATTACTAAGTTTTTTGGGTGAATCCAGGTGTAGATCGATTAAGTGACTATACTCATTTGAACCTTGACAACATCTCGATAATGGCGAATTGGCACCAAACACAGTTCTGCGTAGTGGAGTGCGAAGGGGGGTTGAGGGCTTGCGAGGATATTTGGATGGGACATAGTAACTTATTTTGTGTAATAGCTGGGGAGAGTCAATTTTATTTTGTATTAATTTCGATAAGAATATAGCGTCGGAGATGATTCTACGATTGTGTAAGGGGGTCATTTTGAAGTGAGCTAACTGTTTTTTGTACGAAGGCAACTTTTTTTTTTGAGAGACCAGAGGAATATACGAGATGTAACATGAACCTTTTCTGTATCCTTTCAAGACGCAGTGAGTGGGTGGAAAAATGTGGTCGCCAAATTACTGAGCCGTATTCCAGTACACTCCGCACTAAGCTGTTATAGAGTACAATCTTTGTACTGTGATTACGCAAAGGTCGTATATTTCGAATTAAAAATCCTAGCATTTTGGATGCGCGCGTGACTATGTGATCAATATGGGGTACAAGAGTCCATTTGCTGTCTAGTATAATTCCTGAATCCTTAGTTTCCGTCAATTGCTGTAGTGAACTTTGATCGATATGATATATGTGTTTGATAGAAGAAACTTTACGTGTGAAGCTAATTGAGTGACATTTACTTGGGTTGAGATACATTCCATTACTGGTGGACCAAACGACGAGTTTATTGAGATCATTTTGAAGTTTATGACAGTCGTCTTCAGCTTCAATAATTTTGCAAAATTTTAAGTCATCCGCATACATAAAGACGAGAGATGAGGACAAAATTGTTGGTAGTTCGTTTATAAATAAGTTAAATAGAAATGGCCCAATTAATGAACCCTGTGGTATTCCAGAGGTGATGATTTGTAGATTAGAGCGATAGCCATTTATAACAACATAAAAGCGACGATCGAGAGATAAGATTTCAGCAAGTCGTGGACTGCGCCTACAACTCCGTATGCTAATAATTTATCCAATAAAATACTATGCGGAACGCGATATATTAGGTTCTAGGAGTAAGAAAAAGTATCTTGTCTATCAATAATTAATAGTTTGTATTACAATATAAATACTGTCTATAGTTTACGCGATTAGTACACATTTAAATAAAACACTAACGGTTTAAAACGTATTCGTGAAACTTATTTGAAAATGATTTTTAACTTCGGCCCGACGTCCCCACGTATCTCCCCGTGACCACGGCCGCTGCATCCGAAACGTCGGGTTTTATTTAAATGTATTACAATATGTTTGCACTATATGTATTGCATTTAACCCTTACACAATAGAAGAAGACTTTTAAAACAATGCAATGTAGCGGCGGACTTATCGCTAAAGGGCAATTTCTTCCATGCTACTTAACCTTATAATCTATCTTTATTTGCTCTTTTTGACTGAAACTCCTTTGTGGGATATCTTAAAGTGAAATAATTATGGACTTCCTTCAAATGTCTTTATAGTGGGCTATGACTTTAAACGAGAGCCAGAAAAGGGCTGTCGGTGCATCTGTGTCGGCCGCGCTCGGTGACCGACCCAGAATACAGATGGTACAAGGACCGCCTGGAACTGGTAAGCCATAAATTCGTTCATATTGATCAGCAAAAAGTTTACATTTACAAAAATAACAGAGTCCGCATAGTTCGTACCGGGGGTCTAATCAAAATCCCCCAAGTCGACCCCTTGCAGTAGCCGCGAACCATCGCGGTTAGGACAAAGGACGTATATCGAGGCATTTGGTAGAAGTCGCCTTGGTGTGCGAACCAAACGTCACCAAGCCCAGTATAGTGATTAATTACTTTGTCATAATAAATGATGTTGTGCAATATGGGATTTAACTTATAAAGGTCATAAGTAAATCTTACATATATATATATTTGATAATGTATAAAAGAACTATAATTGAACGTACAATTTTCAATGATTTCAGGGAAATCCAGCGTTATATGCTCCATCGTCATGACGTACTTCTATGACGCCAACGGCAGGAAGCAGCAAAATCGGGGGAAGATTTTAATCTGCGCGACGAGTAACGCTGCCATTGATGAACTGGTCATTCGATTACTTGCTATTCGCCAAGACTTACCGAAACGTTAGTGTCCAAATATGACAACATATGTATGTACTAGCTTTATCAGCGACTTCGTCCGCGTCAAAAAGTTATTATGCACATCAAAATTGTTTTTTCAGACCTCTGCATCTATATAAACTTGAGCTATTACCCACCACGTCGGTCACGGTCGTCGTTCTTTAGTATAGATTCTTATTTGTGTCGCGGGTTCGACTCCCCCGAAATTTTATTTACATATTCATATAAAATTAATAATTTGTCTTTGACACCTTTTTCTTTAGCACAGAAACTCACGTAAAATTATCGTCCTTCTTAACTTTAACATACATTTATTTTACGTTCTCTCATAGAAGCTTTTTTGGTAAGAAAAAGAAGGCCTCGGCGCCATTGTTAACATTAACATATACGTTTATTTAAAGACCATTTAATCATGTCTGTTTACCTAATGTAACTCTATTTGCTACAGCGGACAGGTTCAAAATGGTTCGGGTTGGACGAGAAGAAGCGATGCAAGGGCGGGCGCGTGACGTCAGCTCGCAACAGTTAGCACTTCGTGATACTGCAAGACTTCACAATGAACCACAAAATGCTGTGATAGCGGAACAGGTATTGTCATCATCTTCAGCCATTTAATGGCATCCCTACCAAAGCTCAGGGTATATGCGTCTTGGCGACGATGTTCTGTCTATAGTTTACACGAGTAGTACACATTTAAATAAAACACTTTAACGATTTAAAACGCGATATATTAGTTAAACTTATTTGAAAGTCTCCCCGCAACCACGGCTGCTGCAAAGCATCCGAAACGTCGGGCCGAAGTTAAAAATCATTTTCAAATAAGTTTAACTAATATATCGCGTTTTAAACCGTTAAAGACTTAAAGTGTTTTATTTAAATATTTTTTTAATGATAGAGGAAGACGGCCAAGCATAGGATTCACCTACCATCAAGGCATCTAATCCATATACCATAAGATTGTATACTATAACATCTGAAAAAGATGCAGATTATTTCGAGGTGTACAAACAAGTCTTAGGCGTTAATATAACTGTTTTATGAAACCTAATAGTTTCTACGTCGTACAGTATATGCGCAAGGCTTTATTTTAAGTACGTTTATTTTTAACTGAAGTTTTATACATAGATTTCAGGTCTGGTGGCTAAAAAAAACATGTGGGAGGAGGGAATACGCGTCGAGACAGACCCTGTCAGGTTGGCTTATTGTAAAAGTCGAATAGCACAGATTAAAGAAAGAATAGCAATGGTAAGTACGCCTGTAATCACTGAAAAGAGGGGAAATTGGTCTAATTTATTAATTATATTTTACTTTGAGATGAGAACAGTAATCTTTTGGATCTTTCGTCGTTTTACGAGAATGTGCTATGTTTGACCTCTTCAGAGGCCCTATACTTGCTTTAGTGAAGTGTCTGAGTCTGATAAGGTAAACTAAGTCAGTATTTTTTGTCATTTTTTTATAAATTATGTAGATGTTATAATAATGATAACCGGAATGGTTTTCCAAGATTCGTACACAGAACCACTCTTAGAATGTATTGTTTAGAAAATAACAAATAATTTGACGTCATAATAGTATAACTTAGATTATTAAATATATATGGCACGGTACCGCCTCAGTAGCTAAATGGTTAAACGTGTTGTCTAGCATTGCGTTAAGCGCGAGCGGTCCTGGGCTCGAATCCCGGGGAAACAGTAAATTGTTTCGGTCGGGCAGGGCACAGAAATCTGATCAACTACTTGTAAATAAAACCGATCACTGAAACGGACATAGATGTGTATGTGCCCTATGCCCCACTAGGGGAAACGGGATTTCACACATGGCACGGTACTCTAACCCGCACTATCAATGAAGCTATAATGTCTACTCAATGTAATTTAATTACGACCTTAACATGTAGGTGTTAAGATTCAATGTCCTATAGTTTGGTTATGATTATAGACATATAGAAGATATTTATTCATTTGTATATAACTCATAAATATTGAAAATGTTGTAATTATTATTGAGGTTTGTATTTTATATTATAGCTGAGCAATGGCGGCGGTGGTGGTGGTGGGAAGGAAGTTCGGCAGGACCGTCTTACAGCAGCCGAGAAACGAATCATCGATTGTGCAGACATCATAGCCACCACACTCTCCAGTGCTCAGAGCTTCAAAATGCATGGGTAACGACGAAATTTGTACTACTATGACTTTTTAATAACTTTAATATTTTTTACGTGTTGCACATGTGGAATATATACATTAAAAATCAATTATAAATTGAAGAAAAAGTGCACGGTAGCTCAATTAGTTAGAGCAACAGGACGGAACGCTATGATTGTCGGTTCGAGTCCTGCCCGTGGGTTACCAATTACAAGGAAGGAAAAATATGAAAGTAACGCATGAATTAGGCATTATTTCTACATTGTGTAAGCTCTTAAAATGATTTCCACTAATAAATGTTTCAGGATAAAAGGCCGAGTAGCTTTGTGTATAGTTGACGAAGCGGGACAAGTAATTGAACCCGAGACTTTAGTGCCGCTGACGCTCAACGTAACACGTCTTACGCTAGTCGGTGATCCACAACAGCTCACCGGATACTTATCTTCCCAGGTAGAATAATAAATTTAATTAATGACAATAGATGAACAAGCCGGATTGGCAAATGATGAGTTACTACCATTTCTGTAGTAAATAGGATATATACATAAAACACATTTAATTGTTCAATATGCGCAATATATTAGTTAAATTGATATTTAATATAAATGATCGATATTTGGAAAAACTGGCTGGCAAATATCAACTGCGACGACCTTCCTTATTATGAACTTTTGCATATCATTATTTTTAGTAAGAATAGAATGATGGTCGGTAATTTGTCTAAAGCTCCTAGTCCTCTAAAGACCTAGTACCAATGATAGGTTACCGATATGATATAAAGATGATCATTGAATATCTATTATTAACAGCGAGCGAGGAAACATGGCTTAGACGAGAGTCTCTTTGCACGTTTGACCGCAAACACAGAGTTGTGGGAGCAAAGCCCTGTGCTGCTGCTGAACCAACAGTACCGTATGCACCCGGAGATAGCGGATTACCCGAACCGCGCTTTCTACGGTGGCGTTATCCAAACAGTCCCAAAGGCAAGCGTAGACCTTGACATCCCGCCGTATGGCATCGTAGGCGTCTACAGTGGGGATAAGGCGCAAGGTATGTCATCTATACTCGTACTAGCTGACCTGGAAAAAATCCTTTTGCCATTTGAAGTATTCTGACAAAATTTTATTAAGTTCTTGCAAGTTAATTTGAAAAGATATAAACGGTGCCGGTAATTTTTTTTAAGTCATTTAAGAAATTTTTAAGATAAGAAATAATTCTTAAATATTTCTTTTTTTGGGTATCTTGAACTATTTTCCGCACCGTACGCAACGGATAACCTCGGAAGTTTTTACAAATCTTATTTACGTTTCATTTTTATATATCAAATTTCAAATTTGTATCTATACAACATTTTTCCTTAAGTGTTAATAGAAATGAGATATCATCCATTCATTTACACCATTGTGACAGTTTTTTCAATATAGTCTAGTTATAAAGTAAATTAAGGGACAGACAATGATGTATGTATCTTACATAATTTTAAGTTTTACAAAGATACTATTTACTAACTCACAATAAATATTTTTTTCTGTTATAGAAAGTTATGTTCAAAGGCGGGTACTATTACAGGAAAAAAGCATATTCACATAAATTCACTCATTGTTAAATATAAAAACGTTGTCTTTTTCAAACTTTTAAATAAAACACTTTAACGGTTTAAAACGCGATATAATAGTTAAACTTATTTGAAAATAATTTTTCAAATAAGTTTAGTCTCCTCGTGACCACGGCTGCTGCAAAGCATCCGAAACGTCGGGCCGAAGTTAAAAATCATTTTCAAATAAGTTTAACTAATATATCGCGTTTTAAACCGTTAAAGTGTTTTATTTAAATGTGTACTACTCGCGTAAACTATAGACAGTATTTTTCAAACTTATCAAGCGATATAATTTGGCTTACATCAGAGAAATCGGGTGCCAATGATATGGAGGCCTGTGCGGTGTCCCGTTTGGCGATGGTCTTGTACAAGATGACGAAGTCGCGCAATCTTACCTTCGCTGTCATCACGCCCTACACCGCCAACCGTGAACTTATTAGGAAATACCTGCGACACGACGCGTGAGTGCTTTACTGATTGTTTTTTTTTTCGTGAGCAGTTTCAAAGTAAACCTGAACCAATTTGGGTTGTGGGTTGTTCGGCCGTCGTAATTCAGAAATGGTGTTTGATGTTTTGCCGAAACGCCAACGGACTCTTTCTCAATTACGAATTATGCTAAAATTGAAATAATCAAAATTCAGTTCATCAGTGCCAAAGCAAGATAGGACGAATTCTTGGTCTATCTTTCACGGATTTTAAACACCGGTTACATTTTTTCAGAATGGAGAGCCTTATCGAGGTGAACACAGTGGACAGTTTCCAAGGGCAGGAGCGCGACGTAGTTCTTGTATCAGTGGCCCGAAGTCAGGGCATGGGCTTCTTATCAGATGCTGGCCGCATGAACGTCATGCTTACACGCGCACGTCATTCACTGCTTATCTTCATTAATCCACACGCTGCCATGGTATGTCTTATTTTCTTTCCTGGATTTATATCGGTACATACTTAAAGATTTTCCTTTAAATGACAATTGTGGGTGAACGTTTCTTTTTAACTTCTAAGAAATATAAAAATTAAATTTAATGACATATTGGGTACCATTTGCCGAACTGGTCAAATAGCTAATTATAATTGGGTACGGCGGCAACACGAATCGCTGTGGTTGCCGGTTCAAATCGCCCATGTTTTTTTTTACCTAAGCAGCCAAAATCGCCTGCCTGCTTGTAACATACACACACAAACAATTTGTGATATTATATTTCAGAAAAACGATCAATGGCGGACTTTAGTAGAAGACGCGCGAAAAAGAAAGCTTTACACAACTCTACCGCACAGACTGTGTCGACCACCTAGTGGCTGGAACGACAAGGAATCGGATGACATTTTGGTACACATTAAGTCGAAAATTAAAAGGAAATGATTTTTACATTAACTAAGATGAAATATTTGTCCGCCTTTAAAAATCAATTCTTCCAATAAAGCAGTATCTATACTATCGTATAGATAGCCGTGCATATACTTTCAGGTTCCATAGCTAATCCATATATATTGGCATTAACAAGACTTTCCAAATTCGGCACACAGCCAACAGGAAACTCAATTGTTTTAAGAAATTAATTTGATGTGGATGCAAGGTTAAGCCATTTACTATTTTTACATATATTTTAATATTCTTTATGTAAACTATATTCCAATGCTTCTGGTATTTATCTTCCATGGATAGGGATTTCCACCATACCCACTGTGGTCGCTCTGTTTCCCCCAGGGTTCAAAAGGGATTATGGTGGATTTTGAATCTCATGTTAAATAAGTTTGGATCGGGAACAGAAGCCTGGTAACAGTTCCATGTTGTCTGCCCTAAACCCTAACTGGGGTTTCTCACAAAAACGATATGTGCTAGGGGGCGATGGCTTGCCATTTGTGAACGGGTTTCCCTTTTTGTTAACTCGTAGAACACTTGTAAGAAATGGTGTTATTAAATGAACCTCGATCTACTCTCGATCTGTTTTCGTTATGTTTTATATTTTTCAGTGAAATATTTTAGTGTTTTCACTTAATTACAATTATAAGTAAGCACACGTGTTACTAAATTGCACGAATCGGTTTGTAAATATTTGAAAGGAAACTACAGAATCGCATAGTAAGTCCGCTTTATGTGTTAAGTGGACATTAGTTATAACTAAGCTAACTTAAGTCAAAAATTAAACTACTTTACAATAAAAACTATTATCCCATAATATAGTGTTCAATACTTAAATTTCAAATTGAATCACACGTCTGAAACCGTTTTTATTTAACATAAGGTCATTCAAGACTGAAAAATAAATACCAAAATTCATGTTGGTAACCTGCAAAAGTTTAACTTTAATGTTTTAATTAGTCCTTCAAAATATAAATACTTATGGATATTTGTACATATTTTAAAGTAAGAGCTTTTCTAATCGTAATAAACATAGGCTTGTTTGTTTATCTAGGTTGAATAATGGATAAGAAATATAAATGATAGAATGCGAAGGTTCCGCTACTCAAGCTATATGTACAGAAGGTTTATTTGACTTTTGCAACTACTCGGCCGATGCAACATTTGTCTTATAATTGCTAGAAAGTTGCATGCAACAAAACAAATATTTACAATACATTTTATCAATATACGGGATGTCAATCAGTGACCTCATTTGTTTAACGATATACCTAATATTATAAACAAATACTTCACTTTTTTGAAGCGTTTTGAAAGAAAGAACTAGTTTTCCATACTCATACTATTATAGCATGTTGAGTATAAATGCCAATCTCTTTTTTTTTGTTGGTTTTTGTAATAGTCATATTTAAAATATTGCTTATAATAATATAAAGTTCATAATTATAAAATATTTTATAGAAATTATGTAATTAAACTAACCTAAGGTGACATTTAGTTAGCTTAAATTACGTGGTGTATAGTATTCACAGTAGACGCTATGCCTCGCGTTTTCTGTTTGTTCTAATGTTTATTAGCACTAAACAAAAGATACTTAACCTAAATGCTTTAATGTAAACATGTCGATGGTGGAGGTTTCAACGTTATAAACGGCCACCCTAATAGGCGAACAGTAATTGAGCTAAATTGTTTATGGTTCTTCGCGACCCTAAGCTAATGAGGCATACATCTTCCATAATCACATTTTACGACGAAACTATAACTTACTTACTCTCTCTATATGAAATACAGATTAAAGAGTATCCCATTGGGATTTTACAAAATATAGCAAAGGCTGCTCGGTGATACTTCGCGAACACACTAGTCTGCTCACTATTCAGTTTTGCAAGAACAATTGTCTGAAGTGAACGATTAGCTGCACTTCATGTAACTAAACAATTTCAATTTACATCCATTCAGCTATGTTCGATGACAGACTGCTGTTAACTGGCCAGGGTCAATGGCGCCTGTAGTGGTTCCCATTACTGAATCTAGCAAATGTACAAACTTTAGTCGATAAGGAAAATATAGAAAGTCAAATGATTACTTTTAGTTTGACATATTATTAGATCCTTAAAAGAGAATAATGTGACTGAATGATATGTTAATTACCTGTTGAATCGCTTGTATTTGTTGTTATTGTGATGCTTATTGAAGTGGTGTCCAGGGCGTCTCTCATTACGGTACTTGAAGTTATTACCCCAATACATTTTATTTTGTTTCTCCTGGAAACAAAACATTTTTTTGTAATCTAATCTAATGACAAATTAGGATCTTTTGCATAAAATAAAAGATCATTACCTGAAATGGATTGTAGTCATTTCGCGTATTGTTAAAGCGGTTGTAGTGGTGAAATTTCTTCACTTTCTTTGTCCGGCCTCTGTCCATGTCGTCAGTAGAGTTTAGCGCGCGCTTACGTTCCTCTCGCCTTTCTTCGAATACCTGTAAAAAGCAGTCATATTTATACATATACATGTATAGTGTCAGTTTAGTATTGATTAGATATTATATTCGGTTAGGATGTGGGATCAAAACTTAAGTGACTAGATTAAGTAATAGCGGACAGACAGTAGAATATATATACCTGTCTTGATATAATGCTATGGGTGCCATTCCAAGAAGAGATCGGCGCACCGTAGCCCCTGTGGGACACACTTTGCAGATGTCTCGCGGTGTCAAGGGGCGTGGTCGTCGCAGGGCGTGGCGCTACAGTGGACACGATAGCAGGCGGATCGGCGCGAGGCGGAGAACTCTCGCCGCGTTCACTCAGTGGAGACATGCTACTGACGCTCGTATTTGGACTGGGTTCTACCTCGCCGAGGCGGTCTTCTTTGTCTTTTAGTCTAGAAACAGTGGTACATCTCTATATATGTAAAGTAATACTTTCATTTGGAAAGAGGGATATGAAAAAGAGAAAAGCGTGCCCATTATAACTAAAATTTAAATGTTCTATTCAATACAAGCACCATGTTGATACTTGATAAAACCTCATTATCTGTAAAATACCTATTCTAAAAAGATGCCTTTAGTCACTTTACCATGCATACCAAGTTGCAGGCATAGCTGCAAAAAAAAAAAGGTTTTCCAACAATCTCTCAAAAACTGTTGAATTAAAGAAATACTGACTTACTTTTTGTTTGTATCTCCATTTAAGCTAGGGCTAAGTAAAGGTGCACTGTCCTCACTCGACACTGTCCAGGAATGGTGCATGCCTTTTGTAGTCACTATTAGATGCTGAGGAGACTGGCATCTACTAGGTTTCTGCTTCCGTACATCTTCTTTAACTTCTTCCTTCTTTTGTCTGTCTTCAGTTAACTTCTCAAATCGCTCATCACTGCTAGATTCTGAATCATATGGCACTAACTTTGACCCTGTGTTGCCATTTCTCTGAATATAACTTGATGAATTGCCCTTGTTCATTTGTTCCTCCAATTTTTCAAGTGGTGACTTTTGTTTAACTAGCTTACTGCCTAAAACAGATTTCTCGGGCAGCTTTGGTCCAATAAATGCATTGCTGTTGACATCTGTATCAGTCTTAGTGTGTTTCACTTTTGGTGCTTCCTCATTGCTCTGCTTTTTTAATATGAAACTAATTTTTTTATCATCAATAATTTTCAATTCTGCTCCATTAAAGATCTTCGGTTGCACAGAGACTTTTTCCACTTCACCATTCTGTTTTACTACCCATGGTTCTGAATTTGAACTGTTTGAATCAGTTGATTTACCAAGACTGGAATTTAATATTATTGGTTTACTTTCAGGCTTAGGGTTACTTTGTGTACTGTTCAATGGAATTGGTTTTCTATCCTCATTTCTGTACAAAGTTAGTTTCAGGGGACTTTTATCTCTACTGAGTATATTATCTGATACTTGGTTTCCAAAAAATGAATTTGACGTTGACGTCGAAGGTCCATTAAAATCTTCTATAGTATTATCCTTTTCAAAGAACATGATATAAGCATTTGTTCCGAGAACAGCAGATAATGGCAGAGGACGTACACAACTGTCATCAAACTGGTAATAATTGCTATTTGGAGCTTGTCCTATTGCTGTATAGTGTCCACAGTTTTGGGATGGTCCCAAATGTGTCACTAAGCTCACCAACTTGTATGACTGCAAGATTAAAGTAACAGATTACATGATGTCTCTTTAATATTTTATCAGAATAACAAACTATAGAGATATATGTCCTTACCAACTGCTGTTGTGTGTTTTTATTATACATGTACTTTGAAAGAGATAGTTTCTTTCTAAATTGCACATGCTTTGATAATTTTCCTCCAACTAAAGAAAATCTTTTTAATGCAATACATAAAACCATTGGTGCCCTTTCTATAAAAAACTGTTTAGTTGCTGATACCTGTAAATGGTTTCCTTGTTTTAGATAGAAACATTAATTTTATGGAATACATAATAACTGAAATAAAAACTTATTTACCTTTTTATTGCATGCCTCACATTTATATCCGAGATCTTCTAATCTCTCTCGTGAGAAAAATGAATCTAAAGCTTCGTCTAATGTTGAATGTTTTCGTATATCCAGTAGTAAGTCCTAAAAAGGTAGAAACAAATAAAAGTTAAAGACTGACTTAAATCAATGTTCATATCATTGATTTAAGTCAGTCTTTAACTTCTACTGCAATCTTTCTTAAATACAAAAACAACGTTATACCTGAAAATGTTGGTATGTAGTAGATAAGTGATGACATGCCAAGCAGCGAACTGTTGATCTTAGGTAACCCCCTAAAATTTGGTTTAATGGCGTTGTTTCCTTACTATACTGATCCAATTTGTCTGAGTTTATGAAGTTTGATAAATAACACTTTTCCATTGCTTCAACAAGATATCTGTAAAATAAACCATTTTTGTTTAGCTGTCACCTTAACACCAATCATATCTACGTAATTGTAATAAATTCACCTCAGAAACTCATGTGCATCCTCTTGGCGCCCTGGTGTAAGATGTCTACAAATAAGGCGCAATTTAGAGTACACCTGCCATGGTTTGATTGGTGTACCAGCACTTTTTTGTGTAGCCATCAGGCTAGCCCTCATTCCACAAATGACACAAGCTTCTGCAATGTTATGAGACAATAATTATAGTTACTTAAAAAGAAGAGATGAATCATTCCTACAGTTTTATATAATACATAGATAACGTAAACTTGAGGAATAAATCAGAGCATACCTTGTTGATTACATTTTTCAGAATGAGCAGCTTCAGATACAAGCCAATTAGCAAGTGCAGGGACATGAAATAGTGCTTGCAGAGTGGAGTTAAGGTAACATGTGTTACCCACATTCTGCATTCCTGAGCCTGCCGACCATGCTCCTTGCCAACCCAATTGTACTTTTTCAACAGGAAATAATATCCTCTTGGGCTTTGGTATACCATCTTCACTATTTTTCATATGATCTAGATACAACAAATTATAATTTATTGTGGGATTTTGACACTTCACACATTTCTTTATATCTGGCAATCATTGTTTGCCAACACACTAAAATATTTACCTTATATTTTATACTTTACCTTTACTAAACTGTAAATATTGACATAAGCTAGGCATAAAAGATAACCTATGAATCATTAAGATATACAGTAAGTATTGAATATAAGGACTATTGGATAAATAACTGTTCTAATGTTTACTTACCAGTATTTGGGCCTGAATTTCCATCTTTTTTAAGAAGCTTAGTGTCTAGGACTGGTTTCTTAGGACGAATAACAACATATTTAGACTTCAATCCGTCGAGAACATTACTTTGGTAATCCCCGGATTCTTCGAACTCTATTTTTGAAAGAAGCACATTTTTAGCCGACGAATATATTCTGCTATCCAGTAAAGTTGAACTTTGCGATTCCTCAGCAGTGAGGGATAAACGCAATGCGTTTGAGACTGGGTCACAAATGGATGCGGGCATTTTACCTCCAAAATGCACTACACTCAAACGTGTATCAAATTTTGATAGAACACATGTCTTAGTTGCTAGTCGTTAACAAATAAATTCGGAACACCGTGTCCTTTGTATATGAATTATTGCTTGAAATCCAATAAATTAATAGCTCACATCACTAATCACAATACGGAAAAGGAAAAACGCACACTCGGTATACCACAAATGACAAACGTGAAAGCGCGATGGTTATCCAGAACCTAAAGAAAACCGTAACAAAGATAACAATGTAGTAGAAACATGCGACATTTAATTACGTCTGTGGCTTACACAGATAACTCTCATGTCGTTAACCTTCGTTTTTTTTTAATATTTTATGGCCTGATACCTTTAAGCTAAGTCTTATTTTCACTTCACACTTTTCTTTTTACATAGAGCCTATAGTGTTTTTAATGTATTTGTATTACGCACTATAACACTTTTTGTTTTTAAGTAAATTACACAACTGGCGGCCGGAGGTTTCACTAGCTTCTATAATATCACTTGCTAATATAAGTCTATGAAAAATGGTGTTTTGACACTTGTTAACCTTCGTAATGAGATGCAATTTTCTACTTTTGTATGTGCTTGATCCGTAGTCACAGCCTTTGCTGTCACTGTCAAAGTCATTTTATCAAAAAAATAAAAAATTGCTAACCTGCTCGTCGACATCGAGCAGTTGCATTAAATGTAATTAAAGTCTAGCCCTTAATACACTTAACAAGGGTTATATTTCTAATGAAATATATAGCAGTGTATAGATATTAACAAAATCTGATAGCGACTCTTCGATAGCTGTGTACGCCGGTGAATTAATGACCATGGCGAATCCGTCATCAGGCGTTGGTAAGATTAAGTCATTGTACTCTTTTAATTGAGTTATAGTTAATAGTTTCAATGAAAATTGTCATTTTCAATAAAAACACATATTTTGTGTCATTTCTGCTAATTTGCAGTGGTTCCGAGAAATTTTCGTCTTCTAGAAGAACTTGAGCAAGGTCAGAAGGGAGTGGGCGATGGCACAATATCTTGGGGTCTCGAGAATGATGACGATATGACTTTGACTCATTGGACTGGCATGATTATTGGGCCCCCTAGGGTAATCAACTACTAATATGTATTATAATTTGTAATATTTTTTTTACCCCTGTTTGATATAATTGCCTGTTTTCAGACTCCATACGAAAATAGGATGTATTCCCTTAAGATTGAATGTGGAACTAGATATCCAGATGAGCCACCTACAGCTCGGTTTATTTCTAGAATCAACATGAATTGTGTTAACAGCCAGACTGGACTTGTAAGCATTACAAATATTCCCTATATTTTTCTGTTTTTACTTATATTCTACTTTTGTTAAAATTATTCTTATCTGACATAAGGTGGATAATAGACAAGTTCCAATCCTTGCAAGATGGCAGCGTGATTACACTATTAAGACAGTTCTCCAGGAGTTGAGACGTCTCATGACACTCAAGGAAAACATGAAGCTCTCACAGCCACCAGAGGGAAGCACTTTTTAAATAATTCCTAAAAACTTGAATCACCCAATCTCTATTGAACTATCATATTATATGCACATACATTCATAAATGTATCCTGAGAAAAATATTTTGTGTTTAATTGTATTTAATAACTTCAATTCATTTGATGCATTTATCCACCTATTTATATTATAGAAGATCATTGTCTTGAGTTGATTGGGTGATTAATTTATTTATAAGAACACTTTTTATGTATCTGCTGTCCCCGTAGAGGATTACACCTATTTCTAACATTATATAAATTATTACTGTGGCCTTTGAAAAGTCAAACTTGCTTTTATATGATTAAGAGTTAGTAAAACATTTAGGTGATTTTTTCAAATGCCTGTACTTATAAATGTTGCATCCTTAATATTACTCATTTCTCCACATAGACATACACTTCAACAGAAACTATAATATAAGAATCATTAATAAATAACTAAATGTTCAGATTATTTTCAAGTGTAAAATATTTTAGGAAATTTTTATTCCTTAGGTACATAAGATAAAACATACTATTAATTTAGTATTATAGAGGGCTTCTGTTTTCTCATTACTGTATGCTAATATTGCAGTTTCAAATCTCACTGCATTTTGAATAGAGCTTGTCAAGGTGTAGTAGTTCCCAGTTACTCTCTGCGTGAATTTTTACTTTTAAAATACCAAATGCTAAGTCATATGTTTCATAGCATTAATATTTTTACCAATGTATATCTAGCAAAGGTAAATAAATCAAATAACTCTGTCACCATGATTATTTATTTAAACATCATTTATGACTAAGTACTATTACCATAACATCATTCTTCAACACATCCTTGTACAGTTTTGTTAGAAAATTTGGTTTGGATAATTTTGTTTTTACCATGAAACCAAATAAAATTGACCAAGTGCAAGCTTGATTCGCGTACGAAGGGTTGCGTACCATTGACTAGGAATAGAGATTAATATTGTAATTGTTTATTTCAAGCAACTTTCGATTCGACCTTTTATTTCAGAAATAGTTTTTATAGCGACAACAGGAATACCTAATTTTAATTTGCGGACAGATGAAGCAGTCTGAGCAATAGGACTCTTTAGAAAGGAAATTCATGTTGATTGTGAAGAAAAAATATTATTGAAGATATGAAAATTGGCATGAAATAAAAAAAAAACAACGCACTATATTTAACATAATATTTTATAGCTGAATACACCATACAAAACAAATTCACATTATACAATAAAATAACGGTACAAAATTTATGTGATAGGAGTATAATTTACAAGATGTACTCAGATGATTGCAAAAGTAGGTATACAGTAGATTATCGACACTTATTCATAATATTTAGGTATGTAAGTCAATAATATATCAAGGAGTATTCAAATGGCTCGCAGGCCAAGTAACAAATCAACATATTCCGCCCAATTCAAAGTATGTATATGAAGGTAGTTAAATAATAAAACTACCTTCAAAAACAGAATATAATCACAATCAGTGAAAATACATCTGTCGCAATACCCGAAAAACTGACGTAGCAACAAATTATTTTTGTCTCTGATTAGTATTATGTAATCACAAGATATAGGCACATTCAGGTACAACAATAGCATAAATAATTATGTTAAGTATGTATTGCTTTTCAGTTTTGTATCTCTACCTTTACTAAGTGGGGAGCACATGCAGTGGTCATGAAATGGGGCAAAATCAGTGATGAATATATACATCTAACCAAAGGCTTAACATTTAAGTCGGGCAATATTTCACTCACGCGTTATTAATTTACAAACATATCCAGGGTCAAATAATATATCTATAATAGAGTAGCACTAATTAAATAAAACTACTACGTACAAAGATTATATTCGATAAATTTTTGCTAATTACCTTATTTCTTACCTTATAAATGAAATATTTCACCCCGTTAAGTATAATTTGAGGTTTCTTTAATCATAGTACATTAGTTTATGTAATAGTTAACAGACGAGACTGAACACGCAACTATGATTTCTTTTACAAGACGCTTTACACGTCGTTAATGCATAGCTACAAACTTGAATGATATTGGCACAGATTGAAGATACTTTTATTTTCCCATAAACAACTAATATTATATTCTTTGGTCTTATTTTTTATCAAAGAAAGCAATATACCTCTAGCAGACCGATAACTGAACAAACAATACATTCGGACAAAATAAAGCTTAAACTTAATAATTATAAAATTTAAAATAGACTATTATATTATTTACAACATTTTGAAAATATTTACATAAATAGGTATTTTGAATACACAACATTAAATATAATCTATTAAAATTATTATTTTAAATTTATACAGTGTGTGACTGCCTTTAATGTTGAGACTTGATATACTATATTGGGACGCGACAAGACCAACAACCACGTTTCAAAGTAAAAATCCCTAATTTTTAGACTTCTATTTTTCCATATGGTAGTCTGAAACGAGTACAAATAAAAAATTTCGATTTTTGCGAGGGGTGCATATATCAATGGATTGCAGAAATTCGGCGATGATGTTTGAGACACGGTAGCTCAATTGATTGAGCAGCAGCACGGACGCCAGTTCAAGTTGCGTGTAATTTTTTTAATCCTTGATTATTAATGTTTAGGCATGGATTTTTAATCTTGTCCTAAATACACTGACAGATGATCACGGAAATATATTTAAAAAAAAAACGGTTACCCTGGACTGTGGAATCCCTCGTGTCAAATTTTTAAGCCTACAGAGGCATTCTATCGTGATTAATTTCTGTATCGATAGTTTTTATTAATCTTGAAAATGACATTTAGCAATTTTATACCAGGAGTCGCAGTTCACACACCTTTTACGTATTAGTTAGACACCAATTCGACACATCCCCTGAGACAGTAACCACAAGTATACCTTAATTTTATAAGAAGCGGGACGTTTGGCTACAATACTTAAATCTACTTGACTTGTTCTGGACCTACAAAGCTCTCTCGCCCGTTTTTTATCAGGGACATCTCACAATACAAATCTTGCATTGCTTTCAACTACGAGTGAAACAATAATAAGTCGGTCTTGCTTAGCTACAATTATTCAAATTCAAGTGAAAAATTAACTCTAGAACTAACACTGAATTTGTAATTATGAGATTTTTAAGAATTTGAAAACTGTTACTCAGGTGCTAAGAATACGTTTTTTCCTTTAATATATCTCGAGAATAAAATACCTACTTAAAGATATACCTACCTAAACACAAATTATTCAAAAATTTCCGTTTCACAAATCTACTATGGGTATTCGTCAATCGTATGGTTATCAAAGTATTTGTGTTACACAAAAGTTGAAGATACGTTTAGAATTGAAATACAGTAGTTTCTAATCATACATATAGCCAGTAAAATAGTTATTACATTAAATGCGTTTCCTTTAAGACATTACACAAACAAATGTTTACTTACATGTGAACAGTGTCAGTCATCCTTTTTTCTAAAAATGGCTTTTTCAGTTCACGTGCGCATTCAATATTTCAAAATAATAAATATATAATTACAACGACAATCATTACTACTTACATCATATAATAAGAGTGATTTAACAAAGCGTTAGTTCAAAATTGAGTGTGCGCTACCAAAAACATATTTATTACACAGATTTACATAAAATGTGAACGATGACAATAGTGATATCTGAACAGATATTTACTCCGGTCAAATTAGAAATGTTTAGAATTCCCATATAGCTTAAAATTTATGATGCATTCGACTCTCATTCGTCCGAAACGTCGAGCTGTAGTTGAAATAAATTAAGTAATGTAGTTACTAAGCTAACATTTTAACGGTTTAAAACGCGATATATTAGTTATATATCGCGTTTTAAACCGTTAGTGTTTTATTTAAATGTGTACTACTCGTGTAAACTAAGTAAAAAAAATCTGAACTCCCAGGTTCAGATTTTTTTATCTGTATTTACTTTTTATAAGCGTATTTTGTTGCACTAATAAATAGTCCCAGCTACATTTAGGTATTGAAACACACTATTTTGACCGTAGTTGTTATCGAAAAGCTTGTTTAAAAGAACCCTGTTAACCTCGATACCATAATTCCCGGGAATTTTATCCTGCACTGAATAATTATTATTAAGTTTCTGGTTTTAAATCACCTGTTCAACCCACAATAATGGTCATTATAAGAAAAATCAAAATGGCGGACGATGGTTAAATTTTTCTAAAATTTAAGGTGTAAAGATATTTGGCTACTGCATTGAGGAATAAGTACTATTTCAATATAGAAAAGTCAGCACAGTCTTTTGTGTACAATTATTCTTAAGTTATGACAAACCGTTCACCATGTCAGCACAAGCATTATCCAAGTGGAATGGAGAAACAATCCGCTGGATATTTTGACGAACAATATATAGTAATACATCAAAATTACAAGGGCATTTCGAAATAACATTTTTTTGTCATTTCTTGTCTAATCCTAACACAAGTGGATGGTATAAAAGTGTGACTACTAATACAGATTATACAAACGTTGAGTAAAGAAGCATTTTACTTTAATGCTACACATGGTTAACTCCTTTATCAACAATACTAACAAATATCAAGGCTTTTACAAAGCTATCCAAAAAATAGCCTACGTAAAAGATCTTCAATATGGATGCACTATCTATTTATGGAAGCCTAAATTCATTTGGTATTAAAAAGTGGTTTGTTATGCAAATGGTACAGTCACGAATAATAGGTTTTTTATGCGTAAGTAATCTACATAACCTAGATACTTCAAATACAAGAGCTAACTTCATGAATGATATGAATTAAATAATCTATTCATAGCTAGTTTCAACTTACATTGCTTCTCATAATAAGGTGGCTAGTATTTGAGTTTAACTTGTCTAGAGTTATTTTTGTATGAAAATGATTTGATGAGAGAGTCTGCTGTCATTCTCTTACAAAAAAACACTGTGTCGACTACAAAAGTGTATTTGTATTTTCTAGGTTTAGGGTCAAGGGCGGATCCAGGGTAGGCAAACGATTATAGCTTTCGTTACTTCAAGGTTGTAATGGCCATTAGCATAGACCATGCAGGCGCCGTGCGGACGGCGGCGGACGCGCTGCAGCGAGAAGACGCAGAAACGGCCGGCCACATAGAGCGACTAGGCCCGCACCTCCCCACCGAGCTGCGCTCGCTTCCTCCACCTAAGCCACAGACCGTACTTTCAGACGCAGGTTCACCAAGAAGCTAATGGCTATTGGCGATGTCGATTTCATATAAAAATTTCCCTTAAATGTATATTGTATAGGTAAAGATTCAATAACTTTTTAATATAAATTCAGCCACATATTAAAATTTTTAGGTTAACATTTGCTGATTTTTGTTAGCTTTGTCAAGGCAAAATAAGGCAAAAGTTAATTGTAGAAAATACGAATATGTTTAATATTCAACTTAATAAATAATGAAAAAGTCTTCGTTCACATAAACTAACAATATAAATACAAGGTAAAAAATTAAAAAATAAGATGAAATTAGGTTTCATTCACAATGCAAAAATTGTGTTTACCATATCTGTGTTTTCCAGTCAAAGAGAGGGAAAGGGACGAATTGACGGATAGCCCTTAATAGGGCGTATGGCAATGTGATTTACCTCAGCAATCCGATTAAGTGAGCGAGACTCCCGCAGGCGGTTCTCTTTACGCGCTGCGCGGCGACGCCTGCCGCCATTTGATCCTCGAGCGTCGCCACCACCTGTGGCACCACCACCTGTGGCACCACCACCGCCGCCCCCTGTCGCACCACTTCCACCACCAGAATTGCTACGTTCCGCAGTCCCACTTCCTAGGACACACAAAATAAGCTAAATTTATAGTACAATTATGTCTGATATTTTAATATTTCCAAAAACATTGAAATATTCATATCAAGGAATTTATTGTTAAATTAAAAAAAAAGAGACATAGGAGTCGGACTTACGTACAAACCTTTATATGTAACAAACACATCTACATATAATTTATCAATAAAAAATTTGTTTGTTATAACAAGTAAATAAACTTCTGTTTTTTTGTCTATTTTTTAAACACCACATTGCAATAAAAAAACACATTTAATTTCTTACAATATAAATGCATATAATCCTAAGATTTTCGATATGGTAGCTTATTAGCCACGAAATTGTTGTAATTCAACATTATCGAGTACGATACATTGTTGAATTACAACAATTTTCCTTATATAGCCTGATATAACTAGCCGTCCATTTCAGACTGGCTACAAGTCTACAATTTGATCTGCTGATATGTGATGAGCTTAATATAAGCCAAGCTTAGCCTACTCAAGTGAGCTGACTCACTGTTTGTGTATTTTTTAACGTAAGATATCAATAAAGTAAAATGTCAATTCATCTATCACAACACAAACTGTAACACGTAATGGAATACCCGTAGTCGCAGTACTATGCGGTGGTCTAGCAGCTGGCCTAGCGCCGCGCTCTTGGCTGTCACTCGAGTCGTCGTGGGAGTCCCGACGAGGTCTTTCCACTAGCGGCTCAACGTGCTCGGGGGCTCGCTTCTTCTTCTCTGAATCATCGTCAGAAAGATCTGATGACGAACAGGAGCCAGCCCTGGGGCGCCGACGACGGCACTCGACACGCTGGCGACGGGCAGGCGGCGGCGCCGGTGGAGCTCTGGTGCCTACACTCGCTTTGCTGAGCATATTATTATCTTGGGCTATACTCAGTCTGCCGGTTTTAACACCATCATCGAGATTCACCTAAAACCAGATTGCAAATTGGTTAGAATATGTTGTATAAACTTTACTTCCAATCTACACTAATATATAAATATGAAGAGTTCGTTTGTTTGAATGTGCTATTTTATGGGTGAAATGGTCAGCGGACAACGTGGACTGATCACCCGTCCTGCTGAAGGTGTCCCCGATAGAAAAAAATAATGTGCTATCTCAGGAACCTCAGGTTTGAATTAAAATTTTTGTTTTGGTTAGAGCATTTATCGAAAAAAGCTATAACGGCTACACAACATCGCGCTGAGACTAATAGGAGCGGAGAAACAGCGGGAATTGTGGAAAACACGAGGAAAATTATTCATCTTTGTAAGTTTCCGTTGTGTACGCGACAACAGTTCAAGATACCTAAAAAATAATATATACTATAAGAAAAAGTCTGAAACAGTATATCTCTGTCTTTTAAGATTAACTTGCAAGAACCAGGAGACGTCCGCGTCCTCTGGTTTTGGTCAGTACGACCTCGTGGGTAAAAGCTTAAACCTATACAGTTGAACAGGATGTTTGCAATAAGTAATTCGGTGCCCAAAAAGAACTATTCTACTCGGACGAAGTCGCTGACACAACTAGTTGGTGATAGATGGACAACTGACACTTACATAGACTGACAAAATCATTTCTTTGGTTCATTGTCATTTTTATGAAATTTAAATCCTTAAGATCACTTCCCGTAATTTACCTTTGTAAGATTATCGGCAAGTTGTGCAGGCCTGGCGAGTTGTAACCGTCCCTCTGAACGTGATCCGCGTCGAGATTCTTGAACGCGTGCAGCGCTACTAACAGAGCTTTCTTCATCGTCTTCTTCTTCCCGCACTATGCTGCACTTCCGAGACCTCTGAAATACATAACCGCGTCTTAGTCAAAGACTACACGGCAATAAAAGATTCACACAAATGTAAAAACAAGGTGATAATAAAAAAAAACCTGTTCTTTTGTAAATAGAGACACAAGCATGCATCTTTAACTTAGACACTTTTATTATATTATACTATATAAAAATTTGTACTTTTAGTTTGTAATTTAATTTTAAAAAATGTAAGAGGTTTAGGGTACTCTTTTGTTACAGTCCTATACCTATTTCACTGCCCTGTAAATTTAACCAAGCCAGCTCTGTTTAATACAAGCAATAAGTGTTTTTTTAGTAAAATAGAAATAGTACTGGAGGTGCATCTTGTGGAGTGCGTGGAGCAGCCGGCAACTGTGGTGGTACAAGCAGACCTCTCCCTCCACGAGTTATTGGCAGTGCCTCAGGTCGTCGGGAATTTTGTCTAGCTTCTTGCCTGTAATTTGTTACTAATTGCATTCTATGTCTTTAAGATCAGACTTGTAATATAAATATTGCATTGTTATATATACCTTTTGGATCTGAGTTGCCTTTCTGCTAGTAAATAATATGTTGCTGTAATATGGTTGTATTCACTTTTTTCTAACTCATCCTGTATGGTTTCTTTACAGGCAATATTGCCATCCACCATAATTTGTATAATATTTTCACGATCTTCTTGTGCTATGTCCTGTTTGGTTACTAATGGTGTATCAAAATCTTCCACAGTGACACCCTCACCAGCTGTTACCCAAGGATCAGTGGCAATCTCAGATAAGGTAGCTCGTTTTTCTGGCTCTCTTACAAGCATTCTTCCAATTAATCTAAATAATAAAAAAATATATATCTCTAATATCCTATTCAATTCTAAATACACATATATCTCATTATGCTATTATGGTAAATTACCTTTTACAAGAGTTTGAGATATTCGGTGGGATCGTATATTTACAGTCCATTATCATAGTCAATGTTTCACTGTCATTTGCTTCTTGAAAGGGTGCTTGACCACACACCAACATATATAAAATAACACCAAGGGACCACACATCTACTGCAGGTGCATCATATGAATCACCAAGAAGTATTTCAGGTGCAGAATAAGCCAATGACCCACATGAAGTCTCTAATTTTTGCCCTGGACAAAACTTATTACTAAAACCAAAATCAGTCAATTTCACTACACCTAGTTTTTCAAAAAAGACCACATTTTCAGGTTTTAAATCCCGGTGGACAACATGTAACCTAAAAGCAAAGGCTTAATTAGTTAATTAATAATAAAAAACAACATATTGACTGTGAATAGAGCAAAATATGTTTACCTGTGACAATATGAGATTGCACGAACTATTTGTCTGAAGTAATCACGGGCAAGAGATTCCGATAAGCCAGATTCATGTCTCATAATATAATCATATAAATCACCTCCATCACCTAATTCTAATATTAAATACAATTTTGTTTCTGTTTCAATCACATCATATAGTCTTACTACATTTGGATGCTGCACTAACTTCATACAACGCACCTATAGAATTGAAAAGTATGTTTAAATCGTTCACATATAAAGAAGACCAATTAGCTCAAGCTATCGGAAAGGAGTATGTTGAATACCTCTTGAAATAAATGTGATTTAGAAACATCATCCAGTTTACTCTTGTCTATCACTTTGACAGCGACTTTTTCTCCTGTAAAGACATGTCTTGCTAGCTTCACAACAGCAAAATGTCCAGATCCAAGAGTATCCAGTAAGTCATACAATCCAGCTATTTTGGCATCGTATGAGCCAACTCCAGTACCAACTAATCCTCCACAACTATTCATATTTACGTTTCCTGAAAGAATATCAAATACTCTCCGTATGGAAAAAAAACATGTATGTAACTATTGGGAAATAATATGTGTTTTATTATACCTCACTGTCTATAATATTTAACAGAGTTATTATATTTCTAACAAAGATTATAGTGCATTTAACACTTGGATAACTTAACAATCATAACTATATCTTGACTATATTTTAACGGGTTAATGAATTTGGAATTTAATACTTACACGAATGATTTGAATGACTGATTGAAATCTAATAAGATTTAACACCATTGTATGTATTTATCTCAATTTATTAAAGCAAACTATTCGCCATTTCTGTACCTTCAAAAATATAGAATAGAGACAAGCTCTCTTAATATACAATTTAATCTATGGATAAAATTTTACAAAGTACAACGATTTACAGATAATACACACTGGCTGTAAGCAAAGTGATCAAATCAAAAGATGAAAAATAATCCAGAGCATAGAGTAGAGTAATATATATATATATATATATATATCCATAGTCTGTAGAGCATATTCGGTGTTTGTACGTTGATAGTAATTTAAAAAATAAATTTCTCGGTTAATATCTGTGATAAAATTTTTAATCTAAGAAGAATTATTATAGGTTAAACTATTTGTAAATAACACATAGAAAAAACAAATTTCAAAGACGCTATTTCTGAAATTATTTAATCAAGTAGGGATTTAGTTCCTAAACAGGTTTGGTAAGTAAAACCTTGAAGAAAAATATTACATTATTAATCAGTATTTTCTCGCCCCATTATTTCTAATACAATTTGTTTCTTACGAACCAAGTAAAATGTTATTGAAATTATAAAAATAGATGCCATAGGGCTTATAAAACATTCAAGTAATTCAATTCAATTAATAAGAATACCTGAAAATTATTTTTTCATTGGTGGTCCAGGCAATTTCTTTAAGCGTCAAAGGGCTTGTGATCCCCTGTTGCAATTGATTAAAATTGTGAAACTAATGGGTGTATGTCTTATAGAGTTAATGAGTTTAAAAGGCCCATTTTAAGCCTGAATATGTGGAAAATTTTATATGATTTAAATTATTTGGATTTAATAATTATTCAAGATTTTTATTATTTACAGATTTATAAAACAATAATGTTAGCTCACAAAATAAGTGATGCAGAAAGAACTACTGATGTTCTAACATGCTATGACACCTCTTTTAATAGTATGATGCTCTCAACATATACTCTAAATGGGTTAACTATGACTGGGTTTTCTAAACCCTCTCCAATACAGCTCTTGGGTATACCATTAGGAAAGTTGGGTTTTGGTAAGTTCTCTAAGTGTTATTATTAATTTTTTACTTCAATTATTACACTCCATTATAAAAATTTAAACTTTTATCAATTTTTTACAGATCTCATACTAGAAGCCAAATCTGGAACAGGTAAAACTGTTGTTTTTTCCACTATAGCATTAGAGTTACTTAATCTACAGAAAGGATTACAAGTTATTATAGTAACTCCAACCCGTGAAATTGCTGCACAAATATGTGATGTTATAAAACAAATTGGATCTCATTTTGAAGGTAGCATATTTGATTATAGAAACAATTGAAAATTTTCATGTCCATACAATATTTACAAAAAAAATATTCCTTCCAGGTTTAACAACTGAAATGGTAATAGGTGGTCTTCCTTACAGAGAAGATGTGGAAAAGGTAAATAAAAATGTTCATATTTTAATAGGAACTCCAGGACGTTTAAAACATCTAATAAATGACAAACATATTAATACATGTGCTGTACGTCTTTTTGTGTTGGATGAGGCAGATAAATTAATGGAGAATAGCTTTCAAGATGATATAAAATGTATCCATAAAGCTTTGCCTGGTAAAAAGCAAGTTATTTTGAGTAGTGCCACTTTCCCAGAGAGTATTAAAGAAGTTGTTGATGATTTAGTTGAAGAGGCACAACATGTTTGTCCCACTACCAGTAATGTTCTTCTTGGTATAACCCATAAAGTTACTTTAGTTAAATATAACAGTAATATTGTAAAACAAACAGAAAACAGATTCAATGAGCTGGCTAGAATATTATCAGAAATAGAATTTAAACAGTGTGTTATATTTTGCAAATACCAAGCTAGAGTGTCACAATTGCACAAAATGTTAAAAAAATCAAATTGGCCATCAGATCTTGTATATGGTAAACAAGCACAGACGGTAAGATTAGAGGCACTGAAAACACTACAAGAATACAAATGCCGAATATTAATAGCAACTGATCTGGTATCGAGAGGCATTGATGCTAAAAATGTTAATTTAGTTATAAATTTTGAACCTCCTGATAACTGTGAGACATATTTACATAGAATCGGTAGGTCTGGAAGGTATGGCTCCATTGGAATGGCAGTTTCTATAATAAGCGAAGGAGAGGAATTTGTAAAATTTAACAAAATGCTTGAACCAATAGCACATACAATAAATATACAAAATTTTTGGACCAAAGAAAATATTACCAATAACCAAGAGAACAATACAGAAAAAAAGCCTTCAATGAAGATTTGTGAAATAAGTAATACAAAAAACAATGATGAGTGTAAAGGTGACAATAGCCTATGGAATTCTTTAGTTGGGAATTTAGATAATTCTGGAAATTTGGAAAGCTTTGATCAACTTTGTATTTCATATGCAACAGAAGATAGCAAATCAAAAACGATAGCATCATTCTCAGAATTATTAGAAGATTACACAAATGATGTAAATGTGGAATTAGAAGACTCAACATATAAACATGTAGAATTTGAAAATGTTTCACATAAGACATATTTTGATGCTATACATAGGTGTAAGCAAGAATTAGACATCTTTTCCAATGATATTGGACATAAAATAAGAACTAGTACAGAAAAACTACCAACAGTAGAAAATTCAACACCGAGTAAAAGAATTAATGATAGCAAAATAAATAATAAACACAGTCCTGAATACACATCATACACAAATACTAATGCATTTCTCACAGAGTTACCTCAGTCATTTCATAAAACGAAATACAAATATGGCCCAAAAAATGAAATTAAGCACAATACACTCAAAAAAAAAATTACGGAACATAATGATTCTTATTCCGCTATCCATAATGGAGTTAAAACCTATGAAAGCGTGCGATATCAGAATCAGTTAGATGATAAAGAAGAAATTATAAAAGCAGATGGCTGTAGGAACATATTAGATAAAGAAGTAAAGAATAATTTTAGCAAAACTAAAGACATCAATTATAAGTTAAAGACAGGCAAAGAAAAAGATTTTAATATTCAAGAAACTCACAATAAAAGGAATATAAGAAAAGTACAGGCATATTGTGAATGGTATAACAAATTGAAAACTACAACTAAACAAATAGAACTATTATTGTATATGGAAGAAATGTCAAACTACTGAAAATAGTTTGGTAAATGTTTATAAAAAAATTAAATATGTATGTAATTGATGTAAATGACTTTATTTTTGTACCCTTATACATAATTCTAAGACTAGATCAATAATTTTATATATTCTATACTATATAGTTTAAAAATTAAGTACTATAGGAGACATGGTGTTTACTTAACTTGGAAACATTAATGTATAAACACTTGCTATATAAAAATTATACTCAGCGAAATAATACTATAAGAGGTATGTTAACATGGATAATGATTACTTAATTTCATAGAGATCTTGTCCAATGTAATGACTTGTTACCAATTTTTCGTATTTCCATGTATTGTAGATCGGTATATGGTAGTTACTTACACTTACTTTTACACACAATACACATTTAAAATCAAGTTTTTACTGATGAACTAAACTTACAACCCTATCCAAATATAATAAATAATATTTGTCTAAGATAAAATTAGACTTTCCTCTAAATTTGATTAAGATTACCTAATAAACTCTCTACCTTAATCCCTCTTTTCATGGGTTTCTGAAACAAAAATAAGGAAACAATTATTTTTTACAGTTTAACACTATGAAGACTAAAATAAAAAACGCAACTAAATAAATATATACCTGTTGTTTCCTCTTCTTCTGCATCCAAAATATCAGCACAAAACATGGAATAGCAAAGTAATGACAGAAAGCCTAGAGGCAGGCCAAATACAAGTGCTGTCAATATGGGATTTCCACGCCACATGCTACTAACTGTTGCTCGAGCTTCATAAAATCCTCTGTATAGTCGGACGATAAAGTCTTTACCTCCATATGTCTGGAAAAGGTTTTAAATTTATATATGTAAAACAAATTAGCTAGGCAAAAAGGATAATCACAAAACGCATTTTAATAAACACAAATTGTATTAGTTGTCGGACATAATGGGATTAAGTGACTACTAGAATAGGATTACTACAGTTTTATGGATAAATGGATCACGATGATAAAATTCACCGGTTTAAAACGGGAAATATATATTAAATTAAAGAATATAAAGTTATACTACTGCTATACTTATATTACCCTACTGTGCTATTGTAGCGTAATTTAATAGTCCTCATGTTTAGAACCATAAGGTGTTTCTTTTATATGTATCTACCATCTAAACTATAAATAACATTAAATTTTATATTTAGTACAGACAATTTAGGTATTTTCAAATTCGACTTACAGGTGCTATTTGGTTATGTATGGCGTCCAGAAACCTTATTACCGCCTCTGGCGTCATAAATACTGGGTCAATATCTGGTAAGTGATGGTGATGTGTTGTTGAGTTCAACACAATTAAATGTGGAATAGACAAATCATACATCACAATAGAATTTGCTAGATCTGGTGTGCCCATCCATCCAAATTGAAATTTATGATGAAGTTCATGCTTTTTGCTTCTGCAAGTTAAATTATGTATAACACTTTAATTTCTTCAATTCTCTTATCAATATGATTAAGACTTATAAAATAAAAGTTATGTTTATGAAGAAATTACATTTAAATAAAAAAACAATATTAACGTATTTTATTTAAATTTACATTTCAAAGTTGAGCCCCTTCATTGAGCGATTGGGGCATTTTTAGGTTTGATTCACAGATTTATTATATTTCAGACAATTAGATCAGATCTAGCTGACGGCCAAACAATTTGTTGTTTCCCTGGAACCCACAACCTCTTGTACTTTGAAGACAATCAATAAACTCACCTAATTATCTCTTCCATCATGTCCTTAAAGAATTTTTCTGTTTGTGAAATCTCATTTAACTTATTTTCTGATACCACAGCTATCACTATGTACTTTTTGATTTCAAGTATTTCATTAAAATTGGACCTTGTAATTTTTGGAAAGAATCCAAATCTCTCTGCATGCACCCATTTATCCAGAGTAGTATTAATATTCTCCTTATTTTGTAACAGTTCTGGTGATGCTATATTAATTCAACAGTTTAGGTATTAGAGTTGTACAACACACTTTTAAATTGAAATAAAAGAATTGATTCATAAAATATTAAAAACATACTCTCAAAGAAATATATGTCATCCTCTTTATAAACAAAGACACAGGAAGCATTTGGTGGTTTCAGTTCCTTTTTTATTACATCATAATTCATTGAATAAAACCAAGCGTGGGGTTGGTATTTAATAGCCTGAATTGTAAATATTTCCTAAAACAAAATGTAAATAAGACATTGCCACAAAATTTATCATATTCTCAATAACATAAAATTATTATGAAACAAAGCACAAACTCACCCATAAAGTGCCTTGATGTTCACCTATATATCCGAAGAAGATATCATGCTGGTCTTTCAAATTGTCAATACTATCTGCATAAGACACTTTTTGAATGGGTGGTTGTGCCATTCTTAAAGCAAAATTTACCATATCTTCTTTAATTCTCTCTCCATTGTATACATGAGTAGAGGTCCCCTTAATACTTAAAATTAAAAACAATAATGTATTTTTTATCTCAATTTTTTGTAAATAATATGAAACAATACTTACAACATAATTGTAGGATATGCTCTTATTTGAAAATGACTCGTAATTGCTGGGAAACGAGTGCAATCAACTTTAGCCACTTTTATGGGTGTACTATACAGGCCCTGGGCGACATGTGCCCAAACTGGCTCCAACCTACTGCAGTAAGCACACCATGGTGCATAGAACTTAACAAACCATGTTCCTTCCTTGCTAATATCTATAAACTTATCGCTTAGTTCTAGTACTTTCGACGAAGTAACATAATTCACAACTGAAGCAGAAATAGGAATACATAATTTAATTTTATATTAACAAATAGAAAACATACTCTCATACTTAATTACTTACCAATAAGTAGAAGTGTAGTTAAAGTAATAAAATTCATCTTAGCTAATAAAACCTTAGATTTAATGCGAGTTCCAACTTGTTTTATAAAAAAGAAAAATTATTTCCCCATATGAATTTAAAATAATTAAACTAGGATTAGACACTTAACCCGTGATACGGCGGATACATAAGTAATTTTTATGTATTAAACCAGCATATTCGTAATGTATGAAAATTCCTGTTAGGAAAGATTTATGAATTTAATACTTATATTAATGTTTAATAATGGTCATAAATATTTATTACACACTAATTTCGAAGAGCGCCATTCTAACAAATCACAGATATAATATAATAGTTATACTATAGACAGTTTATGGAAATGACTAAAGAAGGGTACAGATTATAATGGCGATAGCATAATAGATCTTGTATGGAATGAATTATTTACTGTGGTATGTCCGTATGCCATTACCTCAGCCATGATTTTATTCATATGTTGTTACAGTAGAGGGAATATTATGTAATTTAATAGAGTTATGCCAAATAATATGGTCTACAATTTATTAGCCCCAGTTAATGGTAATTTCTTCATAAAAGAATTCTTTTTTTTCGTAACTGATCCAATTTTTTCTGTTATTGTAGTTTTCCACAGACTATAAACACAGCAAACAAATTTTTACCAAATGAGGTGATTACATACTCTTTTTCAGCACAGTATCTATTAAAAATAACTTTTCGTTAACATTCTCCATGACTTTGCAGCAATTAAGGACATCAAGTTCCTTTATCAATTTTTATAATTTCAGTCGTAAATTGAGTAGTCATTGTAATTCGTTACGTACAGTTAATTACCGTTATTCCAAATCCAAGTGGGGAGACGGGCGTGCGAGGGGGGTGCGTACTGGCTTAGCGGGTGCAATTGGAGTGCGAGTTCACTCTGTCACTCGGTCATTACGGTATTTCTCTTGCGTACGGCCCACATTTACGATATTGAAAGAAAAAGTGACAATGCCAGAAAACAAACCGTTCCAACGACTTCCTAAAAATGTTGTACCTGAACATTACGAGTTACATTTAGTTCCAAATCTGGAGAAGTTTACATTTACAGGCTCGACGAGGGTGAAAGTATCGGTAAGAGGAAATTTCATCATATAGTTATTGCAAATATCTTGTTTGCGTGTGACGTACTTAAACGACGCGTATAATTTCAGATCGTTAGCTCTACCAAAGAAATCGTGCTGAATAGCTTAGATTTGGAATTCAAGAACGTAAAACTTCAGTACGATGAAGGCAGCTCGGAAACCACGTTTAATCCGGTGGAAGTCAGGCTTGATGCAGCAGACGAGACGGCAATCATTGTATTCGAAAAAGAATTGCCCGAAGGAAGCGCGACACTGTTTTGTGACTTCATTGGCGAAATCAACGACAAGATGAAAGGGCTGTACAGAAGCAAATACTTGACTCCCAGTGGTGAAGAACGTTATGCTGCAGTCACCCAATTTGAAGCAACAGATGCAAGACGATGCTTCCCATGTTGGGATGAGCCCGCAATCAAAGCCACTTTTGATATAACATTAGAAGTTCCCACAGACCGTGTTGCACTGTCAAATATGCCAGTAAAAGAGGAAAAATCTGTTGGTGATAAGAAAATTATGCAGTTTGATACAACACCTATAATGTCTACTTACTTAGTAGCGGTAGTGGTGGGAGAATATGATTATGTAGAAAAGAAATCAAATGATGGTGTTCTTGTACGTGTCTATACCCCAGTGGGAAAGAGTAAACAAGGAATGTTTGCATTAGAAGTTGCAGCTAAAGTTCTTCCGTACTACAAAGAATACTTTGATATTGCTTATCCATTACCGAAGATAGATTTGATTGCTATTGCAGATTTTTCTGCTGGTGCTATGGAGAATTGGGGGCTTGTGACATATAGGGAAACATGTTTGTTAGTAGATGAAGAGCATACTTCAGCCGTTCGCAGACAGTGGATAGCACTGGTTGTTGGTCATGAGTTGGCTCATCAGTGGTTTGGCAACTTGGTCACAATGGAATGGTGGACCCACCTGTGGTTAAATGAAGGCTATGCATCGTTTGTTGAGTTTCTATGTGTTAATCATTTGTTCCCCGAGTATGATATTTGGACTCAGTTTGTTACAGAAACATATATACGGTAAGTTTTTAGTTATTAAGGAAGAACCTTTATTGTAATGATAATCTTTCTATCAAAAGATTAAATACTATCTACAGTTTACGCGAGTAGTACACATTTAAATAAAACACTTTAACAGTTTAAAACTCAATATATTAGTTAAACTTATTTGAAAATGATTCGGCCCTACATTTCAGATGCAAAGCAAAGCATCATGTTTTATTTAAATGAAAGATCATAGTAATAAAACACTGATTTTCATGTATTGTCTTAAAATGATAAAATAGAAAGAAATCTTAATATTCATACTAAAAGTGATTTCTGCATGTCAACAATTTAAAAATAAAAATGCAGAATCATTCATATAAAATGATACTGGATTACTGCCAAATTGGCACATAATTACAGTTCATTGAACTTAACATCACAGTCTTTGTTTACAAGTTGATGTCTGCTGTGGCACACAAAGTTGATTGCTGCCTATTTCATTTGTTAAACATATTGCCTACCGTCATATAATGCACAAATAGTCATGGGTTTAAATCCAGAAAGAAAAACAAATTGTTTTAGTTGATCAGGGCAAAGGAATCTTATTGGCTTATAAAATCAAGCAGTAAAAGTGACATATGTATTTTTAATAGATTTTAATGGTAAAATTATCAATTTTAGAGCCTTAGAGTTGGATTGTCTAAAAAATTCACATCCCATCGAAGTACCAGTTGGTCACCCTTCAGAAATAGATGAGATATTTGATGACATATCATATAATAAGGGAGCATCTGTTATCAGGATGTTACATAGATACATTGGTGATGATGATTTCCGTAAGGGCATGAATATTTATCTTAAGCGACATCAGGTAATTTTTATTAACATTATTTATTTTCTATAGCATAGAAATAGTATTTGTATTTCATTATTAATCTGTATTTACAGTACAAAAATACATTTACTGAGGATCTGTGGGCTGCACTAGAAGAGGCTTCCAAGAAACCTGTTGGTGCTGTTATGTCAACCTGGACGAAGCAAATGGGCTTTCCAATGGTTCAGGTATATTAATAGTTCTATCTGCTTTGATTTTGAATTAGAAATGTCTGGAATTGGTCCAAATATAATCTGATCCTTATGACACTAGTGCATGTAAAAAAAATATTGAAAGTGAACTATCTTATTGATTTCTATGCAACAAATAAAATAGACCTGTAAATCATATTCGCTATTTAAATAAAACACTTTAACGGTTTAAAACGCGATATATTTTGGTTAAACTTATTTGTGAATTAGTTTTAACTACGTGGAGTCTCCCCGTGACCACGGCTGCTGCAAAGCATCCGAAACGTCGGGCCGTACACATTTATCGCGTAATCTACAGGCAGTATTTTATATTTGCTATTGATAATGTGTTATTCATACCATTATTCTATTGTTACAGTCTTCTTTTGATTCAGTTCAGTGTCTAATGATAATTATTTTGTTTCAACCATTCATTGTTATCAAAATTAAAATTACATATTCCATGACTCATGTATAGAGGCAGTACTTTATAAGAATGTACCGATACCAAATATTATAATTAATGTTTCATTATAATATGCCGATGGTAGTACTTATATAATTAAATTTATCATACTGACTGTAAACATGATAACAGAGGCTTACACAATTTCAGCTTTTATAATTACTACAGTTAACATGTTAGGTATTATAAAACAATTATCTTGCATTACGTACAATTGGAATAGTTCTGATACCGAGAGTTTTTATTACACCTTTTTTATGTACAACAATACTTATAAATTTGAGATAATCCTGTTTTGCAGTTTTTTTGTGGGTTATATATTAACAATGTCCTAAAAATACAAATTAAAAATGTTCCTCAACACATCTATTTTTTTATTAGGTTAGCTCAGAGCAGCGTGGTCCACATCGGGTACTAAAACTAACGCAGCAAAAGTTCTGTGCCGACGGAAGCCAAGGTGATGATACGACATGGATGATACCTATCACCATCTCGACACAGGAACAACCTTCAAAGGTAAATTGATATTGTTTTCGTATATTTGATTTCACACGTTGACCCAGTTTTAAGAGCACTTCCTGCTTCTGAGATAAAAAAGATTTAAATCTAATCATTCTAACATGTATCTGTTTATCTTTGTAAGTTATAAATTTACTATATTTTTAGGGAATTTGTCATGTTTTGTTATACAGTTATCTCATTTACTGACATAACGTTGTATACCATATTAGTATTATATATCTACTGAAACAATGAATATCAACAAGAAAACTAATCCGAGCTATCGCTGTCACTTTGAAACTATTCTAAAGAAATTTTAATATTGTAACCGAGGCAGTGGCCATAGAGTACCAGAGTTTCAGACACGATTTTAGTATAATATAAGACAAATAGGCATTACATCCCACATTATTTTTTCCGATTTGGCTCAGCAATCGCCCGGTCTCTCGCCCAATGACCAATGCGGTGTACATAAAATGTGTCAGTGTGATGTGAGCATTCTTTCCAAAGTCTCCTCAACTTTTCCAAACGTGGAAACGGAAACGATGAAGGATAGTGACGTAATTCGGATTTATTACCGTATTTAGTAGTAAAATGTAGTTAGGTAGGATCGCCCGTTTTGATGACTAAAGAAATTCGTAATTATTAAAATATACCTAGTCATTGAATGGTATTAGGCTTTTGCGGTCACGTATACTTTGAGTTTAGTTTAATAACTAATTCGCTCGTCACAACTATCGGAAATATGGAATAAAAAGTCTTGCTGTAGATGCAGTATTCATTTCAAGTAGATGTACTTTTTTATTTTATTATAGATTAATATCCCAAATATTAACTCATATAATACAGCTTCTATTATTTCATATTCATCTTATCGGCCAATAACTGTTGGAGTCTTTGAGCATTAGTAGTGATTTTACTTTGCGTTTCTAGGTTGCCTTATCCACGGTGCTAGATAAGAAGAGTCAAGAGGTGGTCTTGGAAAATGTAGCTGAAGATACTTGGGTCAAACTTAACCCTGGAACGGTGAGGCTTTTCAACTTTTTCAATCATCAATATCTTAAGGAGGGGTTAATGTTTGTGGTTTGTCTCTGACGCATTAATGTCAACTAGAACCAAGGATAGAGAAGAAACATAGTTAAAATAAATTAATGTTTTTTACCATCTACCCACATTACCCATACTACCCACATAATTTGGCAATAGATAATATCGATAGAATTCATTATTGAGTATAAATTATTTTCTGATCCTCTTGCCATAATAAATCTTGTAATTCTCAGGTTGGCTACTACCGTACGCGATATGAGTCTGCGCTGCTCGAGCGTCTGGTGGGCGCTGTTCGGGATGGATCTTTGCCTCCCTTGGACCGTCTCGGGCTGCTCGACGACTGTTTCGCTTTTGTTCAGGCGGGACATGCTCACACTAATGAGGTATGGTGTCTATTAGACGTCCATTGTGGATTTTGTGTCCTTGTTTACAGTGGTGAAGAGACGTACATGGTATCATCGATAGAAAACTTCAATATTTTTCACATGTTTTATTACACATATAACTAAAAAATCAATTACAGATTTAAAAAAAATGCACGACACTGACAGGACTTGATTGTCAACCAGAGCAACAGGTTCAAGTCCTGCTCGCGTCGTAATTTTTTTCAATCTATAATTGATTTTTAATTATATGGTGACTATTATTGCAGGAAACAAAATATTTTATATCAACAATTTTCACACTAGAGAATAGTAATACATTGTGTATATTGAATTTGGAAGTAACATATTCTATTTAAAGAAAACACTTTAACGGTTTCAAACGCGATATATTAGTTAAACTTATGTGTACTACTCGCGTAAACTATAGATAGTATATTCTAATTCCTTTTTGTTATATAGTAAATATCTCTTTGGTTTTATTTATAGTCGTTGAAATTAATGGAGGCCTTCGGCAACGAGAACAACTTCACCGTGTGGTCTTCCGTCGCTAACTGTCTATCGAAGCTGAGTGTCCTATTCTCTCACACTGCCCTCGATAAGCCGCTTAAGAACTACGGCCGGAAGCTATTTGCTAATGTGACCAAACGCTTGGGCTGGGACGCCGAAGAAAAGGAGAGTCACTTGGACACACTGCTAAGGAGTTTAGTCCTCAATAGAATGATCAGCTTCGAAGATCCGGACACTATTAAAGAGGCTAAAAGCCGGTGAGTATAAATGTAGGTTGGAGAAAGATCTAGGTTTACGAAACGGCTATTAGGAAAGGTACCGCTCTGTGTAACTCAATAGAAAAAATGTTAGCTGGCGTCATAGAAGCTGTGCTGGGGTCGAATCTCTCAAAATTAATAGATTAATGTGAATACTGTCTATAGTTTATTAGGGTAGTACATATATTTAAATACAACACTTTAACGGTTTAAATCGCGATATATATTAGTTAAACTTATTGGGAAATTATTGTAACTAAGGGCCGACATGTCACGCTTAGACTCGGCTGCTGCAAAGCATCCGAAACGTAAACGAATATATATCGCGTTTTAAACCGTTAAGTTGTTATATTTAAATTGATTAAAACAGTTGAGCTGGGCACTGAATTCTTTTATTCTCACATATTTATATGGTTCTGTCGCTTTATATAACTACATCTATACTAGAATTATTTATCTTAAGATATTTTTTACTTTTTCTATAAAATTCTGGGTTCGCTCAAGGTGCTACTTATGTCACGACATTTAAAATATGTAAAATATCAGATTCGAGAAACATCTGTCTGGCGCGTGCCAGTTGCCCGCTGACTTGCGGTCGGCGTGTTACCGCGCTGTGCTGGCAGAAGCCGATGAACCCACCTTCGAGAGGTTCCTCCAGTTATATCGTGCGGCTGATTTACACGAGGAGAAGGACCGCATCAGCCGTGCCCTCGGCGCTGTCAAGGACCCCGCTTTGCTCAACAAAGTGCTAAACTTCGCTATTTCTGTGGGTACCATCTGACATTACTATTAATCGTTGTAGGGTATAGCAGAGACCAAGATTATCTTTCGAGCCCAAATATGTCTACTATAGCTAAAGTTAGCATTTCATTCGAATTTGTGTTATGAAAGAAAAGATAACCAATGGTTTTTTGATATACCTACCACTTGTTTTTATTAAAAAACCAATAGATTATACTCGGGGCTCGAACACACGAGCAATTAAACATGTAAAAGCTGTAAAGGCAATATTTTATCCCAACATTTATAGAATCTTTCTTTAATAGGATGAAGTCCGTTCCCAAGACACGGTGTTTGTCATCGTGTCGGTGGCAGTCAGTCGCAATGGACGAGACCTCGCCTGGCAGTTCTTTAAGGACCACTGGCAGGAGTTCATGGACAGATATCAAGTAATACATAGAAAAGTTTACTCTTTCGCGTTTACACTGCTTGTATCATTATAAAATTCGGTATCCATATGGCTCGACACCCACAAAAGTTTGCATTCCAGTGAGCTAAACAAAGAACTATTAATTTAATTTGATACTTAATTAAAATAATCAACCAACTAACTTTTTGATATATTATTAAAAAGTATGTAAGTATTATTTTAAGTAAATAATTATAAACTTTATTAAATGGTCTATTGTGGGTGTTTACCCTGTTGGCTATATGTATTTTAGCAGAAGATACATTCATCAAAGTTACGCTATAATTATCTGGATTTTATTTGTGTGTATATTATTTTTTTAATAATCTTTTATAATAATAGGGCGGCTTCTTGCTTGCACGCCTTGTGAAATCCACAACGGAAAACTTTGCTTCGGAGGCAAGCGCGCGTGAAATTGAAGAGTTTTTCGCGACGCATCGTTCGCCGGGCACTGAACGGAGCGTGCAGCAAGCGCTGGAGACTGTCCGTTTGAACGCGGCTTGGCTGCGGCGGGATCTCGCCTCCACCACAGCATATCTGCAGCCATACCACTGACCGGTAAGACTTAATAAACTGCTACAACAATAGTTTACTGTAAGGACCGTTTATTAAGCCATATCTGTCATTTCATCAAAAATCGACAAGCTTTAATCGATATTATGGGCTATTTGGCAGATGTAAAGAAGCCCCACAAAAGTAGTACTTATGAATTAAGAAAAATCCAATATTTAAAGTATGCGCCTAAACGCCAATTGTGCGAAATAACACTGCAATACGGCTAGTGACGTAACGAGTCACGACCTTATATTGGTCATTAGTGTGTGTCGATCATATGATTTACAATCTACGTGCATTTGTACCGAAGATTTTAACACTGATTGAAATAATAGAATGAGTAACAAATTTATTTGATTAATTATGCAGAGAATAAAACACTTAACACGGTGGTCTATAGTACAGTATATAAGCAATTGATGTCGTCATAAAATCCGACCAATCAGGAGCGTTGTGTGTCACGTGACAAGTGTTTAAAAAGTTATTTTTTTTTAATCTTACTCAAATTTCTAAACTTGCACATAACAGTAATTTACGCTTTGTCAGAATAGCCCATTATTTACCTGAAATTTACACAATGAAGCGTAATTTTTCATAAGCCTATTAAATTCTTACAACTTTAGTAAAAATGAATGCACTTAAATACTTGCACCATGAGCGATACAGAATATACAGATTAACTTGCTTTAGATATCTACTCGGAACCATTTCTTTTCAGATTTATGTATACAAGACTGAAAGCTACAACGAAACATCAAATGCACCCTTATTTTCAGTTCTGGTACCTTTGTATAAGTTTAATTTATTTTTCTGACATAATAAAGTATTGTATTCATAGTTTGTTGTACGTATTTTGTTGATTAATGTAATATAATAGAAAATTATATCAGAAAAAGTTAATTAAGATCAAGATTGGAATAGAGCGGCCTATTTTATAAAGAGGCACAATTTAAGGACGAGAAAATTAATTCTATTCCCGTTTCGTAGGGAATAGGGCTTGTTTTCATAGTCTGTTATTGGTGTATTAAATGAGAAATTATTTAGGTTCCAAGTATCATACCGATATCCGTAATTTGGATTTTTTTTTCTGTTCATTATCTTAATACAAACCATACCCAAAACCAAAGTTGCCAAGCCATTACTGTTCAACACCGTGTAAGTCCAAGCATTTATTTTTCTGATTTACTGTACAATGTTTGTAATGGTGCTTTAACAATGTCTATTAATTTTGTATTCAGTTTAGATTATGAAAAGTCTACAAACAAAAAAGTTGAATCCTGTAAAACACAGATGCGGTTGGTTTATGTTTCAGTCTATAAATCTGACATTGTTTTAATGTAAGGAAGGTTATGAAGTTACCAACATTTAATGTCCATTTGTTGTAAGACTGTGTTATTGAAATAAATCGTACAAAAGTACCTGCATTTCTTTGTTTCTTTCTCGTCTGACCCTAGAGCTATAGCATCCTAACAAGATGCGCTGACGATTTAGGACATTACGAAATCCATGGACCGATAACCGGAACGTGAATACACAACACGGCTTTTTTATTTGTGGTGTATGTTCGTAAACCGGGCAGATTTCGATATACCTGCTGCTGATGTCCAGATCGTCTAGATTTTTTTTATATTTCTAGTAACATGTTGGAGTTGTAATGCCAGACCAAGAACTTGATCGAGCTAACGAAAATAAAACTCGTTATAAAACAGTACATCTATATTGCACTATAACATCTCACTTTGATTTTACAAATAAAAAGTCACTACATAAATCATTAAAACCCAGTACTCAGAGTAAAATGAAAACATAAAATGTCACACTTCTGTACAATAATAATTGGCAAGTCAAATATGAACGAAACTGTTATTTTACCAATGCACAAGGTGAATATTACAGTTTCTATCTTCACACATACAAAAATATAGATATTACGAACACGCAAAGATTTTAAACAGATTGTTACAGTATATTTTGTTAGAATACTATATAGACAAGATTTATAGTAGTTATTGCTTAAACTGTTTAGTTACAACCATTTCATAGTTACAAACGACTTATATTCTCACCATTGTAACTTATGTGTTTCCAAATTCATTTATATTTACATAATGATCAATCTAGAATCTATAACATCTAAATCAATTAGACACAACATCAAATATCAAGGGATTTGTTACAGTTTTCGAAATAACTACACTAGGGCGACTGTTACTAGGAGGCACACCTATTCCGTCGTATTGCTATCTAATTTCCGTTTTTAAATACTTTTCATAATGTATATACTATTCCCACAGTTGACAGTGGAATCTAGACTTTGACGAATTTACAATAAACAAAAAGATATTGATTTTGGTAGTATAATAATTTGCTTCCAGGGTATAATGAAAATATGAAGGTACCACGGTACAGGCGACATTTTTTGTTGCTAGTCCGATTTAAATATACTTATTAGTATAGTTAGCACTCAAACACACGCACACTTGTACATAAGTTTCGGACGGTATAGTAATAAAAATTGTAAAAAATAATTTACAAAAATTATAAAAAAAATCATAAGACACGTCTTATTTATTACACAGTAATAAAGGTATTTTAAAAAGTAATTAAACAATACAATACTAATAAATTAATACATACCTACCATTCACTTATACATCTACTGTGCTTCTAAGGGTGTCCGCACACGGGCTTGTGGCCGTATATTTTGTTTTGTAACGCGTGGCGGCCATCGACGTCAACCCATACAAAATATATAAAGGAAATACAGCCTATGACTGGTGCTCCGTGTGCGACGACCCTAAATGGGCAACACTTTTCATTTCGGTCCTTAAATATGTGGAATGATATTTTGTTTAATCAACGGACGCAATTGACAAAAATTTACAACTAGAAAAGTAATACCCATTTAGGTATATAGTAAATAGGCTTAACCTATTCGCAGCTAAAAACGAAACTGCATTGACTAGACTTCTCTAATAAATATGAAAGCATTTAAATTTCTATCTATTTAAAACGAGATAGACGTTATAGTTCAATATTATAGGTTCCAAAATCTCTGGTTATACGGTATTTGTAAATTTTAACAATAAGTATCGTTAGTCATTTTATCCTGATAATAAAAATAGCAAGTAATATTTTACAGTAGCTACATAATATTTATTATTCATTATTGTAATTGTAATAAGGGATATTTCAATGCAAGTAAGTATCAACATGTCATATTTGTTTGAGAATGTGTCATCAGGGAACTTGTGAGCAGAAACTTTTATAAAATCATAATAATCACATGAGTAATAATAAATGCTCCGCTTCTTTAGGATAAAGGGAACTTGAGCAAATTGAAAATGCTAAGAGAGATGAGATCGATCCAGAAAATTGGCTAAGTTCAAGTATGTAATCGTAGTAATGATGCGTGAAGTACATTAGTAAATTACTATTAGGGGTTTGCAATACTTTTATAAAGTGGATATATCTTTATGTTTAGTAAATCTGGAGAACATATTGGTTGCCTGATCGATATACGAGACTTAAAACGAATTCAAAATAAATGCGCACACACAATGCGAAACCATTTACAAGCTAATAAAAATACAATATCGAAAATAGTCATTCACTGAGATTCGGTTTAGTCTTATTTAAATATAATAGATGCATATAGCACGAACTTTATTAAATTGACTATTTAGCACATATATTGTAAATCTGTATGTACCGCGTTAGGGGGTCGCCGGCCCAGAGAACAAGATCCATATACCCCAAAATGTACTGCCATGTTCTGTACATATTGATGGAAAGATCAGCAGGATGCAGATACCCCTAACGCCGGCACTATAAATCTGGTAGCATATTATTGAGTATGAATTGTACTGTTTGGTTTTGGACCCAAATACACTACCTACACTTACGACATTTCGTCACTTAATGCGTTTTTGAGGTACTGAACTTGTCTTGACCGAGCTCTGTTGGCAGTAAATGGCAATAGTGTAGAAGGGCGATGCATAAGCGTGTGTTACTCGATGATGAGGCACCTGGGAAGGTGTTCTCGCAAGTAGTCGAAGAGCTCTGGCGACGCGCCGGGGCAGTTTGTCAGCTCCAATTCGCGCAACTGCCGCAGCTGGATGAGACTAGACAGGCCCCCAGAAGTTAGTAGAGGACAACCTGTATTACAATATTCCTTTTTTAGTTTATATTAAACACTTTTGTGGAAATCTATAAGTTGAGAACCTCTTCTCGCTCACGTCGGCCGAAAAAAAAGGTATGATGAAAGAAGGCCGTGAAAGCCGTACGCAATTTATTAATTACTAGTTACTAAGATTATTGATGTAAAAATGTGACTACGAAACAACAAAACTTAGTGATGTACGTACAAATGGCACCTCATGATTGTATTTTTTTAATGTACATATTTCTGTGTAGTGTTCCTCGATAAAAATCATTTGACAAAAAATTTCAATAATTATTGAGGATGAGCTTGCCAATGAGTAATCTGCAACTTATTGTTTAAGTCAAAGTTTGGATTACACATCAATTGAGTTGTGTAAAAATGAATTAAATACTTACCGGCCAATGAGAGGAGCTGTAAAGCGCGCATAGCACAAAGATGTTGCACCCCAAAATCCCGAAGCTGCGAACACCATCGTAGGTACAAGGCCACCAACGACTGCATCGTGCTGATATAGCCCACGCCAATATCCGTTATGTGGACGCATCTGTATTTTATAGTCATATTGCAGTCAGATATAAAAAATGGGCTATATATTGTAATTAAAATCTGGTTGTTATAACAATGTACATTAAAAGAATGGTATCATTTTAATAAACGAGGGTCAATTAAATACTGTCTATAGTTTACGCGAGTAGTACACATAAAACACTAACGGTTTAAAACGCGACATATTAGTTAAACTTATTTAAAAGTGATTTTTAACTTTGCAGCAGTCTCCCCGTGACCACAGTTGTTTGCAACTGTGGTCCAGGCAGATGTTTTAGATTAAATAATGCAAAGAGAAGGGTATTAAGATATAGAAATTGTACAAACACATAAGATGATGTATACCTATCAAGAGTTAACTCCTCAAGCTGATTCAGGTCACAGGCGATGTACTCTAGTGCGCTGTCAGTAACACGCGGACACCAGCTTAAATCGAGGCTACGCAAGCGAGGCAAATTCTCAGCCACCAACTCCACACCTTCGTCGGTCACTTTGCTGCATCCGCTAAGCGACAAAACCGTTAGGTTTGGAAGCGAATGAACTGGAATAAGCACAGTGTATATATATTAAACATATTATTTAAGACATTGAAAATGGGAATATGTTCTCAAATTTTTTGTTCATGCTCACCTATGTTCACAACCCCATGATTTGTGAGCTCCCAACAACTGTGTAGACGCAAAATACTCAGCGACGCACTTTGCTTTTGTGAAAAATACCCCAAAGCCGCATCAGTCACGTGGTAAGCTTGGAGTGAAAACTCGTACAGAGATGGTAGAAGTTGCGCCACAGCCCCTACCTAAATAAATATTTTATCAATGATGACATCAAAATGCTTCAATATAGTAATTATGTAGATTTTTTTTTTTTTAATTAATTAATATATATTTTTGTGCCATTAAAAGTTAATAATGGCATGGTTAATTAGTAGCTTTTTTTAAACTTACAGCTTCGTCTGCTATGTTAATACAGTCAGTAAGTGTGAGTGATACAATCCTTGGCGTTAAACATGCCCAAATGCCAGCCTCTGTTATTTCATTACAGCCTGTTAATTCTAATTCAAATAGAACCTAAAAATCATAAATATAGATCAATAATCAACGATTAATATTTTATGTTACCATGGAGATTATACATACTTCTAAATGATCCAGAATGGATTCCAAGCCCCTGTCTGTTACTGTGCAACCTTTCAAGCTTAAAGCGTTAACATGATTAGCTGATAATGGAAATATTCTAATGATTTCATGAATATCGTCGTCTGATGCAGCAACCAATGCAGTCCCACGGATCCCCCTCCTCACCACCGAGTTATAAAATCTTTGCATGCAACATTCTGTCTCTGATCTGCTTTCGCGAAAATCCACTACGGCAATGAGACCCGTCCACCACCGAGTCGATGAGTATAATATATCCCTCCACTTCGTGCATACTTGAGCAAGCGATTTTCTATCGTTAGAATTGAAATAAAGGAAAAACTTTTCTAGAAATCTTTCATCTAGTATAAACTGACTCCAAATTAGTGGTCTCGGTGAGGGTCGCCTGCGTCGCGGTATTCTAGGAGCAGAAGTAGCGGGTCCACAAAGGGCATTAGCTACCCTTTCGACAACACCTGGGGAGCGCTTTCTGCCACGGAGGCCGAGACCGGTGATACGTCGAGAGAGCTCAGCAGAGGCGCGCTCTACGACGCCCTGAGCCGATACTGACGACATTCTCACTTTGACGCGACGTATCGCGTCTCCCGGCCGCCCGCCCCCAGAGGCAGCGCCGCTGGCTCCGTGCTCACAACCCGCCACTGTGGCGCTAAGCAAAACACAAATCATATTGTATTATGTGAAGTAATATAAACTGTTTATACAGATTTTAACTGGTTTGTTAAGTACAACTTTAATACACATTGTATAAGGTCCTAAATGTCTTTATTAAAAAAAAACGTTACATGTTTCTAACATATGGGTGTTATAAATATTCAAGTGTAACGTTAGCATATTTACTGATATGCAAAGTCCAGATCTTAACCTTTATAAAAATCTTACATTCATGAATAACTATTTTTTTTTTTTGAAAATGAATTCAAACGAACTTAGAGAATTATGTAATCTGCTTTAATCACTATCATGTTTACCAAAAATAAATAAGCAGGCTCTCACAGCTTTCTAAATAAATTTTAATCTAAAGATTGCTTGATATGTAATATAGAATTTTCCCTGTTTGACCTAAAAATGCTGTATTAATAACAAGACAAAAATAGTATTATTATAGACCTAAAGATAAAAACCACACATATTTACAAACCTATAAAATAGATAAATTAATTCCCAAAATCCACATATTTCTTCAAGAAGGAGGTGTAGATTGTTTTTCGTTTTTGTCACTAAACTGCATAAAAATACACACTTATATAAGATAATGGTACTGCATCTAATTAAAACACGCAGGCTTTAAGTTGAATTTCAGCTGGTTACTGTATTAACTTTATATTAAATATTAATAAATAGGTCCGAGATGGAAAAATTAAAATACCTTAGCATCTACATAATTATAAGTACCTATAAAATATTTATAGCATTTTTGGTAGGCACGTATTTTGAAATATTGTCAAGTGTCAACAATTTATGTATTCGAGTAGTCGTGTACTCTGTACGTTTGTCTTTTACTCTACAATAATCTGCTGTTAACACTTTCTTCAGTCTGTACTCTGTACTAGTCATGGCTATGGTTGTTTGTAGATTTTCTATTTAATCTGTATTTTAAAATAAATTCAAAATATTTTCAAAACCAATAATCACAGCAGTTCACAGGGAGTCTGTTACATGTTTTCTGTCTTATATTATATGTTTAAAAACAGCATAAATTATAAATCGTCGTTAAGAATATTCTCCCTTTACCGAACTAAACACAGAGCATTCGGATTCTGTTTATTTGGATGAAATGGAGTTTGCCGATGCGATACCGGTTACTTTTAAGGAAATAACCCCAAGTTACAATATACCCCAAAAATGGAAAGAAATCGTCCTTAATACTGGTGAGAAATAGTGATTAGTTTGTTTAACATACTTTTTAGGTTTCATTTGTTTACTTTCTTACCTATTTATAACCTTTTGCTTTAAAGGTGGCACCCACAGTACTCTTCAAGATATAAAATTACCTCACAAAGCAGGTGGCTACTGGTACAGAGATTCCGATAAGTCTAGTACAAGGAACCGATTTATTTACTGGTATGCTATACTTTTGTTATTTATGTTTTATTTAACACTATTATATTTGTACTTTACGAATTTGTTAATAGTTAATACCTAACAGTTGTTTAATAAATTCATTCTTTTAAAAACCTTTTACAGGCAAACAACATCAGATGCTATTGAATTATCAGAAGCATCTCTAGACGTGAATCTTTCTTCTTGCAATCTTAGATGCAAGGTTGCTCCAGGCACACCTCCATTGAATAACATATCATTTTATGAAAGAACATCAATGCAACAAGTTGTTATTTTAGCTGCTACTGTGTCATCTGTTCACAGATTAGTATTCCCACACCCCGAAAGCTTGGATCGAAAGGTATTGAGTTTATCATTACTGAAACCAATAATATAACATTATACATTTTTAATTGCTCTTTTTGTTAGCACCCTGCAGTGACTTGCTTTCACACTTCATATATAATACTTTAATACAAAATACAAAGACCCCATGATTTTAGAAAATAATTTATTGGGGATTCAACCTTTAAAAATACTGCTAGTTTTTAAAATTGTACATATTGATATTAATTAACCTTATATAATCAATCTTACATTTCAGTCAACCTTCGGATCCTTGAGCCACACAACATCAATATTTAATGACACTAGTGCCATAAATAACCCCAGTAACTACTACATTCTCAATCAATACTCCATTTCAAGTAAGTAATGCCTATATCAGGGTATTGGTTTTAAATCCTTATATAATTGCAATAACACCTGTCCTATTGATTAGTTTCAATTTGAGATCGAGTAAGTAATACCTTGTTATTGTTATTACAGATACAGGTGTAGCTCACTCCTGTGCATCAATATTGCGTGATAATGGGGAAGCTGTGTTTGCTTTGGCATTTGGTTATGGCGGTGAAGGAGGATTACTGCTTGTTAAACTCCCCGTAGCCGGTGCTGCAGTAACTACAGTGTTAAAAAGGGAGTCCAATGTGCCCAGATTTTTATCTGGGTTAACAGGAGCACTAAGGTAGAAGATAAGATTGCTATTAGGAAATACACATTGAGTATTTTTGCGAATCCATAAAAAAAAAGGATTCTTTTATTAAGTACCCACACTGAATTATTTATGTAATTTCTTCCTAAGGGGAAAAACCAGCACAGATGGTATTGAGACCTATGGTGTGGTCCTCACAAATGTACTAGCTATCGTCATATGTGGAGATACATGTCTTCGAGTCTGGCATTTTGATGAGGGTGGTGTACCAATAACAGTGTCAGCTCCTCTTTCGCAAACTTTAGCAAAACCAAAGCCACCTCGTGAGTATAATCAATTAACTAAGAAATTTGTTTGGAAGGGATTCATAAAAATCTATCCTTGTAAAGTTTAATAACAAAATTATTATAGCGTTAAAAATACTTTTAAAACAATAAAAGGTAATTTTTAAAAGGGTATAGCTTTAATGAGTTATTTTTTATCGATTTCAGCACATGCCCATATGCTCCAAAGTATTACAGGATTAGATGGAAATGTATTGCTAGTAGCATACTTGTCATTCCCAAACGAATCTGAGTTTATTGTCATGAAAATGCACGACGCGGGGACTGCAGGAGTTAAGTTCTCGGAAATTTGTCATATTTATGGCCCGCAGGTAAGTAATCAGATTGTTAATATATTCTTTTATATGAGGAAAATAGGTAAACAGGACGTATAACTTGATAGATGATTATATAAAAAAATAAGAATAGCGTTTCACAACACAGACAGAATTTCGACATTCCTACTTCCCATTTAATATCTAAGTTTTCCATATAAAATTTAGCATGTTTAAAAAGAATATAGCAAATCAAAGCAGCAACCTTTTCATTATTATTACGATTGAGTCGACAACCTTGTAAAATTTCTGAGATGTAATTTTATGTAAGCATTTTTATGTGAAGTTGATGACATATGAATTATAAATATAATAATTATAATTGTTTAAAACATAACCTTCCATAATTGTGTGTATTCCAGTTAGACTTACTCGACTATACAATTGGTTATGGCGACAATGGTCATGTTATTTGGGCGCTATGGAGTCAACCTGATGGCGATGCTGTAATAACAAGTAGGTTTACTTAGCTGAAAAGGCATTAAGTGTCTAGAGTGAGGATAAAAGAATATTTATATTGGTATATAGTTATTCTTGAGTAATTTACTGATATAAAAAAATCTCGCTCTCATTAGTAACTAGATACAAGATATACTACTATACATATAAGTGTATGTTGTACTATTTGAATAATAGTAGTAAAGTTAGAAAACTAATAATATTCACATGATGGCATAAAATAGATTAAATTGCTCGAGAGGTGCATATTTTAATTCTGTGAAAAAAATCCGCTCATTTCGTCTAGGACATGGTAACTCGATTTGTTAGGGCAACAGAACGCAACGCCACAGCTATCAAATTCCGGATCAAATCCCAGTCTAACTTCGATTTTCGATCTACGAAATGAATTGATGTTGACGCTCTCCGTCAGGTTGCGCCATCGGCCCGGATGTATCATGGCGAGCAGTCGCAACCAAAGAACCATTGTCAGCATTGCCACAGCTCTCATCACACCAGCAATACCGTGAACGCTTACTTTCCCCCGGACTATTTCCCCCTTCCGTTATCAAAAAGGCATTAGTGGTAAGATGACATCTTGACTGAGTTTAAGTAGTAAAGTTCTGTAGGTTAGGCAAGTAGGGCACATTTATACAAAAACACTAACTTCTTAAAACGCGATATATATTAGTTAAACTGATTTAAAGAATATTTTTACAACGAACCAATATATTTCGCGGCTTAAACGGTTAAAGTGTTTTATTTAAATCAATTTGACTACCTAACCACAATAATTATTAAATTAGATATGAAAATCACATATACTGAACTTGTCTATATTGCTTTATGTACATTTAAATTATGTTTGATATAGATATATAGGCGCGCTTGGGGCGGTAGCGAGCCAGTGCTGGACAACGATCTAGGCGAAAGCTGCGTAAGCGCAGTGCAGGCGCGTTTTAGAAATTTAACCGCGCGGGCTGCGGCACCAGATCACTCGCACCTAATGTACAAGTCAGTATCGTTTATTTTGGAACGGGCAAAATATATCTCTCTATAATAAAAGTTTATTTAATTTTATTGTGTTTTAGATGCTGGTCAGATCTGTATAGCTGGTGTATGCAGTATATGGAGGGTCTACAGAAGCCCTTAGGGTTAATGGTTTCCAAACATGTAAGTTATTAATGATCTGAGATCATATTTGTATCACACATTATAGAATGTTATGTACATTTTATAATGTGTATGATTTTATAGCTTTAGACTAGAACATTGGTGAATATTCTTGCAAAGTTGAGTTAAGATAGTGTTATAATTTTGAATATATACCAAAGTTGTTGTTATTTTTGAAATCGTTATCATATCTTCAACAGAATTGTGAAAATGACGTGGGCTGGTGGTGCGCCGTGGTACGCCGGTCTGGTGTATCTCTTGTCCGGGAACTTGAACCACTCGAGCGCATGATGCTGTCTCCGGATGTAATGCCAGAACCTACTGGTATGTAGTACCATCATATTCATATATTTGTAGCATACATAAAATATTAAATTAAAAAAAACTTTGTGGCTTCAAAATAGTGACAAGTTTTTATTTCAACTGACATAATACACTGAAATGTTTTTCCATATTGAAAACGGTGTTCGTAGGACTAATGGGCGAGTCTTGCGAGTTATCAGTCGACGCAATGCGGGTGGTATGCGCGGGCGCGAGATGGGAGCGAGCGGTTAGTGCAGGCGGTGCAGCGGAATTGGAACGACGACTGTTTGCGTGTTCATCGCCGCAGCACCGACTGTTGCCGCGTCTTTTGCATCTCCTCCGTGCCCCGGAAACTGACGAGCCTAAGCCTGTATGTTAATTGCAACTATATTTATAATTTAAATGCACCTCGCAAAGTTGCCATATACATTTAGTAATAAAACACTTTATAAGCTCTAAAGAGTATACAGAAATGTAAAATTTATTGATTTTGTTATAAAATAATATCGATTGACTGCTGTTATAACCAATACGAGTCCATTTGAAGCAGCTAATGATAAGAGAGACACTTTTTAAATTGTAAAGTATTTATTTATAAATATTTAGTTTTAGTTAAATAAAATATTCTTTATTTATTTTACATGACATACCTATTTCAGAGTTTAACGCCAGAACAAATCGACGAGTTAACATGCATACTTGAACCCATCCGAGATTTACAAAATGCAGTCCTTGAACTGAACGATGCACTGAGATTAGATGTACCAGAAATTGATACTTCGAAGAGTAAGATCTAGCTTTCAGAAATAGTTAATTTAGGTTTTATTCGTTGAATGAAAATAATTGCTGTCGTTTTTTAGGTGATGACGAAGACACAAGTGAATATGACAATTTGTTTGCGAGTGATTTGGGAGTGGCTATTGTTACCGAAGCAATAAGACAAATGGCAGAAATGAGGTGAGTTAGCTAAATTTATTTTCAATACAGCAATATAGTTCATTTCAAATAGTATCATTATTACAGTCGGCCGTAAGTTGTTAGTAGTATTTAAATATGGTTAAATTAAAATCATATTTTGAAACTAATATACTATTGCACATTTAATATTTTTACATGTTATTGCACATGATGATATAAATGACAAATCGATTCTAGATGTGGTGTCGTGTAGTGGTTAGAGCGACGGCATGAAAAGCTGCCGATTCAAGTCCTGTGTCGTAATGTTTTTTAAATCTAAAATCGATTTTAATGTGTCATACAAAATATGATTGTATAACTTTACATGTTATGTCTGTTTACAATTGTTTTATTCAATTTTATTTTTTTTACCTATTTAAAGTTTAGTTATACCATGTTGTAGACGTCGACAGTCCAAAAATATTAGAACGACACAACACTTGGTGAATTGCAATACAAAAAAAAACTATTTTTTTCTAAATGTAATTAATAAAAATTATGTGTTTCCGGTAGATCTCGAGTGGTTCGAGGCGCATTGGCCGCCCTGGGTATAGTGCGTGGTGCGGGCGGCGTGCCTGGCGCTGGTCACTGTGCTGTTCATTGGCAGGCGTACCGCGCATTGCTCTGGCTGCATGCTGCCGTCCTGCAACAAACGTGAGTATTTATTTTTTAACATGTTATTGCACATGATGGCATTATATACATTATAAAAACCGATTTTACATTGATGTGCGAGAGGTGCATGTGTCAATAAGTTGAAAAACGATGAGGAGTAGGACACGGTAGCTCAATTGGTTAGAGCGCGGAACGCTGTGGATGCGAGTTCAAGTCGTATTTTTGTCGAGCTAAAATCGATTTTAGATTTATTCCTTGGCTTTTTAAAGTACCAGTACGTACACAGGTCCACTGTTATTGGGTTTCTGGCAGAAATAACAACTAAATATTTTTTCCTATAGTGTGGGTTATAAATAATAAACCCATAATAAAAACAAATAACATTTTATTACAGGTCGTCTGGTGGTACAGAAACATTCCGTTTGAAGTTGAGTGCTATAGGAGGGGAAGCATTGGAATGTGGAGTTGTAGGAATGGGCGCAATACAGGCGTACGTGGCCGGGGCGGGGGGAACACGGGCACGGGCACATTTAGCGACCGCAACTACACATACGGGTTGCCACCGTGCACTACCGTTACTTGCATACCACCTTGCGCACCAACTGTATCCTTTTTCGACAATTTCGTCAACATCTACTTATGTTTAAAAGCTTAAAATTTGCTGAAACTGGTACAGTTACTTTAAAACCTAATGATAACAGAAGAAAAATTTTAATTCACTGATTATTATTCAACTAATTTAGATCAAAACTTGTATACCATCCAGTATTAATTTAATATTGGTGGATGAAAAAATATCTCCGTTTAATTTAAAGTTAAATTAATTTTTCATAAAAGTAAATTTACTGTGAATCATTCATAAATGAAATAATTTCCTGAATTGAAAGCAGCTGGGCAGTGAGTGGTGGTTTTGAGTTTGGTTGGTGGTTAGCATCCATACACCAACCGCGACTAGTGCAGAATTACGTCAATATGCTGGAACCATGGTGTGAGTGGAACGCTTGCTCCCGTAAGTATTTATTATCTCTGTGATTCTGACAGCTGCCTTCGTTTACCAAATTCGATAGTATCTTCGATCACGTTACCAATTTAGTCAGGCATAAACATACTTCCACCTGTTGTGGTGAAGAAAACACAGAGTTATTTATGTTTTGTTAAGTTGTATGTTTTTTTTATTTTTATACGATTAAACTTCACGACCCGTACGAATTTACGATATTCTTACCACCCAAAGTTATTTGTTTATGCTTTACTTATTTCAGGACAATTTATTCTGGGTCTGTCGTTACTGGAGCTGGATGACGCAGAGGGCGCGTACACAGCGTTCTGCCGTGCTGCCAAAGGCGTCAGTTCAGAACCATTCTTGAGACAACTCGTTGCTGAACCACACAATAGACTAGCACACCACCATGCGCTAGTACTTTATTACATGAAGGTAACAATTACAAATGATCTGCAATTTTCTATATTTTAAGATATATATGAAAGAATAAATGTATGACTGTAACACGATAATCTGAAAAGATACCAAATTTTGTTGGTAGTCCAGACTGTATTCGTCTACAGTCAGTCTACTTCCGAGCTCAAATCTCTACAAGTTTATATTAGGAACGACTATGAAAAGTTTTTATTTGATAAAGGTAAAATTTCACAAAACCAGACTCAAACCGCTTTAAAACTTACAATTTTTCCCATGTTTTATCATAAAACAAAATTTTATCAAAAGAGTTGTTAATTTATACAAACAGTTAACTTCTAAAAACGGAAATTATCGTATGTATAATAATAATGTGGTATAATTTGTAGGTTATCAAACTATTTGAAATACACGACGCCGGAGCGTGTGTCGTCCGTCTGGCCGAAACGGCAATATCAATCGCTGATAAAGATGATCCGAATTTGGTAAGCAATTATTTGTACCCATCTGTTACCTTTAACGTGATATTTAAAGAAATAATTAGTGATCTAAGTTTCTAGTCAAATATTAAAAACTGTGAGAGTATGATCAACTTTGGCTGTGGCCAATGTATGACTAAAAAATGTATCATCATAAAAAAGTAAGTTTAAAATACACTCCCTGAAATCGGAATAAAAAATTGATGGAAAGGTAGCTACACGTTACATTGTACATAGTTCTCGCTCATTTATTTCTATAGACAAATAAGGAGACGAAAAAGCAGTTCACTTGTCCAAAATAAGTAATGCGACTTTTAATTAAAAAAAGTGAAATACCGAATCATTCATCACTTCTTACTAATTACTAGATATTAAACCGAATCCGTAACCGAAGGCCGGTCGGTTTAGAAATCTATAATATGTATATATTTGGCAGGCGATGTTTCAATGGGTGGTGTTCAAATGGCATCTATCTGGTGGTCGTACGGAACGAGCGCTAAGCGCCGCCGCTGCTAACCCCGCTCCGCACGCTCGACACGCTGCTGCGGCCACATTACTCACAACGCTTGGTAAATACATCAATTATATTTTAATATTATAAAAATCGTTACGTAATAAGTGTAACACATACAAGTCATAATATATAACGATATATAGGAAACACATTTTCCACCATCGTCAAGTCAAGTGGAATTTCTTAGATAATACATTTTATTACTTACTAGCGTGCTCGCGACTTCGTCCGCGTGGAATATATTGTTTTGGGCATCATGTTATTTAATTTTGCATAGATCCTTTATAAATCATAGCTGTTACCTAAGACGTCGTCGACGCGTCGTTCTTGCGAGTTAATCTTAATAAACATATATTGTCGCGGACATTTTTAGATAATTGAAAGAAGAATCATTCTTTCATATATAGTTTTTTGGTTCGATGAATAATGTTCCGCGTTATTTTTACATTTCCCTGTGATTCTTTCATTCCTATTGATCGCAGCCTGACGTGTTAAAGTAAAGTCTCGATAAATGGAACAAAAATAATTTTACAATTAGAAACAGATGTATCGGAGTTTAGCACAGATAAACTTTTCAGCGTTGTATATTAGTATAGATATGCGTAAAATAGTATCAATTAGAAAAACATTGTTTTAGCCGAGCGGAAGGAGCTCGGCGCTCTGGTGCGATGCAGTGCGTTAGCGAGTGAAGCCGAAAGAGCAGCAGCAGCACGAGCCAAGTTGCACGATGCCCACACAGATAATCCCTACTACGATTTCCTCTACGCGCTACATGTTTCTAGGCAACACTACAGAAAAGGTATGTATATTCGTAGGGTCCATTTATCATTTCAGAATAAAATAAAAGTGTAAAATGTAAATGTAAGTCTAAACCTGCATTTGAAAGCACAATGCTAAAAACTATTCTTATTGGATATCAATAATGAAATGTATCCGTTAAACACGCTATCAAGTTGTTTTTTAATCGAGTCTTAATGTAACTTATCATGTCTAATTTACATAGTTTAAGAAAACGAAGTCGATATGGTAACCAAATAATTGCTTTAATACATGGTGGTTCATTTACAAATCGAAAAAAAATCGACTCGGGCAAGACTTGAACCGGCACCATCGTTGCTCTAATCGATTGAGCTACCGAATCCAACACCGCATCGTCGAATATTTCAACTTATTATTACATGCACCTCTCGCGCACATGATTCATATTCAAATAACGTCATCATTAATGGGTATTCTGAAAAAGTATTTTCCTATTAATTAAAAATCATTAATATACATAAAATGCAAACAAAAAAATTTAAATTTATGCGATTTTGAAGTAATACCATAATATGATACATTACATTACATTTCTTACGTGGTGATATCATCACCGCGTAAGAAATGTAATTCTTTATTGAAAACTAGATGGCGCTGACGGCGTCTCGAACGCGCAAAAAGAATGTTCCTAATGAAATACTTAGTTGTTTTCTGAAAACTTGCTCATTGCCATCAGGAGGGTCTTAACTGACTCGACTGAACAGTGAGTGATGAGTTGGGAAATGATCTCATTGATTACAACCCGCTCGCTCTTGTCTCAACTATCGCGAGACTTGAGTAGAAGATCTGACACTGCTTTTTGGCCTATTTTATTTAAACATAATTATATCGTGCTCGTGACGCAAGTCGACCATATTGTCTTTAATGATTCTAAATATATTCTGCTGAGATATTTTGATTAAATTTAATTACCAAGAAAAACAATTCTCGTGAGTTTATCAAGATAGGCGGCATAACTTCAATGGATTACTTAAAGATGAATTATATATACATTTCGATATCTAGAAAATTAGTTTTGTAGCGCACGCAATCGCGGAATCCCTGAAAAATTAATAATTTTTCGACATTTCACATTGTCTCTAATGTTGTAACCCTTAAAAAGCCTTCCTCGATAAATGGATAAGCCAACTCAAGTATTTTTTGATTCTAAACATTCGTTTTTGAGATAAGCGTTCAAACAAACTGTTCAGCTTTATAATATTAATATAGATTTAACCTTGTGAGAAAATTATGAATAACGAGTCGCAGGTAGTATTAAAGACTAATTATATTGATATCCTAAATACTATTTAATTACAACAGCCGCAGCTGTAATGTACGAGCGGGCTACTCGATGTGGCACCGAACGCGGAGGTACTACTTTACGGCGAAAATTTATAGCGGCCGCATTAACCTGCCTACGACTCGCTCGTCCGCAGCACGCCTTTTTAGCTAGACCACCAGCCCAAGGACAAACAACTACCGCTCAGGTACATAATAATCACCAAATTTAACAATCATAATAGAAGTGTGATAAATTTTCATCAAAACGTTTCATTACCAGGTGATAGGGCCCGAAGAGTTAGCAGCGGAACTTCGAGAAGATGATTTGGAAGCCTTGGATCCAGTTCAACAAGCATTGAAAAGTAAGCTCATTTTAAGCGCGTTTTTAAGAAAAAAAATATTTCTTCCATTACCACATTTTTATATATGTTGTGTTTTTAGAATCAGAAGCAATAGATTTCGACAGACTGTATCCAAAACTAAAGGAAGCAGACCGAGAGACCTTGTTAGATGTTACAAAACGCACTATCAGCACCGGACAGTTTTTGCCACGTTGGTTTCTACAAAGATTTATGGTATATATTTTAGTACTATTGAAACGTCATGTTATTATTTGGAACGTCTTGTCATACAAGGTTAAGAATACTACTATTAACTGAATATGTAGGATATGGACGGGGCAGGATGTGTACGCGCTTTGTTAAGCGGCGGCCGATTGGTAGAGGCTGCGGAAGCCTGCGTCTACGTTTTACGCAGATGGATGGTCGCGTTAGCTCCGCATCGGGAACCTTGTGCAGCACCACTCGCCCTAGCTGATCTAGTTTTGGTAGAACTGCAATTGCATCTAGATCATTCACCCTCAAAACAGGTAATAAATTGATACGATTGAATTTTAGATCATATAATTACTTCTTCCTTTATTTGTAACCTAGCATTTTTATTATTACTGATTAAGACTTGTTCAAAGAACGATGATACGCTTAATTTACAATTTTAATTAGGTACGATAAATTAACTTTAATCTCCATTTTTAGGTGTATGACGAGTTGAACAACTTGGTTGAAGAATATACAAAGATAGTTATCAGGACTTCAGAAGATATGAAAAGCGCACAAATACAACATGCGATTGTCCAGTAACTTTAATTTTAGGATTTAATAAAAGAATGCGTTTTCCATAAACGTTTAATTATCACCCTTTCCCATAGTATCCTATACTACTTCATACGAAGCAAAACAAAAATTTCCGTATGTTTTTAAACCCTAAGTAAAAAAAAAACATTGAAAATTAAGTTACTAATACCATTCATATTATTTTATAACTAGCATATATTATTTTAAAACTTTTGGATAATTTGGATTTTTTTCTTTGTATTTGTTATTTTGCAATTTATTGCTATTGTTAACAAATCACAGTAAATATTACTACTAAAATCAACTTATACAATCACAAAATTATCACCATTAAAATTAGTCATGGTACATTATTAATTGCGTCACTGTACCCAATGGTGGGTCTTCATAGAGATTAAAATAATCCTCCAGTCATGGGTAAATGCCCTAAAAGGAATGGCTTTGGTAATGCAATTTGAAGTCACGCATGTGTCATTCTTGAATATAGGTTACATTATCATAATATGTAACTTTGAACATATGTATATCTATTATATATGAATAATGAATATATACCATAGATCAAAAACTTTAAGTCGCCCAATTACAATCTAAATAATAACTTAGTATTTTAGATTTTTCATTTATCATTATTATTACAAATTAAGAGATAGTAGGCAATATTTTAAATCATAGATTGATGTTGTATGTTATACTAGCATGCTTTAAATTTGTACAACCAAGCAACAAAGTAGAATTCTTTGATATAATATAGCATTAAGAAGCCCGTTACCTTCCCCTATTAATAAAATTATACCAACACTATTGACGACTAACTTTCACTCGCATAATAGTCAATACAAATCGAACTATCTTCTCATATATTAGAAACATCAAAGCAGCAGTCAATACAGTTTGCATAATTTTTGCTTCTAAGCCCCTAAATAATATTACAGGGTTAGACTTTACATCTTTGTACAATGGTTTCAGACTAGTACCAGCCCTCAATCTCGACTGAATTAGTTGAATGGGATATGTTAATGTAGTAGCTATAGCTTTTGCTATAGCACCAGAGAGGAAGGCGGAGTATGTATTAAAACGTTTCATCGCCATCAAGTTTCGTTTTAAAGATTCATACACCATAAACTGTATAGCTGGGTTAGATACTAGTAGCAGAGAAGGCACAGTACCTGACCATAAACCTTTTACACCTTCCTTATCAAATACTTCCATAAGCCCAGAGAAAAGACTTTTATAATCATTCTTAGCCAACTTCATTCTAGTGTTGACTACCCAAAGAGGAGATGTTATTACTACATTAATGCTACCTGCTATAATACCAAAGAGTAAATCACTTAAGGCAGAAGAATTACTACTGGATTTCTTCAAAGCATGAAATGTGTAGAAGTAAACAAAGTTTGATATAGATAATGATTGCAAAACTGGGCACAATCCTCTATATAAAGAATCAAAACCTTCTTCTTTTGCTATCTTTACCAATATTTCCCAAGCGGGACCTTGAAGTTTATTAGAATCCTCGACTGAAACAAAAAAAATAATTTTATAGCTTCTTCAGAGTTTAGTTATGCAACATATAAATAAATGCTTAACATTTTAGTAATTCTAGTTGCATAAGGAAATCCGAAATAGGTATTAAGTTATAATTTACCTTGTTGTCTGGATCTCACTGTATCTAATGGATAAAATGCAGTCATCCCAATAACACTCCCCTGTAAAAAGATTTATACATTTTATATTTATAGTTATTTATTTTAAGGTGTAATAAAAATTAAAACATTGTATTTTACATACCGTTGCCCCTGCTACAGCATGAATCAACGTTTCATACGTTAATAACGATGATGCCATTGGGAATTTATGTATTATACTATTATATATAACATACTATTTAAAAACACCTTTTGACTGAAAAAATCAGCGCACTTTGGAGGCTATATGACTAAACGAATAGGAATTATTTTACGCTCAATACTCCTTGTTCTGAAGTTTGCACTTTGATCTTTTAAAAGTAATGATTTGATTTTTTGTCGTCGTCAAAAATTCGCAAATTTATTTTCAATTTCTATAAAATTCTTGTAATCGCACCTGAGTTTTAGCATAGCCTTAAAAATACTTTTGAAATTTTAGGAAAACAATAATCTGCGCTAAAAACAGCTTCTATTGAATAACTTAATATTTGAACATTTTCGACACAATATAATTTAGTGTAAAGTCAAACATTAACGATTTTAAAGATTTTTGGGATTTATTTAAAACCATATCTCTAAATATAATTTAAAGACGTGCTCCAAAGATTTACTTGCTGTGCCACACTGTGTTTTAAACAGAATTATTTTTTATTTTAAATGAGAACAAGAATCACGGGCCACAGATTTATAAGGAGTCATCATGTACTCTCCTGTGACAAAATGAATAGCTTCTATCATAGGTATGCAACATATTTGCAATCCTCCAACCACAATATTCATGTTGAAAACATAGCCAATTATATAAATATTATGTTTTTATATATTTTAAGTATTCATAGTCAGTAAAGAGTATGTTAAATAATAAAATATATGGTGTGTGCGAGTAAAGTATCGTCCATATTTGAGTCTATAGTTATACAGACCCAGACGTTCAGTGCCCACTGACAGTGCCTATAATTGCCAACTGTAAAATTTACCACTTGACAAATATAAAACAATAATATATGTTGTTTACAATTGATAGTATTTTATATATCAGTTGGCATATCATATTTTTTCCCATAATACGTGAAATCAAAGGACTGTTTATCCTAATATGAGGGTGTTTCTAGCAGAAGATAATTTGTGCGCTCAAAATTTATTAAAAATAGTATCCCATGGAAATGCTATACTAGCTGAAATATTAAGACTGAAGGACCACATTCCACCAGTATACTTGTACATATTTTAATTTTTCTCCGTCTTTTGTTAAGCATTTGTTAGATTTTAATTTAACTCTCTTATTTTTAAAGGCTAGACTCTAAAGAACTTCAGCACCAGTATCAGGATGTTATTTTGGACTTTAGCTACTTTAAACTTTCTGAAGCACAAGAAAAAAAAATTTCGTCGAATTCCGTGAGTTTAGGTTCCTAGTTAATAACGAATCTATATATCCACGTACCTATGCTCAACATCCTAACACCATTTTTATTTCCAGAAACTTCAAGACTTAGATGATGATTTAAAAGAAAAGCACTTGGACCTTATAACTAGGTTCTATTTGTTGTTTGAAAATGTTTATCAATTCATTGTAGACCTTAATTGCTTTGTAGAACAGTTGCATGATGGTGCATTCATTCAGCAGTCTATGGACACAATTTTAAAAGATACAGAAGGAAAGCAACTTTTGGTTGGTTCCTAACATTTAGTTCACAAGTTATTTATAATGTTTATCACATTATTATTCTACAAATCAACTTTTATAATTACAGTGTGAATCACTTTATTTATATGGTGCAATGCTGTTATTATGTGATCTTTATATTTCTGGTGTTGTACGAGAAAGGTTATTAGTGGCTTTCTATAGATATAGTACTAATCAATCACAGACAAATGTTGATGATGTTTGCAAATTATTGAGAGATACTGGTTACCATCAAACACAAGGGAAGAGACCATCCGATTACCCTGTGGAGTATTTTAGGTACAAAATTAATGTTTATAATTTTATACATAATTTCTAAGTATTTCTATAGTGATACTTTTATTTAAGCCTTTTTGCAGTCGTGTGCCTATTCATCCTGAGTTTGTAGAGAAGGTGGTTTCCAAATTGAGAACAGAAGATATTTATAATCAACTCACTGTATACACAATTCCTGAACACCAATCTTCTGCATTGGCTCCACAAGCTTCTATGCTTGTTGTCTGCTTATTTTTTGCTCCACATTATTTGCACGGTGACTTGCCAAAGATGAGGGAAATTATTGATAAGTTTTTTCCAAGTAATTGGATTATACCTATATATATGGGAGTAACAATGAATGTGTTTGATTACTGGGAGAGCTTTAAAGCAGCCAAATCATGCCTAGCTAACACATGCAATAATAAGATGATCAAAGAGATTTTTTCTAAAAGAGGCAATTCAGTACCCCTATTAATAACTAAAACTCAGCAACTCCTTAAAGAAGGAATCCTGACTGATGATTTTGTACTTGATAACATTAGTAAAATAATGAATCTAATATTAAACTCAAACCATGTTTTACGCTTACTGCTATTACACAGCACTGATGTAATATTTTTTGATAATCACAGAAAGAGTAAGCAGTTGAGGGACTTAGTGATTAAGGAAACTAATTATGACCCATCACAATTACTAGAGTTGCTAATAAGTACAGCTGAGTTAGAGTTAAAAGTAAGGGAATTTTTGAAAAAATTACTTGGTAATAGAAGTCAATCTTGGAATATGAATAAAAATATTGCACTAGAGACACTAAATAACTTATCTGAATTATTTACTGGTAACAAGACATATACCAAAGTTGTGCAGAATGACGAGTTAAAGGTTTGGTTTGAGAATATTGCTAATCAAGTATCATCAATAAGTGAACAGATACATCCAAAATCAATAAAAAAAGTAACTAGACTCATCCAGGTTTTAGACGAGGTAGAAGAATTTCATGGTATTAAAAGTACATCTGCTGTTGTTCAATTGCTTAATGAAACTAGAGAAGCCCTAAGGAACCTCTTAAGAACTGCATCTTTAAAAGAAGATTCATTAGTGACATTAGAAACTGTTGCAGACTTTAGTTATGCTTGGTGTACTATAGATCTATATACAAAATACATGCAAAAGCGTATTAAAGAGAATCCTTCTATTACCAGCAGATTAAGGGCATTGTTCTTAAAACTAGCGAGTGCTATGGAAATTCCACTTTTACGAATAAACCAAGCAGAAAGTGAAGACCTAGTATCTGTCTCACAATACTACAGCAGTGAATTGATAAAATACATTCAGAAGGTTTTACAGATTATTCCAGAGATGGTTTTCAGTTTGGTTGAAAAGATTATTGAACTCCAAACATGGGGCATTAAAGAAATGCCAACACGAATTGATAAAGAGAAATTAAGGGATTATGCACAACTTGATCAAAGAATGGAAATTTCAAGGCTTACTCATTCAGCCTCAACATTTACAACTGGTTGTTATTATTATTATTATGGATATACACCGTTAGGTACTTTTTAGTTAATAAGAATATTTTATCAATATTCCACCAATGTTTTAACAGGTATATTAGATATGAGATCTACCCTGGTTGGAGTTATTAGAGTAGATCCAGCAGAACTCCTTGAAGAAGGTTTGTTAAAAGAATTGGATAAACATGTGACTGGAAAGTTTGTTGAGTTTCTTGAACCTCCAGCAAAAAAAACAGATAATCTATTAGTTAGACTTCAAAAACTGGCCGATAGTATGGAGGGTTACAAGAGATCTTTAGAATACATTCAAGATTACATTAATATTCACGGCCTTAGAATTTGGCAAAAGCAGGTAATAATTCTCACGAAAATTAATATAACTTAAATGTAAGTGAATAGATAACTTTATAAAAGATCAATGATCAAATTTTGTCCAGGTATCGACCATTATCAATGAGAATGTCGCAAAAGAAGTTAGTATACGAAAGGGAGTCACAATGCATGGACCTTCTGCCAGTTTCATGGGCAGTCTTGCGAAACAAATTGTACAACAAACTGATGCCAGGTTTAAGATTTGATAGTTATATGACCTATATTAAAAGAAAAGATACTACATACTTAATGCGTGATATATGTTTAAATTAGTGGGCAGTTTTTTTTTAAGACAACAACTAAAGATAGGTAAAACAAGTTGAAACTGTAAACGATTCTTTTTCTTCTAATTTTTTATCATCAATTCGGAAATAGGCACTGTTACTAAAAATAAAAACATTTTCCTGTTACAGGAGTTGTATATATATAAATGTATGCGCAGCCTGGTATGACGTTAAAACGAATACTGAAGTTGTAAATAATAGAACTTTTTCTAAACTCAATGATGCTGTAGGTGTGGTTGGTTTTCATGGTTTAGATACGCTGTATGGTTACATGATCAAAAACCAACTGCAACAATTACAACTTACAATCCAAGCAAGCCATGAAAAATTTTCAGCAAACCTTAAAAATATTGATCTAAAAGAAATAGAACAGACGATTTCAAAGGGACACAAGTTTACACAACAGATATCGGATACTTTACTGATTGTTGGTGAATTACAACTATTGAGGAAACATATCGCATATCAATTGAATACAAGTTGCAAAATAGATTCCGCCCATTTGGAAGCTTCACTCAGGACTATGAATGAGTATGTTTATTACAATAATGTATTATAATATTTGAAAACTTTAATGTTTTTTACATGTTATTGCACATGAAGGTACTATATAATTTGAAAAATCGAAAATAAATTTTCGACTCGGGCAGGACTTGAACTGGCATCGTCAGCGTTCCGTGCTGTTGCTTTCAACACGACGGAGCAACGAGACAACGAGAGCGGAGCGGAGGAAGAGCAATAGCACGGAAGGCTGACGGTGCCGGTTGAAGTCCTGCCCGAGTCGAATTTTTTTTCAATTTTTAAAATGTACTATAATGTTCAAGTTAAACTATCATAATAGTCATGCCTTTTCAGATGTTTGATTAATGAGATTAAAAACTCGCGAACCTCCAAATTGGACTTAACATTGATACGAGAACTAGAAGAATATTTAGTGAGATGTGGTCTAGTTGAACCATTTGAAAAAGTATACGTAAAAAATATGGAAGTCCTTGGTGTCGACATGGGGTACTTGTTAGCAATAGTTTGGATTGCACAACTACCTAAACTACAACTTTGTACAACAACAGGTGATTAATTAGAACACCCAGTTTACGCTAATCATACGTAGTAAATAAAACTTCGAACGGTTTAAAACTCAAAGTATTACTTGTTTTAACTTCTGCCATCATGCATTCATCGTTTTAAACTGTTTATTGTATTTACAATGTATAGTAATTACTATCTAGGTAAATTAGATAGTAATTAAATATTGTTAAATCTAAATATATCATTTATTACAATTTTTAAATTTGTAGGGGACTTAATAGCAAAAAAGCATGGTGAAAACATAGATGGCTATCCACTACTTATTGGCACCTATACTCTTTTGCGACAGTGTAAAGTTGAGAGTATTGATTTGTTTATAGATTATTTATGCAGATTTGTTAAAGAAACCACATCTAACAAGTAAGTTTTTATTTAAATAACATCTTCATTTAAAAAGTTAAATACTCTAACTATAGAAGAATCAATTATAATTTACTCAAATAACAATGATTTTTACAGAATAAAGTCTGCGGAGACACCTAATGAAGGTTTATTTGTAGCAAGACTTCTGCAAATCTTTTGTGAGACATTCAATTACTCCATTCGAACATTAGAAGATAAGCTACCCTTAATGCTTTTAACTTCTGTAGCTCAAAAGTAAATGCACTAATGTTAAACCTAATTTACTTGAATGTAATTTGTATAAGTTTATCCATTATTTTAAAAATATTTATAAATATACTATGTTAAAGTTATCTGTAGTTTTGTCTTGCAAGCGCTGGATTAAATTGGGAATTATATTTTGGTACTATACTTGACTTCTTAGTTGTTGTTTCTAATGTTTCCTCACCATTAAGTTTCTTTAGAAATAATTCTGTTCTAAATTTTTCATGTTGTTCTCGCTTTAATCTAGCTTCTCGAAGTTTCTGTAATTTAGAAACCTTATCATCATTCTTCATCTTTGCTTTTGTTGTTTGTTCCTTTTTATTGCTATTGGAACATGATTTTTTTTGTTTCTCATTATGGTGGCAAAGATGTCTAAATGCATTGATAGGGTCAATGTGCTGTTTAGATTTCCATGCAATTTCACCATTTTTTTCATCTAATTCTTTATGCTTAGGTTTTCCATCTTTATCCTTAAGCACCAGTTTATCATATGTATCTTTGACATAGGCTGGTTTGGAAAAGCGTGATGATTGTGGAGGTACATCATACCAATTTTTTTTTCCTAAAGCTTCATTTGTATCTTGACCAAGGTATGTCAAGTATCCAATTTTCTTTTCATATTCTTCTTTTTTCTCTTTTACTTCTTTGTCATGTTCCTTATTTGTAGTATCCACAGCATGTTCAATATCAGCAAATAAATTAATATGCTCCAATGTTGGTGGTTGAGTATGTTGTTTAGTAATAATATTTAAAGATTCTAATTTTTCTTTACTTTTTTGTTTTAGAATATTTAACCGTGATTCACGGTCTGCTTGCTCTATTCTAATTTGCTCCTGCCTTTCCTTCTCTGCTGCTTCTGCTTCATCTTTCCTAACTCTAGCAATATTTTCTTTAGTCCGAACATGCCACCTAAAAATAATTAGTTTTTAAAAATTTTACTATTTTATACATGTCCTGTTCCTGCCTGAGTCGAAATTTTCTTTTCTTGTAACATATTAAGAAAATATTATATAAATGAAATGAAACTTGCCACAGTATTCAAATTCAACTTTTAATAAAAAAATGATAAAGTATATAAAATCTATCTATGAAGAGTATATAAATCAAACATCTGATTAATTATTTTATAATAAACACACAAATATTTCTGAAGATTTTCTTACCGTTTTTTTGGTAGAATATTCATGTTGTTGGTTACTACTTGCTGTGTACTATAAGAATTTATTAAAATTATATTTCACTGATAAAAACAAACTTTTAGAGGAATAACAATCCAGATTTTACACGAATACCTCTGACAGCGAGTAACCTCTGACAGCCTTTATAGATTCTGCACAGACGATACAAAATTGTAGACATATAAGCACTCTACTAACTCTACGGTTTTAAAAACCACAAATTGATCTTTCGTACTTTGAGTTGATAACTAAAGTCTACTTTTTACCGGCGCTAAAAAATTTTGACTGACATTTCTTTTACGACTGGTTACAGTAGTGGTTAGGGACGCAACTTATTTGACGGTTTCGTAAACTTAGCGCATAGCATTCCTAAACCTTATAAGGACAACTTTTTGAGTTATATTAGTATTTTTTAAAATATACATGTTGTAATAAGTCTTTTAATTTTATTTAGAGAGAAAACATAATATTTTAAACTACTAAATTAGTACCTTTTTATTTCTACCTTATGTTCGTATTAATGCAAAAAGACAAACCATAAGTGATAACTAAAAATAAGTTTCTTAATACATATCTAGCAACACTGCGAGTGCTGACATTTTGTTGAAGAAAAGTCCCAAGTATCCACGTTCTTGATTATCTCCTGTGGCGGATTGTTTTAGTGACATAAAGCTAGCTTAGAAATTATTATAAAAGTATAATCAATTTTGTGAATGTAAATAATTTACAATTTTTACATTGTGAGACGTCAGATACCTTCATAATTAATTTATTTTTATATACATAACAATGGTTATGCTGACTTTATGATTTCTCTGATTAGAGCAAAGTGACGCAAAATGCTAAGTGCATTTATGTTTATTTAATTTATTTATCAACACCAAGATAGTACTTTAAGTATCATTTTTTTCATTAATCAATACGTATTTTCAATGCAATGGAAGCTGTAGAGGAACACCCCGTTATAAATGCATCGACAGAAGATTTGTTATCAAATGTAAAAGAAGGAAATATTCTGAACTACGTTGCCGATTCCAATGTGTGTCAGTCCAATGGAGTTGAAAAGGGTTCAAAAGAGGACACTGTACCTGAACAAGTGACCGAAAACATCGAAGAGCAGGTAATCGCCGAAACTGACCATAATGCCGCCGACATTCCTGCTCAAACGGCAGAAGATACAAAAAAAGTAACAACTGAAGAGGAAGAAAATAATAAAACTGAAATTATTACCCCAGCTATTGTCAATGTTGAGTCTGCTTGTGAGCCTCAGCACATAGAAGACAGCATTTCTAAAGAGGAGGACACAGATGCAATTGCTATTAAAGACACTGATGGCAATGAACAGATCATTATAAATGATCCTATTATATGTCCTGATACAAATGAAAATGCTCCACAATCACTGTCAACAACTGAACAACCTGTTGTTGAAAATACATCAACTAGTGATTTAATTACACCTGTTACAGAAGATGTGGGAGATGTGGAATCAACAACAATTATCAATGATGGTATTCATTTTGAAACAGAAGTAATAGTGGAGAAAAATGATAATGATGTAAATGAAAATATTATTGAAACAGAATTTGTTGTAGTTGAGGCAGCCTCACCAAGTACCAATAATATTTTAAGTGAATTAGGTGAGAATATAGAATTAAGTGAAGTATTGCAATCATCTGATATGGCAAATGGCTCTGAAAATAATAATGCCTCGGCTAAAGAAGAAGTTTTTAATAAGGAAGAACTTCTAGATATATTGGAAGGTAATGATGTAGTGGAATCACAAATTGATGATAGTGTACTAATTAAAAGTGTGAATGAGCTTACCGCAGATCTTGAGACACAAAAAGCTTTAAAACAGTTATCTATGCTTAAGAAAACTCGAAAGCCTAGAACACCAAAAAGTAATAGGCCAAAAGAAAATATTAAGAAATTGACCAAAACCTCCCCTAAGAAAACAGAAATTCCAACTGACATTAATGAAACTATGCAAGAGAAGGAAAACAATATTGTAAATGAATTAGTTATGGATTGGGATGATGATGATCATTCTGAAGCCAATTGTAAAGAAGAGAAGATAATTATCAAAGAAAATAGTGCAATAAAAGACAGACCTCCGGTTAATACTTTGACAAATGAGAATGTACAAAAACAAATCAAGAGTGAAGATGAAGCTACTCCCGGTGCTACCAGAAGACTTGGTCGTGTTATAAAAAAGAAAGTCATTTTTGATCCAGATAATCCTGACACATTTACAAAAACACCGAAATCTAAAGACATCCAAGGCAGCAAAGAACCACCTTTAATTAAAAAAAGTAAAGTTGAGACTCTGCAACCAGAGAAGAGTGCATTGAAAAGTCCGACAGCGAAACTGCAGTGGAAAAAACCATCTCCAAGAAATAGTAAACAACACAAAAGATTAAGTGAAGTTGATAAACTATTGATGGATGAAGGAGCCGTAAATATGATATATCAGCTTACTCCAGAAGCGCCAAAAGGAAAGAAAAATGTAAAAACCAAAGCAGAATTTATTAAAAAGTTGCAAAGCTCCACCCCTGATGGTAAGGAAATGAAATTTAGAGAGAGAAAAAAAGAGGCTAAATATGAAGATGGAGACGCTAGAAAACTATTAGGTGGAAAACATAGATCTTCTTTGAGTAGTTCAGTTAAATCACCTTCAGTTAGTGAGGACTTTGAGACACATAGTGCAGATGACTCTATAATATATCGTCGTCATTCCTCTAGTTCTTACTCCAGTAGCTGTATGAGTCCTCGTCGGTTGAGCGATGTAGAAGGTGCCACACAAAATAGTAAACTTCAGCAAATACCTTTACAGGCAGTGGATTCTTTAATAATTGATGAGTCAAAAGAGCTACCCGAGGAAAGAACATTTCTGTCTGACTCAAGTTCTTTTAATATCGAGGATCATAAAAATGATGTTATTAACAAAGAAGGTTGTCTGTCCTTGAAAGAAAAATTGAAATCAAAGTTGTCTATTGCATTAAATAAGAGAAAGAGAGAGAGTCTGAAATCGGAGAAACCAGCTAAACAGAAAAAAATATTAAAAACAGAGGAACAACTGAACATAAGTAAAACAAATGTTGGAGAATTTAATTTTGTATCAATTCTTATTGAACAGCATTTGGCTGAAATTTGTTTTAAAAATTTAGGCTTACAAAATAGTATTCAGGTAAGAGTTTCTCAAAATGTTTAAATTGTTGTATAAACACATTTGTTACCTTGTATGTTGTTAAGTACAAGACAAAAAATGTATTCATTACATATTAACAGTGGCTAGGCAAAGCATCCTAAATGTTAAGCTGTAGTTAAAATAACTTTATCAATGTACCTTCTGTTTTACCTGTACACGTATTTATTAAAATTCTAATATAGAAAAATATTGTAAAGTAAGTATAAATCAGGTATTCTCATTTCATATTGTCTTTTTTCAGGTTTTCAATGAGTTAGAGCAGGCTTTGAAATTTATTGATGACAAGCCGGAGGTTTCGGTGACCCTGATATCCTCACAATGTGGAACCCTCTGCTCTAGCTTGGACTTGAGCATACTTATAGATGAAAATATTGAACTCAGGAAAAAAAATGCATTTGACCTAGCAGAATCCGTAAGGTTAGTGATTAAAATAAAATAATGTTCACAAATGAAATTATGATTTATTTAGTTGAATAACAATATAACCATAACAATGAATGTAGTAACAAATAATGTGTAATTTCTTAGCCCTGCCTATTTATATCACCAGATTAAATTTGCGTGTTAATACACATTAATAGATGAGAATATTAAGAACAAAATATTGACATTAATTGGCTAAAATGCTTAGCAGTTACATTGTTACTAATCTGTACATACTAAAATTCTATAGACGAAGAGTTTGCTTTAACGCGCTAATCTCAGGCTCTCGCGAAGACACAGTGGGAACAAAAGCTAGTATAAGTAAAACTACTACTACCTACCTATTAACCGAACAAACTATTATACAATTATAAATACATCTATACTAATCTATAATAATATAATACGCGACAGACGTCGTGAAACGAATTTGGATGCCCAAATTACGTTAACCCAAAATTCTCGTGGACGAAGTAATATTTCCATGTCAATTACAGATCCTTGCTAGTGACAGTGAGCCGTCATACAAAACTACTATGTTGCGGGGTTTGGGGCGCCTGTTCTGGGGTCACGATTCCCTTGGTGGCGATGTGTGACGTTGCACTTGCTTCAGAATGTGCAACGTTCGCGCTTGCAGCTGCGCCGGCGCCGACTCTGCCCGGGGCTGCGGCGCTAACAGCTACCCATCGCGCATTACCACAGACCTTTGTAAGTACAATAGTTTGATTAAAAAGTTATTTAGATACAGTCGCACTATAGCAACGGAACGAACTGCCATAGCTCGTGCTTTCGAGTCCTGTCTATACATCATCGATTCTACTTTTTAATCGATATCTGCTGTTATGTGAAAGTTGAAATCCTATTAATATTGTATATTCGCGTTAATTAGACAGGATTTTAATTAATTATAAGTATTTAAAAAAAATTGTATATAGCATTGTAGTAAAGTTGTAAAAGGACCATTCTTAATTAAACTAGAATACTTTGAATAGAAATAACTGTTACATTTACAATTGTAATAGTTTATATAACTTGCTTCAGGTCAACGATCTGGTGGTATTCGGGCGTCGCATCTCAGCCGCAGAGGCGCTTAGAGGCGGACTTATCACGCGCTCTCTGTGGCCTGATAGATTCGACGAACAAGCCCGGAACATTGTTAAGGACATCGCCATCCAACCACCTCACGTTAGTATATCTACTAATATCGTATGAATTTACAAGCAGAACACCTATAAGATTACGCAATACATTACATTGCGCGAGACGTGCATGTATCAATAGGTTGAAAAAAATCGACGATGACGTATTTGACGATAGCTCACTTGGTTAGCAACACCACGGAACGCTGTGGACGCCGGTTCAAATAACGCTCGTGTCGTAAACTTATTTAATTTATAATTGATTTTTAATTTGCATACTACTATTGTTATTTCAAACTCACTTCTTTCATTCACTTGTAAGTTTTTTTCCATCATATTACGTGGGTGGAACATACATAATGGGAAAGTGTGTTTATCTGTCGTCTATTACACCCTATATGAGCAACTTGATATTTGTATGAACTAATACTAATTTTGTGTTTGTTGTTGGTTTGTGTTTATAGAAATACTTGTCCGTTGAATTACTTCCTGTTCACATATTTTTTGGATACGCTGTAATTGGGTTTTAGTGTAAAATAAAAAAGTTTGAATAGTATAATTATCAATGTAATCTAAACATTTTCATAACTGTAATCGTCATTAACCGGCTGACAAATAGCTCTCCAACCCTTGCCACGGTACATCAGTTCCGATATTTGAAGCTGTGGAAGGCCCCCGTTGTGCACACAAATATGGTTCCTCGGACACAAACACGATTGGTACAGGGCGAGAGAATCGTCGTCGACATTGCCACATACGTCCCCCGTTTTACATAGAGGCAGGGACGAGCACTGATACGTGGAACGGTGACCTTCTTCATTTTTCAATTTCCAATAGTTTGGATAGTGACATCGGCAAGTGAGAATCACTTTCGGTGGTGTGAGGTGTTTGTTCTCGTGGTGCAATTCTTCGATTTCGTCTGGATTCATTCTCTTGTAAGAGGTTTCAACCGATAGTGGTTTGTCAGTCAGGGTGCATGCTGGCAGCTCTGTAGTTGGGTTGCAGAACTGAAAACAAACGCTAACATTTTTTTCTGTACTAGCAGCTGTGCTCGCATTTTTGATTGCGTCGATTACGAACTTAAAAAAGGACCTTAGTAAGCTTTTGTATTTATTTTAATTTATTGTCTATTAGGTATTCCTACAGCAAAACAACACATACATAAATAGAAAAATTACTTACTAAACCGGACTGAAGTTAGCGCGGATGGTTGCGCAGAACGCAAAAAGCAGGTATCAGTTGCGAAAAGCACGGGTGCAAGGCGACTCGACTTTTTGCTTAAAATTACAGTACCATGCCCAAGAAGGCGGTCGCGCTAACTTCAGCCCAGCTAAAAAGTTTGGGGGGAACTGTACCTAGTTACCTACGTGAATGAATAATTTTTGATACACGGAATATAGAATATACGATGATTTACCTGCAAATAAGCTCGATTGTTAAGTTCGACGAGACGTTCCGCGGTGGCTGGTTCGTCGCAGCGTTGTCGTCGCTCACAGCGACAGAGGCGCAGCAGGGCTCGTGGTCGCCAGTAGCGCCACACGATCGCCGAGCATGCCTGACCTTGCTCGCACCTTGGCAGACCGCGCTCACTCTCCTCCTATCATAATCACCAATAAACCTTAATCTTTGGCATAACTATTTTAGTGTACCCAAAATATCTGTAAAATAATTCCGTTTTTTTCCCACACCAATATATTTATTACTAGCCCTTACTTACGACGTTTACCGAAACATGATACGCTGTCGATCTATTGTGGACTTGGATATTTGGGTGCATCTTCGCTTCTATTGGGCACAGCCTGTTTGTCACACAGCACAGCCTTCAGCTTTATAATATTAGTATACATATAGATATATGAAAAATGCTTTAGTGTTGTTCAAATGCTTTTTTAAATTCTAATTTAGCTATTGGAGTTAAGGAATCGCTTCAGGTCTAAGAGCCATGGTATAAATACTGTCTATAGTTTACGCGAGTAGTACACATTTAAATAAAACATATTTAACTAATATATCGCGTTTTAAACCGTTAAAGTGTTTTCTCTAAAAGCCATGGTATAACTGATATTTTCAATGCGTTATGGTTTAAATTATCAAACTACATATTTCACTTTCGATGTATATTCAATTTGGGATATATACAACCCGCACTTCTAACATTAAAATCTCATACAAAATATGTAAATGGCATGCATTTCAGATTATAAATTCGAGGACTTACTAATCCATAATAATATAAAACAGTTTCATTTTCTTTACAGCTAGAAATCGCTAGGAGCAACGTGGTTAGAAGGGATTTCATAAATAAATCCATCTTGAATGATTACTTGCTTAATGTAACACTAAAACATACTCGTTTTACACAGGTCATAACCTACATAGATTAGATAACAACTAACTCATGGGTTAGGCTCTTAGAAAATTATTTATTTCCTAATACAGCACAATTTCGTCAAGACCGTAGTACTAAATAATAAATAAAGAGGACTATTATTATTTATTTATTTTCAAGCAACGGCACATTACGATGTTGGTCGTGGATTCATATCCCGCCTGTGTGATTTATTCCATCTTCAAATATGATTACCCTGTTTAACTTCATTAATTTTTTATTTAATAAAAATATTCCGACTTAAATATATATATCTGACGATATATAACGTGCGTTTCCGTTGTTACAGGCGATATTGCTGAAGAAACGTCTCCTCGGTCTGAAGAAATCTGGTGAGGCAGAGGCGACATTCCTATCCTCATTGGAGTCGGAACGAGACCTTCTTGTAGAGTATTGGACCTCAGTTGAAGGGCAGGACCTATTGCGAACGGCTTTAGGTGCCTCTTAGGTTTCAACCTTTGACACAATCAACTAGTGTTAACATCAACCCCTGTTCTTTTCTATACACTCTAACCATGTATATTTTAAACTTTACTATTTACTTGGTTTCTAACTAACATTTTCGACTATCTGTAACGGATTTTAAGCAGTCTATCTGTCTATTGTCTTAAAAAACGCCATGAAATTGTAACATAGTCCAATCACTGAAATGAAATCATTTTATATATTGAACATTTCAGGCGGTACTTTTCGTCTACACATTTTAAATATCTTTACCGTTGTTGTGGATCAAGATTAACTATATACACATAACTATGCAATATTATATTTAATTTTATATGACACGTGTAAAACTAGGTGTAAGAATATATAACATAGCTATGTTTATTTTTAGGATAGTCCTCACAATGAGGTGCGGACCGTTGGAAGCACCTCGTCATATCTTTGTTTCAATTTTGAAATAATAAGTTTAGACTTTAGGGGTACATTCATAAGTTAAAAGGACCATTTTCTGTCCGTTTCTTTCGCCACCTCTTATTGCTGAAGTTAATTTATATAGTTAACAAAAAGTTTATTTGGTAAAAAGACTGCCGTTTCCACATATTTTACGAGTACGTTTTAAGGTCGACTGTTTAATAAAACAGTGGTAATTATGGGGTTTTAATTAAGATATAGATTATATTGTTACGTTGTAGATGAAATTGTTTACGTGTTTTAGATGTTTATTAGTTTACAATGACGCAGATTAGACAAAGCCAGCCAAAGTTATGCACAGATTCACTGACTAATAACTAACGTTAGCGTGAAGCGTCCTCTCGTGACAACGGCGCGATTCATTCCTTCAAGTTTCGTTCTCGGTATTCAATTACCGATTTGTTTTCGAATACACATAGGCTTATTTAGATGTAATTTTATTTCATCGTTTTTAAGATAGTAATAATTTATTTTCTGTTTCTCGAGGAAATAAAGTGCCTTTCTTAAAACATTTTGTATTTATTCATTTTTATGTATAAGGGCCGTTTATTATTGGGAAACAATTTTAAACTATATATCATGAACTGATGGTGAACCGCCAGAAGTATAGGTATTTAAAGACAGTAAAGAATTGATTAGTTTTTCTGTCGGCGGGCCGCCAGTATTCGACCGGCGGTCTGTTATATTTCTGCTTAAAAGTCTAACCAATTGAACTACATACCGTGTTGGCTAGAGCAAAAGCACGGAACTCTGTGGATTCAGGTTCAAGTTCTACCCGTGTCGTGATTTTTTCAATTTAAAATCGATTTTTAGTTTATACACTTAGTTCCATCATGTAAAGTTTTCAAATGTTCTTAACAAAATATAATAATAAAGACAAGTTTTTTTTTCGTTCAATAGAATTTCAATGGTTAGAACGATAAATTAAATAGAAACAAATGAATACACAAACATTTATTTACACTCTCTCCGAAACATTGGATATGATGGGTTTCGGTCGAGATTTGAAGAGTAATTTCTTTTTTACAATTGCTTTAACCCTGTACTCCATTCTGCCGTTATCTCCAACTCTTTCTATGACGGCCATCGGTTGTTCTAATTTGACTTCTTTTCCATTGAGAACGTGGTGCCCAAGGACCAAGACCGGATGTTTATTCCTATTAAAGAAGTGCAAGTCTCCTACAGTAATCGGTCCTAATTCTTGTTCCTTCTTAGTTTGTACAAGTCCCTGCAATTCTACTATCGCCCATTCTGGTACTCCACTCTCGGCCTTAGATTCACTGAAATACAGTCTTTGGTTAACTAATTGAAAAAGACCATATAAAGGAGTTTAAAGGTTCTCAATATAGAACACAAGTTTGGATTTCAAAGATTTTATTATTTCAATATATTCCGATGGCGGTAGTTTATAAACCTGAAACCAAAAATGTAATATTAATTTTTCACAAACAATAGTGCAACTAATAAAATTCATATAAGTGAAAACTGACAAACAAATACGCTGATAAGTGTGTACGTACACGTAAGAACGTACCGCGGAAGCCATACAAAGACAGTTCGGTTAATACAAAAACAAAGATTTATTGGGACGCCAGCTTAAAAAGTTATTTATTTTTGTAGCTTATCTTTAAGCTATATTAAATACGAAATACATATTTACTTTAGTAGCGGAACTTCTTGAAGAGTGGATGCTTGTTGTGTTGTCCGCGCCGATGTTCTAGATACAGTGCGTCGTCGGCGCCGGCGAGTGACGATAGCGCCCCCGCGCGGCGCGATACGCCTCCCCCACTAGAACCACCCGGACCACTCTCGCGTTCCTCTTCGCATTCTGTTTCAGATGCCGCTAATACCTAAAGAAGTAAAGCTTTACATTGTACAAATCCCTATATATGTAAAAAATAGTTTAAATCATTTTTTATCAAAGTCATTCTCGGTGAAAGTCTAATTATGTACATTAATAAATAAATATATAAAACATATCTAATTAAAATCACCTGTTGCAAAAGCATCCCTTGCTCTTCTCTAGAACCGTACATCAAATCGGGCTCCTGATCCATTCCCTTTAGTTCTGTTATGACCTGAAATATTTCATTTATATTGTAAACAGCTCTTATTGGATTTTGAAAATTTTGAGGATTGATGTAATAACTGTCTTGCATATATGACTATAGACAAAAAATCTATACTATACTATACTGTCTTTAGTTTATATGAGTAGTACTCATTAAATAAAACAGTAACGGTTTAAAACGCGATATATATTAGTTAAACTTATTTGGAAAATATTTTAACTACGGCCTGCATTGCAGCAGCTGTAGTCAGGGGGAGACTGCCCGTGACTACGTACTAATATATTGCGTTTTAAACCGTTAAAGTGTTTCATTTAGAAATATTTATATTCTTGTAAAAAGACTAGTAACTCACTTTGTAGCTGTAACCCTGGTTAACGAGAAACCGCTGTCGTTTTCTGCTGTATGCCATTTCTAAGGTGTCCTGTGAGACGAGCGTGTAGAAGAACGCATTGTATTCCTCTGCTATTGCACCCTTTTTAGCCCTCAATATACGACCTAAAAGCAATGCAAGGCATCGTTAGACATGACACACTTGTGGCCTGCACGACCGAAATTATATTTTGTTTTCTCTGAGATTTAATTACACCTTTTGCGCCTGCTAATAACTAAGTGGACGCGGTAGCTCAATTGTCAAATAATCAGGCATTGTATACTGTAGTTTTGTGTTCGAGGTTATATGTATTGATAATTTTTACACCTTCAAACCTTTTTTATGTTTGTTGGATTGATTATAATTAGCAGTTATGTGAAAAAAAAATATTTACCCAAACGTTGCGCTTCCTGTCTTCTGGAACCACCGTGAGACGATATTTGTATAAGGACGTTCGCTTCGGGCAAATCGAAGCTCGTATCGGCGACCTTGCTCACAAAAATCGTATTCACTTTGGGGTTAAACTTGAAGTTTTGAAGTATTTGAATCCGCTCGTTCTGCGACGTGGGCCCGTAGATGTAGGGCTTGTTCATCTTGACCGCGTAGTGGCGCAGCGCGAACACATTGTCCGAGAACACTATGGTCTTGTCGCCGCGTCGCTCGTGGTACTTCACGAGGAATTGACACGCTCGGAATTTGGACGGGTTCATTACGTAGAGTAGCATCTTTTTGTTTATCCTGAAAATAACAAATAACGTTAATTGTGTGAGCTTTGAATGGAAAACGACGTAAAAACCTTAGTCCGCTACTAAATCAGTGACGATAGCTGGAACTCAGGATGCTAACTTATGTCTAGCCTAGCCAAATGTCCAGGTCCCAAATCCTGGGTAAGACCGGGTCTAATGATTAGACCAACGCGTAGACAGTATTTATTTATTTAGTTGAAATATATTCCTTCTTGTTTCATTCATCAACGGCTGCTAGTTTCAATCGCATTAGTTAGCATTTTTATAATCACTATCTGCAAAATCTGGATATGAAATGCGCGGTTGGAATATACAATTTCCGTCCCCATCACGAACCACCGTCCACAGATGAAAAAGCTGTGAAGTTTAATAGCTTTGAGGTCTCATTCTGTGAATTTCCGAATATTCAAAGCCAAAATAATAGTTATATGGATTTCGTCGTTTTTTAATTCAACATTTTAAACATCACGTTCTAAATATCTTAACTACATTAAGGTTTTATTAGTCAGTTTGAGCTCACTTTTGAACGAGATATTCCCGGTAGAACTCCGGGGTCATCGGGCACCAGACTTCAGCACACTGCACACGCGCTATAAACCCGGCCGCTTGCAGCTCGAGCCAGTTAGCCTCGTACAGTTTCGGTCCGATAAGGAAGTTGAGATCCGCAATCTTGTCGTCCTCACGAAGGAGCGTTGCAGTTAGACCTAACATCAGACACAGTAGATAACATACATTTCTGTATCATAAAGTTAAGACTGATAACTGAAAAGTAATTGACGCTATATATTTCGCATTGTGAAGTAGTTATCTCAGCTTAAATTATTTTTAAACGAATTGAGTAAGGTAGGTGCGGCCAATAAGGCCTGTCGGGTAATAAGGCCTAAGTACTAGAAACATAACTTTGAGTAGACCCCGCCAGCTGACTTCACAGTCATAGGTAGCTTACAACCTAAGATGGTGCCCCAAACATGTCGTGGCTCGCAGGCCCGCATGGTTCCGAGAGTGTGGGGTCACTAATCGTGGCCGGCGGACGTAAATCTCGAATAATAATATGACGGTCGAACAAATCGTAAATATTTTATGAAAAAAAATAAATTTTCTACGTTATTTTGCAGTTTTACATCATTTTAGTTAATGTTTTGAAGACCTGTGCTGTACAAAAAATTGTAAATTACACGAAATCATTTTATTTTTAAAATTTCTTGACAACGTGGTCGGTGGTTAATAAGGCCTATGAAAATCGACCCTAGGCCTTATTACCCTCCTTAAAGTATTATCAAGTGATTACATAATTTAGGTCTTTAGAACTACTATTACAGAAATTAGAAGCACCAGCTCCTTTTCCAGACGTTGTCGATGTAGAAAATTTACCACCTCGCACTCCATTAAGGCAAATGGCTCCCGAGACGCCTCAGTCATCGACACCGAGGCAAGAACAAACAAATGATCATACCAAAAAGATCCTCCAACATGTTTTACAGAATGGTTTAAGGTAGATCCAGCTCTGATGATGAGGATAATGTACTCTTCGCTCAAGTAAAAAGAACATCATTTAAGCAACTCCTGCCTACACCAGCTAAAAATACAGAAAAGACACCAACAGTCAAAATAAAGGCCATCAATTACAGAGGAATACCAGCTAGCAAAGAGCTGTCTAATAAGAACAACATTGTCACGCATGCCACCATGACCAAGAGACTGCTATGAGGATGTGTCACAAATGCAGCAAGTGGTACCACGAGGAGTGCGTGGGTTTGTCAGAGGATGATTTTGAGTCGTCGATGATGCTGAGTGTCCAGATTGTTCCTAATTTTAAAAATAATGTCATTTTTAAACCTTTACTGTGTGATTATCGCATTACAATATTTTATTGATCTCAAATACTAAATATGAGAAGTTTATTTCGTTTATTTTTGAAGTTTAAAGTCTTAGGCCTTATTATACTACCATAGTTTAATAAGGCCTAAGTACAGTGTTTTTAAAAAGCAGTAATTAAAACTATAATTATAGCATAGGTTGCTGTTTTCCGTTTTTATTTGATAGTTATTAATATAAAAGTTTAAATTACATTAAAATTTGTTGATTTGTTTTAACAGTTTTTGATTTATTTCAATTCCTGCTTAGCTAGGCCTTATTCGCCGCACCTACCTTATATATTTTAAATAAACATACTTCTAATCTTTTAAACACGTCCTACCTAATTTAGCATGCGAGTGTACAATGGTGAGTACACGACGGAACATCTTGGCCGGGATGGTGTGTACCTCGTCTAACACTACGAGTCCCCACTCTTGCGCTTGCAGCCACTTCATCGTCTGCTCTGCCTCCCAAGACCGTCGTTGTCCGTGTGTTATCATTGAATAAGTTGTTATCAAGATACCTGCCCCCATCGGTTTGTCTTTTGCTTCTGATGTGAATCTGGACAGTTAGTAAAATATATATATATATATTCATGTAGGTACAAAACTTTAAAGAATGTAAAACTCTACATTTACATTTACTACCTCTTCAGTCTTCTACCATTCTCTCAGTTCTCAAATGAAGGACGAAGAACGAACGAGAACTGGTGAAAACGTGCCGCCACTCCTATTGTGGTTATTCAGCCATTTGTAGTTGCGTCGAAGTTTGAATTTAAGTAAAATTTAAGTTGTAATTCATGTTGCTGATGATGCAAGATGTACCTTGAAGGTGTTCATTAATAAGTTTACAATTAAAATACCTGCAGATGGTGCTGTCGTCAGCTGTGGACCAGCACTTGAATTGCTGCTTCCACTGTTCAACTGAAACTCCAGAGTTGCACAATACAAGCGCGCGCTTGCGCACCGTACACACCGCGGTCACGCCCACTAAAGATTTCCCCGCACCGCAGGGTAGGACTATGACTCCTGATCTGTACAAGAGTTTTGACAGATTATTAACTGTAAATATCAAGGCGCCGTGTTATATCAACAAAAGCAAATTTTAATGGAGACTACTAAACCATCACTTTCAACAAATTTTCATCACTTGACGATACTTTAACAAATTGTAGTAAATGTTAATATGTTAATTTCTATGATTTTTAAAGAATTCAAAATGATCAGATAATAGGATTTTCACTGACACAATCTTTGTAAGAACATTGTTTATTAGTTAAAAATACAAACATGATTAGTAAAATTTTCCCTTAAATCTGATAACATAACCTACCTTGCTCTTCCATTTCCAAACATTTTTCTAAGACTCTTCTCTTGGTATGGCCGCAATACAGCTGTCGGCTTCAAGTCAATGTTGATATCAGGATTAACAACATCATTCCGGAAATCATATTCTGCCAATAGCGGATACTCTAATTCAATACAACGTTTTTGTATTACCTGTAAAGAATGTGAAATTTAAACAAGCTGATAAATAATGACATTATCCATGTCCCTATATCTTACATATATATATTTATTATTATGTCTTTTTAAGTAACTAATAATTAGCAAGTTAGTCAATGTATGTCAAATATCTTAAATCGATATGTACCTCAATTTTATCGGGATCTACTTCAAAAGCAACCAGTGCATTTGCTGTTATATCAGTAGCTTCTTCATCATCATCATCTTTGTCTAATTGTTGATAAAACTGTGTAATATCCTCAGGCACACTGCCATTGGCAACTGTTTTTTCTTCTCCTGAACATAAATTTGACTATATTGTATCTTATAAAATAAGTGGTACTTATTTAAACATAGTCAACAAGCATTCTGAGAAACTATAAAACATGCTTACCTCATATTAAAAGTTTATTTTTATAGTAATTCAATTAAATAAAAAAGTCAAAATTGAATTTCTTAGTTACGAACATTCCTCACCAGTTTTTGTGGTCGCGGCGGCCGGTTTATTTGGCAGTGCTGATGACAATAGTTCATCATCTCCATCACGACGTAACCTACATTGTTGTACTATAGGATCTCGAAGTAATTTTTGTAGCACTTCAACATGTTTACTTTCCACTAAATACCTGAAAATAAAAAAATCTGTGTCATATTGTAAGTCAGCACATATTATCAGTATACAGATAAAAAATCAGTATCATAACTCCAAACAATATCACAATCTTACCTGTTTTGCTTAAGAACAAGTTTAACTTTGCCGTATGACAGTGTACAAAGTTTTATAAATTCTACAATGCCAGCTGGGACGGCACATTTGCTGAGTCTCTGTAGATATTCTACAATGTCATTTGTCTGTAGGCCAACAGACACAGCAGCATATAAACTGTATGCAGTTAATTTGTACTCATGGATTAGTTGAGGTCTATAACAGTAAAAATAAAAATCTAGTAAAATACAGTACAGAGAGGTATAAATGTATATATATATGTAGAGGTATAAATGTATAAAGTATAAATGTAAGTCAGTCAATTATAGACCTTAAATAATATTATTAAGTTTTAATAAAACTTTTCTTACCGGCATACAGGTTCAGCTATTGCTATTAAAAAATCATGGGCATGCTTGTACACGGGTGAAAAAGCCTCTAAGAAAATATGGCCATTTGGTGCTACCCAAAGAGGCCGACTTGTGTTATCTGGTTTTAATTCCATTTGACTCCTGATTTGAAAGAAACATTAATTCATAGTTAATTTCTTTCATTTACATAGATTGAACATTGTCTGAAACATATAATATTAAAAACCTATAATCCTTGGCTCCAAATTCATCTTCAGGTACTTGATCATTTTTCTCAGCATCAGCCATAGCGGCCACTGGGACTCCAGTATTTTCTGGATTATCATCTTCAACCAAATCTATGGTTATATCTTCTTCGACCTTTTTCTTTTTGCCTGCAATATTTTAAACCAATAGTAAAGATGGAACAGATAGTAAGAATAAGAGTAATATTTATATTCAGTTTTAGTTAAATACGTACCCGATCTTTCGCTTCCAACTTTAGAATCATACTTTTTGATTTTCTTTGGTGGACCCATTTTGATCTAAAAAAAGTCAATATGGATAAATATTTGTTTATTAATAAAAAAGAACATAGGAAAGTTAATATTAAATTTTTACTTACATTGTATTTCCGATTTTTTAATATAACACTTATTAAGAACAATGCCTAATTAAAGAGACGAAGGAAGTCGCAATGTAATCATAATAATGAACACTTTGATAAACACATACTGAATTCATAAGGTTTTAAAAACATCGTAATATTGTCAAATATGTTGCAATCACTCATTTACTCTTGACAATTGACATTTTAATGCACACATATTCCTATTATTTAAATAAAACTTATTTTTTTCTGTTTTTATTGTAAATAAATAATAATCAAATCAGTCAATGACAGTAATAGTGCATCTTATTATTCTTTGCTTGATGCGGTAGCACTATAATATCCCGTACTTACGTCCTTAGTAATAAACGCCAGAACTGAACTTACAGTTCACTTAAACTAAATTCAAGAACGTCGAAAGCCGTATCTTATTAATTTGTTTCAAGATATAAATACTTACCAATTAATATAAATTTGCATCCTTCTAGCTAACCTAACCTAAGTCTCAACTTTTTGGTTATTTATTTGTAAACTTAATTCTGATTGCATTTGTATATCACGAAAGGTATTCGACCACAACAATAACAAACTTTTAGGTTATGTCTTTATAATTCCTTATCGAGCCTGTGGCCAAAACCTCCTGCTCAAAGTTAAATACATTCTGTGTGTGTTAAATTCTTTTTAAAGAAAAAAGGAATAATACTATAGGATAAATAGGAAAAACGGAGGGTTACTTAAATGCAAAATTATAACGCATATTAATCTAAAACGTTTAAAACAAGTTCAAGTCCTGCTTGTGTCACGGGCAGTACACAGTAGTTGTATGATTGCAAGCTTCTGAAAAGAAAATGTTGATACTACAGTTCCCTACATCTCAACCCATTTTAGCCAGCTATTTTTGTACTCTATAAATACTTCACACATAGTTCGCTAATCACAGATGTAGAATAATGAGACGGGAATTTCATTGAAATAAAATTTCATATTCATTACTGGTAAGTCATAATTTAATGCATTTTTTATTATTAATAATTTGCTTTTGCTTTTACTTATTTATATGACAAATGGAATATTGTTCGTTATCTAGATTAATTAACTATTCAGAAAAACTATTTTAAACAACTTTTATATTAATTTTATCATAGCATTTGTACAAGGATTGCTTTTCTACCACATCTTAAAAATTATGACTATGAAAAATAGGTAGGTATCTACATACAATAATAGAGACACGCTCGAAGATTCATAAATATCATTACACAAGCTATGAAAAATAAATTTTCATTAATTTGGACTTATTTGGGTCATAAGAATTTTTATTGCACACCATTATGCACTAATACCCGACGTATCTAGTTAGAGGTTACGTAAACATACGAACCGGTCACTCTTAGACCCAGAAGTAACAATTAAAATTTTTATACATCTTAAATGTAACGGAACACAATTTATTTGTATAATTAAATATTCTAAATTGACATTATAATAATGTAGGTATTTTATTTCGTTAAATTACTCTCAACTTCAAATGCACAAGCGGTAAGATCGCGAAAGGTACAAATTTAGTTTCGTTATATATATACGCACCGTATATAGCACCCCTTAAAATACATACGAGCGTAATTAAAACAATCAGAATTGTTAATTTAATTACCTATGTAAACTTAAACGGTGCTAGTGCCAGCAATTTTTAATGTCATCGTTAAGTAAGTGTTTACAATTTCAGCCAATTTTTTGTGACATTAATGTATAATAAATTAAAAACATAGTTATTTAATATATTAAATATTACCGAAATTTTGTGAGGCTTTTGAAAATTCAAAACATTCATAGCCACCTTCATCTGAAAGGAATGGAATCATTCATACACATATATAGCAGGGCACAATGTAAAACAGTTGGATAATTACATATATTAATGGTTATAAATAAACATCTTATGATGTGTTAAAAAGAAATTTCATATTGCTCAATTTTTTCAATTTGTATTTTGGTGGAAACAACTATATCTTCCTTAATTAATGTGTGCGCATATATACAGGATAAAAGGTATGTGTTATACTGTTCACTGCGCTTAACATTGATACATTTTGACTATTGCTGTGAAAAGGCATTAGCACCATATAATATTATCTTGTTATATTCATATCAGCAAGCCGGATGAGAAATACCAGTCTTAAAAGAAACATTTCACATTCACACAGTGGTAAACAATGTTTACATATTTATATGCATGTAAGTGTGAGAGCATTAGGATCACAAATTAAACTACTATAAAAGGGGAACGCGAGTTATTACGTTTACTATGGATGTGAAATCCAGAATTAGATGTATTCATCTGTATTTACTTACAGTTATTATTTATGAGATATTTCTAATAAATAATAACTGTAAGTAAATACTTACATTCAAATTGTTTCATCATTTCTTGAATATATCTTTCAAATATTATTTAGGTTACCAAGGTAAAGAAAAGGGGGAAACCCATCAATGGATTATATCTCAGAATATATTGACATGCATATAATTACATAAATATTTATGAACTAATTCGAGCAATATCATTGACATTGAAACTACAACTTCCATAATCCTCTAATGCGTTTTATCTGCATTGTTATATTCAATACAGTTATTATTGTCCATTCATTAACGTTATAAATAGTTGTTCGGTGGCGACGGGTGACACAAGTTGAGTATAACAATAAGAAAATGTACCGTGAGTTGTGAGCGTGAATCGGAGATAACAAAAGGAAGTATTGAAACAAATCGACATAAATATGGAATGTAGCAAACACTCAATTGAAATTACATGACGGGCCGTCATCATTAATCTAGAATTAAATAAGACACAATATTTACAATAAAGTAGTTACTATGTTTGTAGATTAATATTCCTTGCCGTTACTGTATTGATATGCATTATACGCTTATACACCGTTATCGAGTATAAATAAATATAAAAGTTGTTTAAACAGACACTTTAGCAGTTGGATAGAAATTAAATATAGGTTACCTTATATGTATCTGTACATCGCAAGACGAGATTGGCTCACTTTTAACTGACCCTTTTCATAATATACAATATCATCGAAGGTTACATTTCGCTTTAATTAAATATTATATAATTTTAATTGTTTCTATTTGAATTAATTTTATCTAAGACAACATAATAATTATTATTTAACATAGATTTTTAAAGTGTTATACTTTTTTATTATATTTCAGTCTTCGTTTTTACAAAACTCAAAGACAGTGCGAGGAACACGGACGCACACCTTTTTCAATGCCATACACACCTATAACACATATAGCGGGCAGTGGAACCTTGTCTCGTTTCATAAAATTTCAATAGAAACAATTACTCCTACGTCTAACCGATTAAAGTATGAAGACTAGTTACTCTCTTCCTCTCCTCGATCCGCGTCTCACTCGCCGGGCGTCGGCACTGTCACAAGACGACTCTGTCGCACATATCACAAAGCACGCGTTCGAGTTCGCACCGTGCGCCCCGCGCCCCAGCTCGAGTCCCAAATAAATAAATTACCAAGTCTATAATACTCCGGGACGCGCGAGCGAACCGGCGCGGGCGAGTCTGATCGTCCCGATAATGGAATGTAAGCGTGATATGGTAGTAGGATGCGGAGGCGCGGTGACGTCACGCGTCGGGCGGCGGTGAGGGTGCAGCGCGACGCGGGACCATCACGCACGGGGGCGGCGCAGCTGCGGGCAGGAAGGCGGGTGGCGGACGAGCGCCCATGCGCACCCACCACCGCGTCGCTTTCTGCAGCAGCCCGTCTTTTTTGCTGCCGGGGCCGCTGGCGCCGCTCGTCCCGCCGCCGCGCCGCACCCCGGCACCCGTGTCTACCGCGCCTGCCCATTCGGGCACGTCGCTTACGCATTTGTTTGGCGGAGGTTGAAAGCTGCTTCGCGTCAGCTCGGCTTGCTGAAATTTGAATTTCATCTGTTATTTTACATATTACATATAGTTCTGTATTCCACGTTAAACACATATTAATATTTTACTATGATTTCAGAACCTATAAATAATTTTTTTAAAGGTTTCTTGCTTTTTGTGTGTTGACTACCGCTAAGATGACGTAAATAATCAAATAACCAGAGTGGTGGTAAATCTACGGCCTGCATTACACCGACACATTCCTTTGTTAACACTATGTACATATGTTTTCACATTGATCAGAGTAAATATCTCTTTGTTATTATATTTTTAAACAAAAATGTTGTACTTGTGTACTGAGATCTAGATTGCATATAGGTAAACATCGACAAGTCTCAGTCATCGTAAGCTAATACTTACGGACCTGATAAGGGACTCGTAATTGCAGGTGCGCGTCCTGACCGTATTCGCCGTCTGGCAGCTGTATACTGGGCGGTAGACCGAGCCTCTCTGCTGCTGCTGCTGACCTCGCCCGCGACTCCTGCTCGACCATCTCTTGCAGACGACCGACCATCGCCTGCAGCCTTTGCTGTTTCTCCCATTCCCTGGAAATACAATACAAATCATGTAAACTAATGTATACCACCTCCGTATCTAAATGGCTTTAACCGCATTGTATGGTATTACGAAAATATGTGAAAGAATGTAATCTATGGAGGAAACATAATAAGTTCGTTTTGCAGAGCGCGGAAATCTGTTTTACAGGCACAAAAGTAGGGAAAACGAATTTTTCACAACCAGTGTTTCACAACAAGTCAAAGTTGATAAAAATCTTTAGGTGACTATCTTACCTCAATATATAAAAAATGCAGCTCGTTGCTAGCTCTATGTTACTATAGCATTATTAAAATATAGTTTCTTTTATTCACGAATATAAATGGTAATTATTGAAATGTATAATTTGCACTTTTACACGCTAAAGATAAAGTGCTTTGAGGTTGACGTACTTTTTATTACAATAAAACACATATGTATATACAGCGATGATAAGTCTGGCTTCTATAAATTCGAATAGCTTATTTTCCCTCTGCAACACCTAAAATATGATTTTTCAGAGACTTGCCTTATCATTATCATACGGACAATATGGACATCATTAATAGATTCCTATAGAGTCGACAGGGGACTGACATATCATTTTTGTTATTGCTTTGAAATAAACAAATTTTAACTTTATTCGAAAGGGTACATAGTCTTAATATTCACAGTATAAAAGTTCATAAAAGCGGCACAGACTTGTGATATCATGGAGAGAGTACTTTCCCTTTTGTTTTATACCTTGTCTGTATAATAAAGTAATAAGAATTATTTCCAGGTCGTGTAGGTATTAACTTCGAAGGGAGAACGTTATTGAGTTTTTGTTTGTTAAACAAACTTGCTGTTCTACAAAATTGATTCTTGATAATAAGGAGTTCGTTACCGAACGACGAAAACAAAGTTGGTAAAAAAAATAGCACGAAGCTCTTTGTGACTTGATTTCAACAAGGAATCGCGATTGATATTGATAAAAGTTAACTTTCTGTAAATACAACGATATTTCGATAGAGATGACTTTCTTATGAAAATTATGTAAGTATATGATATTCGTATTTTATCTTTTATAGGTATGTGGTTAATCGACTGGCCCTTTGTTTTGCGATGAAGATCAAGAGACTGAGCCGTTTGGAGTGGTACGATCAGTATTACTTACAGTGAGGAATGATGGTGCCTGAGTTCGTGACGAAGGCGCGGTCCCCCTGGCGCGCCCAACCGCTCCATTCCCGCGCACCCCGGCACTTGTACCGAGAGCATCTGCAAATCACAACACACTGTTCTCACTTATGTGGTTCTCGACAATCTTACTTGCAAAAAACTTCTGCTTACATTATTCTAATGCACTTTCAATCTCGACAAACTATTGCTACCCGACTGCGCAGAATGGAGGGTCATATTGAAAAACACAAACCGTCACACAAACAGCGTTTCGAATTTTATGTCGCCACAATTATATTTTAAGAGGTTAATTTGATTATAATTTAACGTAAGGATATATTTTTAGATGTTTAACAAATTGGTTTAAAAATAATGATTGTCAATGAAGATAATAGAAACCGCGTTACTTGGCCAGCGAGACTCTTTTTACATTTTATTTTGACTATCCAATACGTGTTAATAAAGGTTCGTGATTTTAGGAGGTAAGTTTGTTGTAATATTTTATTTATGAGCTTTCACGTGGTTGTATTTATTTCTTATTATTGTAAGTATATAATAATAATAAATAAGTAATTCTTAAGGAATAATGCTTTCATTATTACTTAAGAATTATGAACCAAAATGTTTACTCCGTAGGAGATGACTTTGTATAGATAACGTATATGAAAGTGTACGATTAGATGAGCACAACTGCAGAAAACTTCCATAACATTGATAACATGTTTCTCTCCTAACTAATATTTGCAAGTAAGATAAAAGAGGGTGTGTGAGATTTTTAAAAAAATATATAAAAGAATCCTTTTTTTCGTCCTTCTTAAATATTCAGACTTAGAGTTAACAATGACAGACGTTAAGATTTTTTATAACAAATAGGCAAGCTGAAGGAAGAATTTTATCAAAATACTTTGTTAATCATTATTAAAGGTTGATTTTTTTTATTAAATTTTTCGTAACATCATATGGATATCGCAATATCACCTTTGAAATGCCATCTATCATAGATTTGGATATAATACAGATTATTAGAGGCAGATATCGAGTTGGCATGTCACTACTATCGCAAGAGGTGATTACGGAACTGTCTGTCATGAAAATTTATTTAAATTCACACAAACAACGTCTGGGCGTGACGTCGCTATCGGCGCGGCTCTTATCACTTGGCACGCTCCTGCCGTCTCGCGGACATTCGACTACGACTGGTCGCGGGCCTCACTCATTACCAGGGAATTGTTTTCAAATTCATCTGTTTTACAAGAGTGCTGTCCCTAATAATAACACTCCAATTTGACACTTGAAGTCAGTCGTGCCTTATTGTATTTAGTATCGAGGCAGAAAAAAAAGCAAAGAATTATTGTCAATTTACTGTTGGTAATACGTTCAAACTTACTATTTGAGTCAGTGTTATCCACAATGCCGTGTTTCTATCGATGGCAGGGCTGTGTTTGTTTCAACTTCTGTTTCACTCCGAGTCGTTCGTAAACGAATCGATTACACTATCATGTTTTAAAACTCGGTTATAGCACTGCGACACACATTGCAACTTGGCTTGACGAAGCTTAAAATATGTTAAACAAAACAATCACAGGGCAATACGTGGAGATTACAACACCCCTAAAGCACTTTTACAATAATTAACTATCATTCACTAATAAATAAAATATCGTCTTTGAATAACACTATAAAAATAAATAATTTGTAAAACAAGGATAACATATAAAATCCACTATCGCGTATTTTGTAACAGAGTTTCTAAAAACTCTTTTTTTCATATTGGCAGTAATACGGCTGCCATCGAGCGAGTCTTGTTGTTCAATGACGCGGACGCGACCGCGCCGCGCCGCGGTGTTCGCAGTCGCGTAGCGGGGAGGTCGGGCGGGCGACGGTGCACCGGCTGCCCCGATGTCGTCGCACACAGGCGCGCGAGCCGCGTATCATAGACACCTCTACACGCGCGCAGTCTGTCTCGTTGTAGTGGTGTGCTCAATTGGAAGGCGCAACGATTCGACGGCTCCGCTCGTGTGCGTGTCGCTAGACAACAGTGAGTGTAGCATATGTGTACATATGGGGTAGCACACGAGTGAAACGGCCCGATCGCTGCTACTGACGCGTTTATGTATGCGCACCTATAATTGTAATAGTAAGCGATGACGCGTTTCGTCGGCTCGCGAGACGAGACGGTTGGCATTGCTCAATGATTGAGCTGTACTCGAGATTCGCACGTAACAGCCAAAAACATGACTGAAAAAATACATTGATTTTATTGAGATGGAGCTATGAAAGATCATATAGGAACCGTTCGTCTGAAATCGTTAAACGTATTGAAGACGGTGGTACCTTATACATTTTACAATAGCTAAGTAGCTTGGTACCCACTTGTATTAATCAACAAAATTGGAAATTGTATTTTATACGGCGACAAGGTTGTCTACGAGTAAAACATGTCAAGATTATTTAGTTTGTTTGCGCATTTAAGAAAAAAGGAACGAAAGCACAGTAGTTTTGATAGGTACTTAATTAAAATACCAGGTAATCCTGACCAGGTAATGCCTACGTCATGGGGTTATAAGTTATACTCAATGTACTCACATAAGATGAAAATATAACTGCGATCGTTATCATAATAGTAACCATCGCCTAGCTATTTGTATATAATTTAAATTAAAATGAACAAGAAACAAATTATCAACTAACTTTAATTTAATTCCTCGCTTTAAGAAAGGTTAATTCGTCGTTATAATCACGAAATATAGTTATTAGAGGAGCTACCTGTTCGAAGATATGACAAAGTGCTTAGGTTGTTATTGCATAATAATGTCTCAAGTTAATATTGAAGATGTGAGTTATACCTAACTTTTCTTCTTTGTAACTTTTAATTATACTGTTTTCTCATATAATACGTCACTTTTGCCTATTTTTTAAGTTATTTTAGTTTAGTTTAGTGTCATCCTCATAAACCTTTTCTTTGTTACTTTTCGTAATACAAGAAACATCTTCTGAAAATATTTGGAAAAGCATTATCTTTTCTTGGAAGACTTTCTTCTAATTTTTACTCATAAGGAGTGCTAATGTCACTTACGGGGTTGGTTGTGATAGTTCTGTCGACGGCGTGGCGCCTGCGCAGGTGCGGGCGGGCCAAGGCGCCCGCGGCGCACAGCAACACTGCCCCGCCAATGCATGCGCCCGCCCACCACCACCCTGAAATGACCATCAAGCAAGCATATAACTCTCGGAGTCATTCCTTTAACTCGGTAGGCTGGACAGATAGGGAAGATGTGATAAAATATATAAATCATATTGCTTAAGCTACAATAGTATAAGTGGTTACTTTTTCAGTGTTATTGAAGAAACACATACAAAAAGTTTAAAAAAAAACTGGGATTTATTTTTCTGGGATTATAAATAGGTTTTTAAAACTTTATGCTTTCCTTTTGTCAGTATTTGTTTCTTTATCAAACTTTACAAGGAACCATTACATTTTAAACAACTTAAAAACTAGTTTATTAGCTATCTCTTCCAGACAACGTGACGCGAAGGGCAAATCAAAAATATGAGTATAGGTGATGCTGGAGCGGATCCTGGAAAAGAAAGGCAAATTGCGAGTTGGTAGAGTACCTAGGTATAAAAACTAAAACTGATTATTTTGCAAGACAAGTAGATTATGATATATTTACTCGATCGGCTCAATTGGTTAGAGGAACAGCACGGTACACGGTATTTTTTCGCATAACAAGTTTTTTTAATACCCTATTTTTTAAAAATACTCAGTAATTATTTACTTATTTCATATCTAAATAGTAGTGCATATCTAAATTTAGTAATATTAATACATGATAAGAATTTACTGTGATGACTGGCGATATATGTCGAAATTGTCTAGTTCCTCCTCTATTGGGTATACGTAATCTAGAATCTCCACGACTCGCATACTTATTCAGCATCATCGCAGTTTTGTCAAGTGTATTCACCTTCAATTGTATTTTTATTCAAATAGCCTGCATACTTCAATACAATAAAAATAAGACTACACGTGTCAACACTATTAAACTGAAACGACCTCTAGGAGAGGTGAGGGCTAAAAGTTGAAAGCGGGAAGGATAGAAGGTTATGTATGTGCATCGTATCAATATACACTTGTTTATAGCGTAATTATTGAAGTGATAAAATCTTCGTTACCAGAGGTGTGACTCACATTTATTCGCGGTCGCGTCGAAGGACATTTTTGTAAGTGTGATCAACCTTATCAATTTAGGTATATTCAGTAGTCAGCCAGAGGACAATATCATTGCGATAACTTGGGATATAATCGCAAATTAAAAGATAACATTTAACCACATACTGTCTGTAGTTTACTCGATTACACTTTAACGGTATAAAACGCGATATATTTTCGTTAAACTTATTTGAAAAATAATTTAACTACGGTCCGACGTTTCGGATGCATTGCAGCAGCCGTTTTACTATATAAACCACAAGTTTAACTAATATATATCGCGTTTTAAACCGTTGAAGTGTTATATTTAAATATTTAACCAATCAAAAATAAGGAGTTTTCATGCTACATATTGTAGTGTCTTTTTTCCGAGATTTTCAGATAGTTTTTTATCGACTAAAGCCAGCAGAGTTTAGGCCAATGTAGTTTCACAACGCCCAGTACAGTAGCAAAGGCCAAAACAATCAGCATGATGGTTAACTCGTACACTTAACAAAAATTCGACATTGTTCGCCCAAGAATGCACAGCGCGGTTATTTTTAGTGGTTAGAAGCGCGGGGGCGGCGTCTACGTCTGGTGTCGGTCTGCCGGGCCCTGCCTCCGATCACCGAAATAACTTCTCCAGCTGGCGTTACCTGGCCACGTGGTGATCCCGCTCATGGCATCCAAACTCACCGGCTCCGAGAACCGAAAAGAGCTGACTCGGTTTGAAAACTAGGATGGCTTTACAATGTTTTTCTTATTAGTACGTATAAGTGGACCTTTAGGTCTTCTTGTTTAAGGTTTTAAGTATTCTATTCTATTCTGTGACTGTGTGTGTGACTGTTTGTTTCGCTTCCAAATAAAATAAATAATAATTTTATCCCTCCTGTCTATCTGTACCACTAAATACCTTATCAAAAATGACCCACTAGATTTAGTTCGCAAGAGTTTAATTCAGTATTGATTTTAACATCGAGCCTCAAAGTAAGATATTTTACAAACCAATTATTAGTAGTGCCAAGCGGTTAGGCAATAACCCACTTATAGGTAGGTACGTACTTACCGAATAGCCAATTTATGGATAATAACGGTGAGTAGTCATATATACAACGTGATTGATAAAAATTAAATAAAGATAACCACTTGCTTGATAGAGATATTCCATAAAAGAATTTATGTTGTTTTATTAAAGAATCTGGTTCCAGCTAGCTGGATCTAGATGTATATCTAATTTTAATTATAAAGGTGAAGAGTTTGTTTGTTTGAAATAATCACAGGTTCGAAATGAAAAATTATTACTAATACCCGATTATTATTAATACCCGAGCCTCTAAATAAGATGTGCTGTCGTCCTATTTATGCTATAGATATTCGTGAAGACTGATACCGAAACGTGATTAAACTTCACGGCTTCTACATCTATGGACGGTGGTTCTTGATTGGCCGGAATTTCGATATTCCTACCACCCATTTAATATTTAGATTTCCAGACGAAGTTCAACACGTTTCAGAAAAATTATAAATTGATTCGAAATATTTTGGCCCCGGTGGTAATCGAACCCACGACCCGTTGATTATTACCCGTACATTGCAACCATTACACCAAGGAGTTGACAAGAACCGTTTATATAGTAAAAAAAACGTTTGCCAGGTCAGCTAGTCTTCTGATAAATTCGGTTACAACAAAGCTGCCTTTCGTGTCTAATGACAAATACAGTTGTTTTATTCTTGTCTAGAAGCATCATGATTTTTCTATACATATTTAGTTCCCTTTATTAAATGATATGGGGTGGTCAGAGGGTGGGTGTGACGTGGGGACGTGGGGGGGAGGCTGCGACGTCTGTCTAGACGGAGTGTAATTAGGAAGGTGAGCGCGTAGGCAGTGGTGGTACGGCCTAGTCTGCCTGGCCTTAGTGTTACATTGTGTTATTAAACAATCTTACATTGTAATACTCTGGGACGATCGATGACACAAATTGAACTTATGACTACCATACACTGCCGTCTCACCGTTAGGTCAGTTACGTAAAAACAGTCTTACACAAATATGTAGTAATTAATTTAAAAAGCGATTTTAGATTTACGACACAGGCAGGACTTCAACCGGCATCCACATGTATCCCCATTGTTTATGGTTGTATTGGTTTTTATAGTCTGTATTTTTTATCTATGATTATAACGGTTTTGAGTAACTTGATATGATGTGGTCAAACCCAAATTATCAGAAATTTAGTTAAACTCATCTTAAGTGAATTGAGACCCACACTCGTTTACAATGAAACCAGGGATGCCATGTCTTGCAAAAACAGATTTTCAATTACGAGTAATACAATCACTAAACATATTAGGCTGCGAGAGGCAGAGTGGCCTCAAAGACAAAAGACAAAGACATAATTTTCGATTAAGAGTAGAATAACAATGTGCAATTAACTTGATTAGCCAAAATGAATTTGTACTACTATTTGTGTAAAAATTATATTAACACTCGACTCGGTAGCTCAATTGGTAGAGCAACAGCACGGAAAGCTGACGATGCCGGTTCAAGTCCTGCCCGAGTCGAAAATTTTTTCAATTTATTTTCGATTTTTAAATTATATTAACAATTTTCGGTCGCTGTGCTCTTGTAGATTATCAGTTTTAGACTATGAAAATATAAACTGAAGTCATTTAATTGCAGTTAGGCTATTCGCCTCTAAAGGCTTCATATTATCTGGCTAGGATGACTACTATTTAAAGTTACAAACAAACACACATGTGCATGTATCATGTCAATATGTTGTTGAAATTCGGCGATGACGAGGACACAGTAGCTCAATTGGTTAGAACAACAGCATGGGACGCTATGGGTGTCGTTTTACATCGTCAGCGTTGTAATTTTTTCACTTCGATTAAAATCTTAACTTTTAACTCAAAAGTCGTCATTGTTTCTTTTGATTGTACGGTTTAATGTGTCGTCACATTCGTCGAAACTATACTTCAACACTCTATTTATATGTACTGAGAATTTTTAAGTCCGAGAATACGTTGTTTTGTACATTGCGAAAGAATTTCGATTAATATATTATCCGCAGACAAAGTATTTGTGTTGTTACAACCCAGTCAAGTAAATATTGACCAGCACAATTAGTAGAAAAAAATATAATTTATTTGAGGATCGTTGAAGTTTTCCCTTTTCGTGGGGCTTCGGACATTTCTTCGTCCCAAACCGAAGTTATTTGAAAGAAATGTGCGTGATCAGCCCGTGTCTTCTCCTTCCTGGCTGAAATAATTACGGCTTACCAGGCTACGAACCCAGGATCTCCCCTATTTAAGGTATAGCTAGGATACACGTTTAACTATAGAGGCATACTTTATACTTTATTATTTACTGTTTTTTTTTAGATCTATTGTTAGCTATATTTCGCACGTGTCCTCGAAATAGTACAATGACGTGAGGACATCGTCTTATTTTTATAGCTCTGTTATTTAAATGAAGATTTAATTTACAATGAATAAATAGACTGAGGCCTATATTCATCACGAACTGTAGTATATATAGTATGTGTGGGATATTTCATTAAAGATTCTTTCATATGAAATGATCAGACATTTTAAATTAATTTTGTAGAACACTAAATTGCAGCATAATATCGAAATCTCTTTTATATAATATCTACCATCGCTATTCTGTCATTTATAAGTCCACACTTGGTAAAAACACTTCCAGCTAGCTATAGATTCTAGATGAATTCTAGAACACTAATTATTAGTCTGTCATAATCATGTCTGAGTGTGTATCTAGGATCGGCCAACTTGTAATAACAGCGTAGTATATGCTGTAAATATAGAATTCAATATGATAGAATTTTAAATTGAAAACTAGGCTAAATAAAAACTCAAGATTCTTGTCAATATTGACGTAAAAATAATGTACTTTATATCATACTGGTCCTAATAAAAAAATGTGCATAAAATGCGCTTGCGCATTTCACTGTTACAAATTATTACGTAGTCGGGTCATAGTAAACCGTACCACTTCATACGTTTTTGCGGAACGATAGCGTTGCGGTAGAAGATGATGTTAATATTAGGGTTGTTTGTCAACGTCGAGTTCTGCCGATGTACGTTGTTACTCGGCTTGCTATTAATAAGTTACATGGAGCTGTGGGCTGTGTCAGCTCGAGAAATTCTCGTACCCCACGAACGCAGCTGCGATGCAAACAATTGACTACAATCAATGTATAGGATACATGTTATTAATCGTATCGACGAGCACCGTTCGAGGGTTTAGTGGAAATTTTTTGACATAGGACTTTATATTTATAAAGAATTATATAGGTTGATAATTAAGATTAACATTTTATTATTGAATGAGAGCGCTACTGTTATATGTATTATTAAAACTACTTTCTCGTTATTAGCTTCCGTTACTGTCTCTATAATTGTCTGTCCTATAAGAAGGTAAGGAATTCTTTAATCTAAACCAGTAATTATCATCTATATCATCAATGGAACTAGCTATGTGGTTACTGAACATACTTTCTAGATAAAAAAAGAAAGCTTTATATTTATTAATTTTTAGCTCTTTTACGAAGTCGTGTCTGGATGGAAAAGTATTTTTTAAGAATAACAGTATTAAAAATAAATTTAAATTGAAGCTTTTTATCAATTCAAACATTTGTTAATATGCAATATTATACAACATAAGTCGTAATAGTTGAACGTTACAATATTATCAGCGGCAGAAACAAAAAATAAATATTTCAATAACTTGTAAATCTTTTACGGCTCAATGAAGAAACAATTATTACATAATATGTTATAGGTAAAAACCAGAAAATAATAAAATTCTTTTTAAGATTAGCAGGTCGGTAGACTTCTTTTATTGTAACTCCATTTGTATTTCACCCATACTCAGTTTTGAATATTTTTATCAAATGTGCAGACATTATTTTTATCGCTTTATTATCGTCCGGTTTAATTAAATTAGTCCTTATTGCCATTATTTGCAGTTCGATCGAGCTTCGTAATAGGGGGCGGGTGAATGTAAGAATAACCGCAGTTATTTCCAACAGCCGTGCGTACGCCAACCGCGCGGCTACATTGTTATGATCGCTCTCAGCATGCTACGTGCATTCAGAATGTTCGCTTTAATTAATACAATTCATACAACAATTTTAACAGTTCTAAACGCGTAAGGTATAAGTAAACCTGAAGTTTATACCAAATTATAATGAAAATCCACAACATTGACACGCCAATACGCAAGAAGCATTAATCCTTTCTGTAAAAAGGCAGCTAGTTTCTGCAAATATCAATTACGATAGTACATATGGCGCTAGTGTAGCAGATTTGACTTTGACATTAGGGAATCCGCGCCATCTTTACATTCCCCGTGACTACGGCTACTGCGTCCAAAGTGTGCGAAAGTTCGAAAATAAATAAGTTAATTAATATTTCTCTCTGTTTAAAATCATTGAAAAAAAAGTTTACTACTCGTTTTAACCACAGACACTACTCATTTTAATATATATTTTATTTTATGTAAATCAAAAGTCAAAAACATCTAACCTAAAAACTACCTACATTTGAAAGGGATACAATCCTTCTTGATTTCTAATTTAACATACATATTATATTTTATTTAGAAAGCTTTAAATGTTGTTATTAATTGGTAAAGTCTATAAATTCCAATTATGTCTAATTAAGATTTTACTAGCTAAATTTGAATCTGTGTTAGTCGGTCCATA